TTCCGTGGCGAAAAAGAAAATGAAAGAACAAAGCAATTTTTAAAAGATTTTCTGCAAAACCGTTAAAAATAATATTTTTTGGGCAAAATACGGTGGGAAAATCATCTAAATAAGCGTCGTGCGTTGCGAGTCGCTTAGAGGCATTGTATGTTTTGTGGAAGAGTAAGAAAACCTTGAAAAAAGTCAAAAAAAAATCTATTATTTTTATTTTTCTTTGTAGAACATTGTGTTAGCGGCAAAAAATCGTAAAAGGTAACAATTTGAAGGTAAAATACGACGGTGGTCACGGCTTTGTGACTCTAGTATTTATATGGGGTGCCTAATGACACCGTGTATTCTGTGACAAAAAAAATATGAAAGAAAAAAGTGGAAAATTTTTGTTTTTTTTTAATCATAAAAAATGTAGTTTTTATGGAAAATACCATTATTTTTCTGTAATTTTAATATTTTCCGACATGCCTAGATGTCTTTTTCTATACAAATTTTGTCTTAAAAATAAAAAAAGTGCATTGATGTGTTTTTCGCAAATTATTTAAAAAAATCAAAATTATTAACATAAATTTTAATTTTGGCGTAAAATACGGCAACTGATCTTTCGGTGATCATTATTTTTTTCTTCGAGACCTTCAAAAAATTAAAATTTTTTTTTGCAAAATTCACAGGAAATGTTACTTCAATAAACACCGTTTTTTGACCCATTCATACGGTAACTAATAATGTATCGTACCCTCTGGCCATGTGTAATATCCGGCAAGTCCATTAGGGGGGCATTTCGGAAATGTCCGATTGTTTTTCTATTTGTTTTCTCTCCATTTTTTACGACCATTAAAGGTATCCGATTGCGTTTGCGGCAAAAAAAAATTGTGGACGTTGGTCAGAATTCGGCGCTCTGAAGGAATTGGAAACCAATTTTTTTAACGAAATGCACTGTGCAAAAGAGAACGAATGCCCATAAGCTTTATGAAAATGGAGCGGTGTGTTCTTGAGCTTGTTCGTTTTCGCAATCTTGATTATTTTTTATTTTTTCCGGTTTTCATATTTTTTCTTGCTGCTTCTTCAGCACTGTCGCGACTCAGCTATGAGTCGAGGCATAGGATGGCCCCTAACTTGCCCTCTACTCCTAGTATGCACTGCCCCTACTAACCCGGAGACACAGATTAGAGGACCGTAGCAATAAAACTGTGGACTCACGCAAAATTGATTCCACTTTGTATCGGCATGACCGGGCGGGATCAAACGGAAATTCCAAAACCAATTTGACCTACCGTGACAGTCACCTGTGCGCGATGCTTTGGAGTATATCCCGTCGGCGAAGTGAACCACATGATGCACTATTTCAGCAACGAGTGACCGAAAAGCGGTCGATCCATTACATTTATACAATTTATCGGTCGGTTTATGAAAATTCCTGGGAATTCTTCACGGAATCGTGACAGCATGCAGTGTGTTATGACCTCATTCGTATGTTTGCATATCAATTCTCAATTTCGGGCTGATCCCTTTTTTACGATTGCTGCGGGGTGCAATCATTTGATTTTGTGGTGCTTTTCGAAGAATGCAAATTTTTGGAGTTTTTGAACACTTCATTCAATGCATTTGTTACAGTTAGAAATTACTTTTCATTTTTTAAAAAAATTTTTTTGGATCGTTGAATATCTCAGCTACACCTGAAAATTTTATACCATTTTTTTTTTTAAAATGAATGTCTTTAGTAGATGTGTGATTCACATAAAATCTGGGGAAGATACGATCATCGGATTTCGAGATATTTCAATTTTATTCCCTAGGCATTTCTGCGTTTTCAAAGTTTTATGTAGTGTTGAATTTAGCACAGTGAATTCATCTTTTTTCATATTCATATCGGCAATGCGATTTTCGCTCCGACAGAGTGCTCATTATTTTCCCGACAGACTGATGTCCTCCCTAAGATCACGTTTTCTTTCATATTTTTCCTAACCTATCCCTCTCCGACTGACCGTTTGCTCTCGACTTTATGAAACATGATTTATTCCCCCGCACACTCAACAAACAAAAAAAAAGAAAATGTATTAGCCGCTTATGACACAAGGGCTACAAGAGTCGAGAGTTTCGGGATTGGAGTGCTCGCAAAAACCCGCTGGGAGGTCGTGATCAAGGCTTTTGTGATAAGATGATGACAAAAGAGTCAGCTTTCGGGTGTTAGTCAATATTGTCGTATTCTCATAGGGGAAGTGGCGAAGGTGTGACGGTCAAATTTTGATGGAACTTGGTACAGATTTCGAATCTTTTTTTTTTGCAAAAACCGCTGAGATTTTCAGATCAAGAGTTGACAAAAAATCTGACATTTTTTTTATAAATTTTGGCATAAAAAGTTTCATGCCTTGTTCTACCATGGAATGTAATCTTTCCACAAAAAATCGAATTTTTCCCTGTGAAACCGGCAAGGATACCCCAAAAAATGTTTTCTGTCTAATCGCTCTCCACATTTTTCATACTCTCTTGGCCGCAAATTTCGTTCAATATCTCGGCTGCGCCTGTAAACCGCGAGCTAAAATTTTCAGGAATTAACATGTGGCCTATGTTCGAAACGTGCCAAAAATTTTAAAGAAAATTTGAGTATCGCAATTCGGACACTTCCCTTGCAAAGATATTCCATTTCTCATAATTTTTTGGACAAAAATCTATTAGTATTTCTGCATCCTTTGCGGCAAAAAATGGGAAATGCGAAAAATAACTGCACTGTTCACTTTTTGGGCCGAGTGCACGGTGCAAAATGTTTTTTTTCGAATTACTTATCGCACAAAATGCACAATGCAGAGAAAATTTCAAGGATTTTTTGGACCGCCTACTACTGTGGAGTACTTAATCCAATGGCAAAGACGTACCATTTTGCATCCGGGAAGTATCAAAAATGTGGCAAAATGCTTCCCTCTCCAAGTGAAAAAACTCAGATTTCAAAAGCGCGTCCGTTCTTTTTGTGAGACAAGGGGCGCGCCCTTCAAGACGAAGTTTTTTTTTCGCTTGGAGAGGGAAGCCTTTTGCCACATTTTCGATGCTTCCCGGATCCAAAATGGTACGTTCTTTGCCACTGGATCGGTTCTGTCACTGTAGCTGTAGACAATTTTTCCGGCAGCTTTTACGCCGAGCACTCTAACTGACGTTGGACCTCTCTGCACCACGATGACCATCGGCTACCATGACAATTGCCTGTCCACGATGCTTTAGAGTATATCCCGTCGGCGAAGTGAGCCAGCTCGAGCACAAACGAAATTTCCCAGCCAAACTCACTTAATTTCAAGTGGTTCTAGTTAATCTTCTTCCCAGAAATCAATTTTTTCCTCCCATAAAATCGGATTTTCTCCCCAATTCCTTCAATTTCCCTCTTTATCAACAAATTTTTCGCTTTCCAAAAAAGATCAACGAGCCGTTTTTTCCCCGAATTTTAATCGACGAACATGTTTTTTGTGGGGGTTTTGATTGTTTCTCCCTTTGTTTACATACATACCCCGCTAATTGGATAAATATTGGTTTTATAAGCGGTTCCAACGCGTATTTTAGCTCAATTTTTTACATTGAAACCCATTTTTTTATGCCAAAAATGGAATTTTTACTTTTTTTGGAGATTTTTTCATTTTCCGAAATGTATTTTTCATTTTGAAAAAGCATTATTTCCTTCAAAAATCATCTATTCAGATTTTCTTACAATTTTTTCTACTTTATTTCCCATTTTACAGCCCACTTGTCATTCAAAAGACCTAAAACAATATCATTTTTTGTCTGATTGTCCCTGAATTTTTGTTGTTTCGGTTACGTTTATGACTCTTTGCTCTTATCAGCGGCGAGTTCATAAAAAATACGGAAGCATTATTATTTGGATTATAAAAACGGGGTCTGAAAAAACTCAATGATCACCCTTTTGTCTGGGTTTATTTATTCCGAGGGCTTTGTTTATCCCCAAATTAATTGGTTTTTACTTTTTAATCTGTCAATTTCACACTACTGCTAAACGATTTTTAGTTGTTTTTTATTATTTTTAGAGATTTTCGTTTTGAAATTTTTTTGCACAGTGCGAAAAATAGCGATTTTGATTTTTTGCACAGTGCAAAAAAATTTCATTTTTGCACAGTGCGTGAAAAAAGAATTGTTTCTGCACGGTGCGCGAATTTTTATTTGAAGTTTGCGCAGTGCGAAAAGCTGTCGATTTTGCACGGTGCGGAGATTTTTTATTTTTACACGGTGCAGAAAAATTCCATCTTCGCACTGTGTGTAGTTTTTACTTTTTGCGCAGTGCGTGAAAAAATTGCTTTTGCACGGTGCAAAAATTTTGATTCCGCACGGTGTAGGAATTTTGATTTTTTGCACTGTGCGAAAAATCCTTGCTTCCGCACAGTGCAAAGAAAGAAAAAACAAAAATTTTTTTGCACTGTGCTGAAATTTCATTTTTAATTATTTATCTCAGCCCATTTAAAGAACACCTATACATGATTCACCCTCCTTCGAAATTGATTATCATCATGTTTTTACGGTCGCAAATCCATGTTTATGGGTTTGATTTTTTAATGAGAGAAACAAATTTTTGATCGCATTTCCGTGAAAAGTAACGCAAAAAAGATTCGAAAATTCCTTTTGGAGGGAACGTGTCAGAGATGATTCTTCTTTTCAATTTATGTTATACATACTATATACATATTTATAAAAAGAAAAAGGGGAAACTGTGGAGAATTTTTTGAATTGATTTTTATTTTTTGGGGAGTTTTAGAGAAGACGGGAAGTTAGGAGACGGACAGATATTAATTTTTTTTTTGAATTTTCATTTTTTTTTTGCTATTTTTGTTTTTTGTTATTTTTTGCTTTTATCCGCCTTGAAATACAAGTTTTTTTACAGAATCGACACTCAAACGGGCGTATTTTACATTTTAATAAAAAAATTTTTTTGTCCAAAACTCCATAACACTTTTTCAGCTCTCTAATCGCTTTATGGACATCTCTATCTAATCTACCCCACCACGAAACCTCTAAAAATGCGGGTGGCGTATTCGCGAGCGCCGGACGCCACCCGCTCCAGTGCGTCGTCCTCCTCGTCCACCCTGACCTCTTTTTTGAGCAAGTCCTCAGAACGACCATATCGCACCATCACTGTCATCATCCTACTCCTCACAGTCTTGCTGAGTCTTGGAGTGCTTTTGGGACTCTTTGACAGCTTCATTTTGGCGATGTTTCAACCGAATTTTGAGAGCGATGAGTTTGATGAGGCTGAAGAAAAATTTGAAAATTTCAGCGAAATCCGATTTGAGCGAGTTTTGGAGCCAAATGACATAAAATTCACTGTAAGTTGGGAGGTGGGACTGAATTAACTGGAGGAAAAGTGAAAAAAATACGTGGAAAAGTTGACACACGTGTGTCGGGTGTTTCACACGAAATACAATTTCTTTTTCCAAGTTCGGAATTCCAGGGAATCAAGAAGGTGAATTCGTAATCATTTGACAAAGGTTTAATTATCTTATTAATTCATAAAGAATAGGTAAAATTATAAACAACATCTAAAAAAATCAAGAAAACAAAAACATCATTATACGTCTTCGGAAGCTTTTACGCCGGGCACTATAACTTCCGTTGGACCTTTCTGCACCACAATGACCATCGGCTACCATGACACTAGCCTGTCCACGATGCTTTGGAGTATATCCCGTCGGCGAAGTGAGCCAGCTCGTGTATCACAACTCCAAGCACGAGTCTGCCACCAGATTCAACAAACGGGACGTTTGTTTAGGACGTTCTTGTGCGTACACCATTAATGTTGACCTCGGAACGAATTCAAACCTTCTGAAGACCATCCGCCCAGACGCTAGTATTGATACAGTACCACCTCTTGGACCTCTTGAGGCGATGTACTCCGTGGCGGCTGTTCGGGCAACCGCTGTATTGCACCCGCCTTCTATATATAGGTCCTCTTCAAAAAGACGGTCGGGTATTTCATACTGTCGTTCACAAACTTTGGGTCCACCTCTAATCTCTGTGTTTGGGCATCCAGTTCGACCTACCGTGACAGTCACCTGTTCGCGATGCTTTGGAGTATATCCCGCCGGCGAAGTGAGCCACCTCATGTATCACAGTTCCAAAGAAAGAACCTGCCGGCCGGTAATCTCAACAACGGACGGCCTTTGTATTCCTCACGCCTTCCATAGAAGGCTTCTAGCGATCAATCCCCCAGTCCCAAAAAAATTTCAATTTCCTTGCCAATTTTAACAAAAATATCTCAAAACTTTCTCAAATATAAAGCTCTTCCCCGTTTTTTCGTACTTTATCTAAACTTTTCTTTTTCAGGACGATCTCCTTCATCTAGGTCATTTGCCTTTTCAACGGGTCATAGCCTCGGCGCCAGTCACCGGACAATTTCCAATATCAACAACCACGGACCCCATCTCTAGTCAAACCCCATCTCAACCCGAAATGATAACGAGTACGCCGAAATTGAGCGAAAAATCGACCAAAATCCAAAGAAATTTCACTTTTAAAGCAACTTTTACGACCAAAAGCAGTGCAAAATTGGAGAATTTGGTGAGTAAATTTTTTTTGGGCTTGGTAATTGCTGTGGAGTAACAAACAAAATAACTTTTTTCGGTTTTTTCTTATTTTTATTTTTTATTTTTTGATTTTTTTTTGAGTGCCGTATTTTAGCCCAAACCTGTGTGGAGAAAAACCCCTGAAGAATTGGCCTCCGAATTATTGGCAACCACAGATCTGGAAGTCATAAATCAAGCGTTTGAGGAGATTCGAAGCGGCGAGAAACAAGTTTGGAGTGCCCAAAATAACACTTTTGTAATTTTTTTGTTTGGTTGGCCGTTTTCTAATTTTTATCCTTGTTTTTCCATTTATTTTTGCTGCACAGTGCAGAAAAAATATTTAAAAAATTTTTTTGAGACTTCACTGCAAAATACGAAAAGCTTTTTCTACACCGTGCAATTTTTTAACTCAAAATTTTTGAAAAAAAAATCCATTTCCTACCTCCAATTTCCCTGAAAATCTCAATTTTTCAGCCTCCAATCATTGTCACCGCTCTCTTCGACATCGGTCGCGGCGATTGGATTCAATTTACCCGCCCGTTCGACCTCTACCTCGAATCTCTCAACCACTTAATCCGAATGCCAAATCCTATAGTAATTTTTGGAGACGAAAAAGTTGCGCAATATATCAAAATCTACCCCGAGGAAATTCAGCGTCGCATTCAGATGGTGACCATGCGTTTGAAGGACCTGCCCTTCTACGGGCATCGGCGCGAGATTGCGGAGATTCTGCAAAACGAACAGGAGAATTGGGATGAGAAATGGCCTTCGCGGTTCCGGACACACCCGGAGGCGTGGAGTGCGGACTACAACATTGTAGTCAACTCCAAGTCGTATTTCATGTACAAAGCGACGCTCATCTCCAAATTCAAGTCCAATTTTTTCGCTTGGATCGATGCGGGATACAGTAAGTGTAGTGCAATATACATATGTAATAATTTTTTTAGAAATACCATTCTGTCATTATTTTCCCGACAGGCCCATAAAAAAAATTTTTTTGAAATTAAAAAAAATTTTCTCTCAATCTTTTCTAATTTATCTGTAAAACGGTCTAAAAAATTTATTTCAGGTCACGGCGAACGTGACAAAATTCCCCGCTGGACTTGGCGTCCAAAGCTTCCACATGGAAAGATAACCTTGATCCAAGTCAGTCCGCCGACCGAGAAAATTGAAAAGTAAGTCCGCTGAGAGCGATCGCATTTTGGTCCCTTCCGAACGCAAAAATTCTCATTCTCCCATCTCATCGTTTCCCAATTCCAGATACGAGTTGTCCAAGGTCTACCGGCAGACTCGAGATGTCATCAGTGGCGGTGTCTTGGCCGGCGACACTCCAACCATCAAAAGATTCCACGTTTTCTTCCTCAAAACCTTTGTGGAGCTCTTGGATGCGGGGAAAGTTGATGACGACCAGACAACCCTACTGTTCACCATCAAAAACTACCGCTCCACGTTCAATATCCTGCATGGAGGCTGGCTGGATGCCTTCAAGGTCATCCCCAGAGAGCCGTTTCAGCGACAGCGGAAGCGATTCGCCAATCGCCTCTTATAACCCTTGATCCTTTTGATTTTTTGCATATATTATGTATTTTTGGTCTGAAAATTATTTCTGAAATCTCAAAAAACACCCAGAGTCATGAAGTAGAGCATTTCTGATATCCAGAATTACACTTACTATCCTTTTTAACGGTTCGATTTGTCTTCGCATATCTCTAAACTGTAATTTATGACATCTTTCACGCAATGTTTACTGCCATTGAGTAAATTCTGCCATTCAATCGGAGTTATAAATAAATAAATAAATAAATAAATGCTATGTTTGGTCCTGTAGAAAAAACCTGTAAAAAAATCCACATTTTTTTGCGGATTCTACTATAATAATCGTAAAATAATTTGATTTTGCGAGACCTCAACCCCTCTTTTCGGCGGTAATTTTCCAAGAACTGCAAAAAGAATCTGAAATTCTGAGCAGCACACGTCGAGAGTCGAAGTCGAGCCTTCAGAAGTCCTGAAGCCGAAAAGAGGGCCGCGTTCCCGCAAAAGAAGTGGATATGGGGACATCTGCCGGCCCTAAAACGCGGAAAAAAGATTTTTTTCCGGCCCCATTCTTGGCGCCTGAGGCGTTTTCAAGGAGAGCGAAAGCGTCTTTTCCCCTCCGCTCGCTCATAAACGATATGAAATATTATATAAGCGGGGCTTGAGGTGCCGAAATTTTATTTTCGTTTGTTCTGAAGGCCGAAATCAGACTTGCACGACGAACCTTTTTTTCCGACGAAGATTTTGTTTGATGACATAGAGGATGGGTGTTTTGATGACATTGTAAAGGTAGTTGAGGCTGTTATTCATAAAGTGTAGGGAGATTTTTTGTCGCGGTCCGCACTGTGCACAAAAATTCGCCAGTTCTGCACGGTGTATTTCATCTTTTGTTTAGTTTTTGCACCGTACACGATCGCGCATGAAAATATGAAAAATAGGAAATATACGAAAGCTTTTTCCCACCGCATCTCATGTCAGAAGAAGAAGCTTTTTTGGATGAAAAATATGCACAGTGCAAGCGGCTTTTTTGAGGTTGGCTTCAAACTACAAGGAGCGTCTTTTCAACGAGGTCTTTCATTTGTTGTACCGCTGTGTGATATATATTACGCCTTTTCAAAGTGCGCGAACTTTTTTGAGGCACATAACTTTACATCTGTTTGCACGGTGCGCCGGTGATTTTGATCCATTTTTCACAGTGCAATTATCGGTGGGATGCTTGACTCTACCAACACAAGAGACCATAGACCAATCAATAATAGACAGTAGAAAATATGACGGTTTATTGCACACAACACAACCGGGAAAGAACAGACACAAAAATAATAATCATGATTGGCCGATTTCTCTTCTTTTTATACCAATTTGTCGGTCATTCCGTGGGAATATGCAAATTCGCACGCGAAGTCGTGACAATTAGCGGCAATTTTCAAATTGCACAGTGCGAGAATTTTTGCGACAAAGATTCTATGCATTTCTGAAAAATTATGCTATTCGCTGTATCCTGTTCAACTTTGTGATTTTCTACAACAACACGCTTGGGCTCAGCTCCATATTCCTCCGCTTTTTATTGCGCCTTCTCGTCTAGCCCGCTGTTTGCCAACGGAACGTCTTTAATTTCGAAGGGGACTTTTATGGCGTCAAAGGATTTTCCCTTTTAGCCTGAAGAAAGAATAAGGATCCCTTTGGGAATCGAATTGGTTTCTTCTCGGCTTCATGTCACTCCTAATTTTTTTGAGATAAGGAAAAGACGGGTTTTTGGGACGGCCGAGATTTTCCGACGACACTTTTTTCGGTTGTAACTTCCCGAAATTTTTGTTCGCGCTTCGCAGAGGCATCCTATGTATTTTGCGAACGCGGAGAGCGAAGAACTTTTTGCAATTGTTAGTATTTCCATAAAGAGCATGGAGAGATCCCCCTTTTGCAGAGTGCATTTTGAACGTTTTCCCATGCTTGTCTCCTTGCACAGTGCAAACCTCAAAAAAACCATTTTTCACTGTGCAAGGAGACAGAGGCGCGCCGACATTGTTACAACAATTTTTTGCATATTCTGGGATTTTTTTGACATATGTCTCGACATGCAACTCCATTCGCCATTGAAGTACTTCCTTGTGAACTAATCTCTGTTTCAGCAGCCGAAAGAGACCACAACACTGGATTTTTCATTCTTGATTGAAGGCAAAATAATGATGATGACATTTATCACATAAAACAGCCCAAATTGACCATCAATTTTCGAAGCAGCTCCTCTAAAATCCGCTTCTCTGCTTCTCCTTTCTACCTCATCTCTTCTACAGGATCTTTGTCATGCCGCTTCTTCAATTTGCCCAAGAAATTTTCGCTTCAAGCTCTCATTTCTCAACGATTCGAATACTAAAACTGCTCCTCCTGTTGCTGTTCAATTTCGCACAAGCTTCTCGAGATTACTGTGCCAATGAGACGGATATCATCGACCATATCTTGTACGACACAACGGTTCATTACAATCGCCACAAAACGCCGAACGATCCGGTGGAGGTGCGGATTGAATTATGGGTGCAGGAAGTGACGTCAGTGTCGGAGATGACGCAGGATTTCGAAATTGGTGAGCGTTTTGGCCATACAAATATTTTTTTTTATTTTTTTGGCTTGAAGTTTAGTCTGTCGGGAAAGTAATGAGCACAATGTCGCAGCGCCGATCGTGTCGCTGAAGTGAAAAGCAAATTGATTTTTGTCATTGTTAATTCATTTTCGCGGCTTCGATGTAATTTTCGATCCGACAGAGTGCTCATTATTTTCCCGACAGAGCTATAAGAATACTCAAGAGTTTGCCCACTTAAATCTCGAGACTCTTGCAAAAGTTCGCCGTTTTCGTCTCCGCAAATTGGAGAGTTCCGATGTGGCGACGCGTAAAATTATGCAAAATGGGAGGATGTGGGTTTCCGCCGGCGAAAGTGTCCACTAAACGTAGAATTTCCATAGTTTTAGGAAAAAAATAGTCTCGAAATTACAAAAAAGAACAGCCGATAAATCTATTTACAACAACCGTCAAAGCGTTAAACACCGATAATGATTACCTTGACGGAATTTATGCATAAAAAATATTGCTTTATTATAAAAAAGATCAGAGAAAAAATCCAACGCCGACGTTAGAACCATCTGCACTTCGTCAGTTTAATTAATGCTGCCACCATTATTGAACGAATATGCCGCGGTGAACACGTGATCCACGTTATCCAAGCTCACTTCCCACGGACAGAAATAGCCTTCAATTTTAAAGCATACGGCATTTGTTTCCCCGGTTATGAGGCTTTTGGATAAGAGGCCCCGCTGTTTCAGCCAATTCAGTGACGCAGCTGAAGTTAGGTGCTTGAGTTGACTGAAAGTTGCTCATTTCCAAAGGTTCGGATGATGTTGTCCAGGTACTCTTCATCCATTTCGGGGAGATCTTGATGACTGTAAGAGAGAAACGTTCGTATGTGCTGAAAAGACTTCAATTTTAAAGCATACGGCATTTGTTTCACCGGTTATGAGGCTTTTGGACAAGAGGCCCCGCTGTTTCAGCCAATTCAGTGAAGCAGCTGAAGTTAGGTGCTTCGGGTTGACTGAAAGTTGCTCATTTCCAAAGGTTAGGATGATGTTATCTAGGGACTCTTCATCCATTTCGGGGGAGATCTTGATCACTGTAAGAGAGAAACGTTCGTATGTGCTGAAAAGACTTGTTTTAATCAGATTCCCTGTTTTCAGTATATGCGTCGGCTGCCCGCAAGGAGCAACAGGCGCGAAGAAAAATTTTGGAAACTTTTACCTTCTCATTTCAAACTCTACAATCACTAATATAACAATACTTTTTTCACTTATGAGTAATCAAATTTCAAAAAGGAAAAAATAAAACTTTCAGCTTATCTTCTTGATGGCGTATTTTACCAAGCCTTATAATCATTCATCTGGAGTCTAAAATCTTATAATTTATTTTTTCATCTCAAAAATACCCCTTTTAGATCTCTATGTCAATGAATTTTGGGAGGACCCCGCTCTGGCCTACGATTACATGAGGCCATGTAAAATGAATCTATCTTTTGACCACACCATGATGAATACAATTTGGATCCCGAACACCGCATTTATCAATTCGAAAAGCGCTCAAATCCACAGCTCGCCATTTCGGAATGTGTTTTTGATGATCTTCCCGAACGGCTCAATCTGGTCTTGCTGGAGAATCAAGAGCAGAGGACCTTGTTTGTTGGATCTGTATCAGGTAGAACTGTTTTTAGTTTGTGTTTTAGTATTTAGAATAATTGAAAAAAAGGTCGATGAATTTCACTGTGCAAAAAAGGTGGATCAAAAATTTGCACCGTGCAATAAATTTTGTCGAAATTTTTCCACGGTGCAAAAAAAATAAAACTGAATTTTTTTTCTCACTGTATGAAAAAAAGTCGAAAAAAAACTCGATTGAAATTTGTGCATTGTGCGAAAAAAGAAAAGCGAAAGTTTTCTGCACTGTGCGAAAAAATCGAAAAAAATTTTTTGCACCGTGCAAGAAAAAAAAATCAATAATAGTTTTTGCACTGTGCATGAAATCGATCAAAATTTTTTGCACTGTGCAAATTAAAAATTCTTCTTTTCAGTTTCCCATGGACAAGATAACTTGTTTCTTGACCTTCGAATCCTACAATTACAATCGAAATTTGGTCAGGATGATGTGGAATGCCCCTTCAGCGGTGCTTCTTTATAAGGACATTGAATTGCCCGACTTTTCATTGACAAATTACACTTGGAACATTATCGAGAAGGTAAGCGAGACACGATGATTCAGTTCGTATTTTACAACTCATATTTTTCAGCAATACGCTGCTGGCGTTTGGGATGAACTTTCTGTTCATTTCGCGTTCAAACGACGCTATGGTTGGTATCTTCTGCAAGGCTATATTCCAACATACCTCACAATTTTCATATCGTGGATTCCGTTTTATTTGGGCCCCAGGGCGATCCCAGCCAGAACAATGATTGGCGTGGTAAGAGGGGAACTTTTTAGGTTTTTTTTGGCTTTTGCACAATGCGTGAAAAATAAGTTTGATGCATTTATTATATTTTTAACCGCACTGTGCAATTGCACAGTGCAAAAAAAGTTTTGATTGCACTGTGCAAAAGCGACAAATTTTGCACAATGCGGCGCGACAAACCTTGGGTTTTTTGTTTTTGCACTGTGCAGCCAGAAAATTATGATTATCGCACTGTGCCAAAGCGACAAAGTTTGCACAGTGCAAACGTAAGTGTTATTTTTTGCCGCACTGTGCGCTGAGAAAAAAGCTTTTGTTTTTTGCACCGTGCAAAGAGAAAAATTTTTGCACTGTGCGAAAAAATGTTTGCACTGTGCAAAAGCGACAAATTTTGCACAGTGCGGCGCGATAAACCTTGGGTTTTTAGTTTTTGCACTGTGCAGCCATAAAATTTAGATTATTGCACTGTGCAATCAGAAATTGTTATTTTTTGCCGCACTGTGCGCCGAGAAAAAAGCCTTTGTTTTTTTGCACCGTGCAAAGAGAAAAATTTCTGCACTGTGCGAAAAAATGTTTGCACTGTGCAGCAAAAAAATTTCGAAAAGTGCACAGTGCGGAAAGATGAAGAATTCTATAAAAATCGGCGTACTAAGCACCAGAACAACACCACGAACGCCTAAAGGCCAACTTTACACCTCGTACTACATAGTATCAGATAGTAAGCACCAAGTCTTTAAAACGTGTTTTTGAAGAGTGCTAAGCATCAAAACAACACCATTAACGTCAAAAGCCATATTTTGACCTCGTACTATATAGTATCAGAATAGTAATGTATAGTACTAGAGGAAAAATGAACATGATTTTCGAAACCAGCACCTTCGAAATCCCCTAAATCCAGTATTTTTCGAATTGTCGCAAACCATATAGTGCACAGTGCGTTAATGATTTTTTTTTTTTTTTTTTTTTTTTTTTTTTTTTTTAATTTTTTGCGGAAAATTGCTGACATAATAGCAAAATTCCAGAACGCTCTTCTCGCTATGACTTTCCAATTCGGCAATGTGATCCGAAACTTGCCACGGGTCAATTACATCAAAGTCATCGATTGGTGGGTCCTGTCCGGGATGTCGTTCGTTTTTGGCTCTTTGATCGAGTTGGCCGTGATTGGATTCAAAATGAGGAATGAGGGAAATTCGCTGAAGATCAAGGATTTGAGCAAAAAACGCAAATTTAAGAAGAAAACGGCAGTGGTAATACGATGCGAAAGGTTGGATTTGATGTCAAGGTACCTGTTTCCGTGTAAGTCGACTTTTAGTTTTGTTTTGTTTTTGAAAAAAATTTGGTGGAAATTTTGGATTTTTAAACCGAAAAAGTAGAGAAAAAACCGCACTGTGCGGTGATTTTATCGCACTGTGCAATAAATTTTTTTTGCACTGTGCATTTTGCATTGTTTTTTTTAATTTCATCGCACAGTGCAATAAAATTTTTTTGCACTGTGCGATACAAAAAAAAACTTTTGCACAGTGCGACGATTTTATCGCACAGTCCAATGAAATTTTTCGCACAATGCAATAAAATTTTTTTGCACTGTGCGATACAAAAAAAAACTTTTGCACAGTGCGACGACTTTATCGCACAGTGCAATGAAATTTTTTCGCACAGTGCAATAAAAATTTTTTTGCACTGTGCGATACAAAAAAAAGCTTTTGCACAGTGCGCCGCAGAAATTTGCACAGTGCGACGATTTTATCGCACAGTGCAATGAAATTTTTTCGCACTGTGCGATAAAAAATTTTTGCACTGTGCGATACAAAAAAAAATTTTGCACAGTGCGTAGCAAAAATTGCACTGTGCGACGAGCCTTCTAACCGTGCAATAAAAAAACTATAATTTTTCAAAAAAAATTACTACTAAAAAGCGCAATTTCAGTGATGTTTACGTTGTTCAATCTTGTCTACTGGGGTCGAATGATCATCAACAACGAGTTCTAGCCGAAACTCATCAAATTCATCGTCTCACGTCAGCTTTGTGGACATTCCTCGTTTATCAAGTGCCTTTCGACTGAATTTTTGGTCAATTTTGGAGGTGGAAAGTAATGTAAAAAGAATTTTTGTAAGATTTTGAATAAGTTTTGATAAATATTTTGTTATACTGGACGTGTTTATATTTTTTTACTTTTTATTTTAAAAAAATAATTAAAAAAATTGCATAAATTTCAAAAATTGAAAAATTACGTAATCCCCCAAATCACCGAAAAAATCGAAAATTTGCATAATTTTGCTGTTTTATAAAAATTCAAAAATTTGCATAATTCCCCTATATTACCCAAAAAACCATAAAATTTGCATAATTCCCCTATATTACCCAAAAAAACCGTGAAATTTGCATAAAAGTTCATCCTCCCCCAAAAATCTCCCTCATTTCATTCGCATCCCTCTTGTTGGGTGGTCTTTCCAATGTGTCGCTGCAAAAAGAAGGCCAAAGTTGTGCAACCGGCGCCGCCGCCGCCGCCGCCGCCAGCGCCTCCGGCGCCGGCGAAGCCAGCGGCTCCAGCGGCTCCAGTGCCCTCTCCGAATGCCCCAATACAGCCCGTACCAAAAGCGGAGGCTAAACAAAAGAAAGTTCTGGTAAGTTGGGGAAAGTAATTCATCTAGGGAAGCAAGAAGTCCGAAACTGATGCCTATTCCGACACAAAAATTGGGTAAAAGTTCCTTATTTTGGCCACATAACTTTGCGGAAACTGGTCGGAATTAGCCCAAATTTGGCGTTCAGGCTCAATTCTTCGTTGTCAATGCAAGGACAGTGGATTTAGATAGTGAGGTACCTTCTTTTTTACGTACCACGTTATCCTTCAAAAACGGCTGCAGCCTGCGATTTTACACTTTATACGATGAAACATGTCCGGAACTGAACTTATTGCCTCTGTGTAGAACTATTATAAATGAGCCGTCACAGGTTTAGTAGGTACCCTTAAAACTATAAAGCTACTATAGTAATTCAGTGCCAGCTAGGTCGAAGCGTTTTTTCCTAGCTTTAGTGCCCAAGCTTGGGTGCAGTTCGCGGAGTACCTTTGATGTGGCCAAAATAAGGAACTTTTTCCAACATGCTAATAGCTCGTTTTACAATGGGTCAAAATCCCTGCAAATTGACCTGAAAATATTTTGCACACCTCCGTTTTGCACTGTGCAGGTTTTTCTGTTGTCTGCACGATGCAAGATTTGGTTTTTCTATCGCACTGTGCGCCAAAATTTTTGAATTTACGATGAATTTTTTTGGACCCGTACTTCTTGCTTGACCTTATTTTGTCACGGTAAAACCAAAATTATTGATATTTCCTAATTTATTCAAATTTCAGAAGGACTTGGAGGAGATGTTATGGATTCAAAAGGTATTCTGCGAACTGCGCTATGTTAGGAAAAAAGGCTTCGGCCTAGCTGGCACCAGAGATTGCCACGGCTCCGGAGCCGGCTGTTGGCTCCGGCTCTGAGCGGCTCCGGCTCCGAGCCGGGAGCCAGAGCCGGAGCCGGAAATTTTGGGGTCGACTCCGGCTCCCGAGCCCAGAGTCGGAGCCAGGCTTCCCAGCGGTCAGAAAAGTAAAAATTTCGTGATCTTGTTAAACCAAATTGCTTGAAAAAACACTGCAGAGGATGTGACTTGGCCGCAAAAACGTTGGCTGTATGACCTCTGGCACTAATAACTTTTATTTTTGGAAAAATATTTAAAAAAAAAAACATTTTGCATAAGAGCCGGGATTCGGAGCCGGAGGCCTTTTTAAATTTTGCACGCAGCCAAGAGCCGGAGCCGGAGCTGCAAATTTGGCCTCGGCTCCGGCTCTGGGAGCTAAGAGCCGGAGCCGAAATTTTGACCGTGGCAATCTCTGGCTGGCTCTGAATTACTACAGCCGCTCTATAGTTTTAAGGGTACCTACGAAGGCGATAACGTCTCATTTTGTTGGACACGTAGGCAATAAGTTTAGTTCCGGACAGGTTTCCTCGTATAATGTGAAAAATCGCAGGCTGCAGCCGTTTTTTGAAGGGTAGGGTGGTACGTAAAAAAGAAGGTACCTCAATAACTAAATCCACTGTCCGGACATTGACAATGGTGAATTGAGCCTGCACGCTAAATTTGGACGAATTTTGACCAGTTGCCGCAACGTTATAAGTTGTGGCCAGAATAAGGAACTTTTATAGAAGTTCAATAAAACACCCGACGATCCGAAAAAAGTAAAATCGACAAGATCCAAGGCATTATCGAAGAATACATGCAGTGCCAGATCCAGTGAGTTTTCTAAACTTATTCATTTTGTATTGATGTTTTAAGTCGGGTGATCAGAACGAAAAAAGGTCTGTGGCCACAACGAGTGCTATAGCGAATCCAGTTTCTCTGAATTTTTGAATTTTTTTGATGACTTTATGTTATACTTGACCAACTGATGTCTAGTGAGCTTTTCGATGATATTTAAAACAGCTAAGGAGTTCTAAGTGACATGAATAGGGCTTATAAGGGTTTACTAACCTGTGGTATTTCTTGTGGAGGCATATTTTGTTTATTTTTAGCTTTTTTTGACTTTATATATTATACTTGACCAGCTGATGTCTAAAGAGCTTTTTGATGAAATTAAAAAAGAAGCTGTGACCTTCTTTATGACATGACTAGGGCTTATAAGGGTTTACTAACCTGTGGTATTTCTTGTGGAGGCATATTTTGTTTATTTTTAGCTTTTTTTGACCTTATATATTATACTTGACCAGCTGATGTCTAAAGAGCTTTTTGATGAAATTTAAAGAAGCTGTGACCTTCTTTATGACATGACTAGGGCTTATAAGGGTTTACTAACCTGTGGTATTTCTTGTGGAGCCATATTTTGTTTATTTTGAGATTTTTTGAACATTTTATATTATACTTGACCAGCTGATGTCCAAAGAGGTTTTTGATGAAATTTAAAAGAGCTAAGGAGTTCTAAGTGACATGACTAGGGCATATAAGGGTTTAGTAACCTGTGGTATTTCTTGTGGAGCCATATTTTGTTTATTTTTCGCTTTTTTTTGACCTTGTATATTACACTTGACCAACTGATGTTGAAGAGGCTATAAAATGTTTCTGATTGCTTGAAAACATTTATTTTTGGTTTGCAAAGTGCTGTTCTGCTCTATAGATTTGGTTTATAAGTGAATTTAGGATATTTTGGCTTTTTGAACAGCTATTCGACTACTTATATTACACTTGGCAAATTGTTGTCCAATTTGAATAAAGAAAGTCGTATCGTTGTTTTTTTCACGTATTTCCCTCTGCTCGCTTCATTTTTACATATGGTTTTGTCAGAAAATTCAAATGCCTTTTTTCCCGCCATTTTTTTAAAAAATTGGCATTCTGTTGCACCAGCGATTTTTACGATAAATCAACTTCCCATTGGCATTTCAGGCGACATCGAGAACCCGTTAGCGAACACGCGCAGAATTGGGACGACCTCGATGATCGAAACCGGCGACACTGCGATGGCGACATTGGAGAAAGTTTGGAGACGAAAGGACTATGTCAAGCAAGTTGACCCTACTCGCCCAAGAGTTTGCTGTTTTTCAGAGATCCCTCCTTGTCCTCTACCCAATCCGAGTGCGCTGAAGATGCTGAAGACGAGCTGGATTCGGAGCTGGATGCGGATCCCACGGACGAGAACTTCATGTACAACAAGACGGATATTTTGTTCTGCCAACATGACTTGTTTCGAGGTTCTTTTGACAAGACGGAGGAACAGGTGATGGCGGTCCGTTTTTATTTGGGTTTTGATTGTTTTGCGCGGTGAAATTGTTTGTTTTTTTTTGCACTGTGCGCCGGCGACAACTGTTTGTGCAGAAAAAAATTTTTGGTTTTTTGCACGGTGCAGAAAAAAATTTTTGTTTTCTGCACGGTGCAGAAAAAAAATTGTGTTTTGCACGGTGCAGAAAAAAAATTTTGGTTTTTTGCACGGTGCAGAAAAAAATTTCGGTTTTTTTGCACAGTGCAGAAAAAAAAATTTTTGTTTTTTGCACGGTGCAGAAAAATTTTTTTGGTTTTTGCACGGTGCAATGGCAAAAATATGAAACTTTTGTCGCACATGACGATTTTATTTTCGTTGCACGGTGCAGAAAAAATTTTTGGTTTTTTGCATAGTGCAGAAAGAAATTTTTGTTTTTTGAACGGTGCAGAAAGAAATTTTTGTTTTTGCACGGTGCAATGGCAAAAATATGAAACTTTTGTCGCACATGACGATTTTATTTTCGTTGCACGGTGCAGAAAAACATTTTTGTTTTTCGCACAGTGCAGAAAGAAATTTTTGTTTTTGCACGGTGCAATGGCAAAAATATGAAACTTTTGTCGCACATGACGATTTTATTTTCGTTGCACGGTGCAGAAAAACATTTTTGTTTTTCGCACGGTGCAATGGCAAAAATTATGAAACTTTTGTCGCACAGTGCAGCAAAAAAATTTTTTTGGTTTTTCGGATTGTAAAATTTTTTTGCCTGCACCGATTTTATTCTCGTGCACGGTGCAGAAAAAATTCTTGGTTTTTTGCACGGTGCAATGGCAAAAAATATGAAGCCGGCGGCAATTTTTGTTGCACAGTGCAGCCAAAATTTTGTTTGGTTCTTTGCACTATGCAAAAAATTTTTCCGCCTGCACCGTGCAACTTGTTTTTAATTTTTGCACGAAAAAAATTTTTTAAGATTTTTTCAGTACTTGGCAGAGCCGCGGAAGGTAATCCCGGAATTGAAATGGGACCCATACACGCCGTTGAGCGACATGCTCACCCCGGAAAAGGATTGTTTCTTCAGTCCGCATACGCTGAGATGTGGCACCTTGATTTCAAATATCGAGGTAGTTGGGTTCCCTTGTCAGAAATCACCGAAGGAGCGCTGTAAATGGGAGTGAGTTTTGAGATTATTTGTTTTTGGGGGTTTTTGAATTTTTTTACAATTATATTTTTAAAATAATTTTCCGAATTTTAGTTCATTTTTTATTTTTTTATAATTACATTTTTAAAATAATGTTCCGAATTTTAGTTAATTTTTTATTTCTGTTTTTATTTAAAAATTTTTTTTTTTATTTTTTTACAATTATATTTTTAAAATAATTTTCGGAATTTTAGTTTATTTTTTATTTTTTTTATTGTTTAAAATATTTTTTTTTATTTTTTTACAATTATATTTTTTAAAATAATTTTATGAATTTTAGTTTATTTTTTATTTTTTTTTATTGTTTAAAATATTTTTTTTTATTTTTTTACAATTATATTTTTAAAATAATTTTCGGAATTTTAGTTTATTTTTTATTTTTTTTATTGTTTAAAATATTTTTTTTTATTTTTTTACAATTATATTTTTAAAATAATTTTATGAATTTTAGTTTTTTTTTTATTTTTTAAAATTATTAATTTTTTTAAGTAATTTTTTTGTTTTTTTTATTTTCCGAATTTCAGACCACTAGAAGTCGATGATTCCCCAATTGAACTTGATCTCTTCCCAACCCCCACTGCGGAAATCCCCGAAGAATCCATCGGCGACGTCAATTTCTTTGATTGGCCAAGGAAATCTAAAGGAATAAAAACCAAGCCGACACAGACAACAGCCACAAAGTCTAGAGATACGACCAGAACAGGAGAACGGAAATCCTCCGTAAGAAGCAAGAAAAAAGAGCATTGAGATGAATGTATATTCAGGCTTTAAATGAGTATTGTATTTATAGGAAAATAAACGATCTTTCTATAATATTAAAAAAAGTTTATTTACTTTTTTTTGAATTTTTGGATTTTTCCAAAATTTTTATTGGAAGTATTTATTTTAAAAAACTTTTTTTTTTATTATTTTTTGATTTCTGATTTTTTATCAAAATCTGTATTTTTTCGTTCAAAAATATTTTATATATTTTTAATTGTTTTTGTTTTGTTTTTTTTTATTTTTTGGATATAATATTTATTTTTTTAAAATTATTTTTTTAAATGTTTTTTAATTGATATTTTTGCATTTTAAAATTTTATTTATTTTTATTTATGTTACATTTTTTTATTTAAATCAATTTTTTTATCATTTTAAACTTGATATTTTCAAAGTTTTTATTTCTTTTTTATTTTGAAAAATTTATTTTGTGGACTGTTCCGATCAATTATATTTTTATTTCTGATTTTTTATCAAAATTTGTATTTAAATTCACGATAATAATATTTTTAAAATATAACATTTTTTAAAAATTTATTTTCAGGGTTTTTTTATTTTTAAATATGATTTTTTATTCAAAATTTAGTGTAACTTTTTCTTTTTTGTTAACACGGTATTTTTGTTCAAAAATATTTTATATATTTTATAATACTTTTTGCATTTCCAAATTTTTTATTTTTTATTTAAATTAATTTTTATAATTTTTAAAATTGATATCTTTTAATTTTTTAATATTTTATTCATTTTTCAATTGTTTTTATTATTCTAAATTCGATATTTTCAAATTTTTTTTATTTTTTAATATTTGATTTATTTTACAATTTTTTTAGTATTCTAAATTCAATATTTTCAAACTTTTTTATTTTAAAAAAAATTTTCATTTTCACTTTTCACGACAAGTTTCAAAACACTATCGAATCCACCCTCCTTTTTCTATATTTCTCATCCCTCGAGGGAGACGGTAATCGAAAACATGAAAATGAGTAGGAAATACGGGGGGCTAATCTCGCTTCCATCGCCGCCCACAAAGACGAGTTTTTTTATCGTTGCGCGAGATCTGGCAGAAAGTAAGTTCGCCAGAAAAAAACTCGAATATTTTAATAAGCCCACAATCTCGGAACGACGTTCATTTGAGCAAATGGGCTGGGATGAGTCGGGTCTTCTTCCTGGGGGCTTCCGAGGGCTTCTAATTTGGATTAGAGGGTGCTGGGAAGGGGAGAAAAGTTTAGGGGTGCTCAAGATCTAATAACTACTAATAATATTTACAGAGGAAGTACTCCAAGTGCGACGCTTGGATTTTCTTTAAATTTTGCACACACGTCGGGTATGGACTAAATATCAATTCCTGAAAGTTTTAGCTCTTGCGTTGCGAGCGCAGCCGAGATATCGAACGATCTTTGCCGCCGACAGTAGGCATGGCTCCGGGCCGGGCTTTGCAAAATTTTCCGGCCCGGGCCGACTGATTTCTCGGCCCGCCTCCGGGCTTTGATTTTTAGGCCCGGCCCGGTCCGGTTTTTTTGAAATCTGAGGTTTGCCCGGAAAAAAAAGGAAAAAACAAGCTTTTTCGATATAATTTTTCATTTTTTCAAACATAATGCTGATAGCAAACGTAAAGTGACCTTATGTACTTAGGTTTTGCTAAATTTTTCTTTACATTTTGCAAAAATTTGGCATAATTTTCCTTTCATGTCCGCTTTCTTTCTTTCCAGCCTAGTATGAAAAATTTCCGGGCCGAACCGGGCCGGGCTTTCCAAATTTTTCAAACCCGGGCCGGGCTGTCCCGGTTTGCAGCCATGCTTAGCCGAGAGAGCACGCTAAACGTGGAGAGCGGTCAGAGAGAAAAAACGCTTTTTGTCCATAACTTTGGCAGTTTCGCGCGGAAAAATTTGATTTTTTGTAGAAACATTATCCTTTACAGTTGAAATAGGCATGAAAATTTTCGTGCCAAAATTCGGCCAAAAGTACAAAATTTTCGCCAACTTTCGATCTAAAAATCTCGGTTGTTTCTGCAAAGCGCGAGCTAGGATTCTCGCATATATCTTAGAAAAAATTATTCTAAATTTGTGCCAAGTTTCATCAAAATCTGAGCGTCGCACTTGGAGTACTTCCCCTGTAAGTTTCACATCAGTCCGTCGGGAAAATAATGGGCACTCTCTTGCTAGTGGTTTCATAAATTGCGTAGACTTTTTTTTCACGGCGCACAGTGCCGTAGATATTTTTGAATTGCACGGTGCGAAAGTCAAATGCATAGTGCGGAAAATTTGTGAGGAAAAGTCCACGTTCTGTAGGGAAAATAATGAGGAAATTCTCTTAAAAACAGATTGCTTTTCACTTCCAAGTTGTTTCAGAAAGTACGTAGACTTTTTTCGGCCTTGCACAGTGCAAGTTGCCTGTTTCCCGCGTTTCATGTTTGCGACACGATCGGCGCAGCGACGTTGCGATTATTTTTTCCCCACTCACTGATCCTATTACAGTAATTCTTTATCAGTCTGTCGGGAAAATAATGTGGATTCTTGAAGCAACGTATAGTCACTTTTAGACGGCTAGTTGCGGCTGGAGATTTGGTCGAGCGACTGATGTATTTTACTTACTGCGACAACTCCACATTATTTTCCAGACAGAACGAAAACACTATTTTTGATTTGAAAATAATAGGAATTTTTGATTTTCGCCCTGATTTCCCCTTGATATCCAATCAAAAATCCCAATTATTTTTCTCGAAGCCCCCATTCCAGTAGCTTAATTAGCCGGCTAATTACAACAAACGCGGATGTAATTGGCTTTCTAATTACTCTCATAGGTATTCCGCGCTAACTTCTTTCAATAAGTTAGCATTCTTCCAATAAAGATCCTCCGAAATCGGAGGTTCAAAGGGAAGAAAGCGACCCTACAAACAGACCCTTTTGTATTCGTGGTTTGTTTTGGAGAGTGAAAGTAATTAGTTTTGTATCGCTTTTTAAGGATGTTTCGAAAGGTTTTTGGCGGCAAGGAAGCGTTCGCTGGACTTTGATGAGCAAAATAGCCCGTCCAGAAAGTGCGTGGACTTTTCGTCGCAAACCTTTTTTGCTTTGTGCATTTGAATTTTGCACTCCGGAAAAAAGAAAAATGCGCCACAAAAAAAAGTCTACGCACCTTATGAAAGTGGTTTTTGATATCAGAGGGTCAAATTCGATCACCTGCAGGGCTAAAAGGTATTAATTTTCGGCACAAAAACTTATTTTTTATTTTTTATAAAAATCTTATTTTTGCACAGTGCAAAGAGAGAAAAAAACTTTTTCGTGTGCTTGCACGGTGCAAAAATAAAAAATTTGTCTTCGCACAGTGCAATCGACATCTCGTTTTTTTCGGCACCGTGCAATATACTTCTTGCCAATTTCTTTTTTTTGCACTGTGCACAAGGAAAGATCTCCTTGAAGCAACTCGTTGCGCCAGAACTCTACCCCTTTTTCAACTCTCCCCCTTTTTGAACACCCCCCTCATTTTGAAAATTGAAAAAATGAGGTGTAACATCTTATACGATGAAAATTTTTTCAAGTTGAAAAGAATGAGGTGTCACATCGTATTTTTCTCAAAATTTTTCTCAATTTGAAAAAATTTTTCATCGTATAAGATGTCACACCTCATTCATTTCAATTTGAAAAAAAATTTCCATCGTATAACATGTCACTTTTTTTCTTCTTCGCACAGTGCAGTTCCAACATTCAATTTTGCAAAAAATTCCAAATTTACGTCAAGATACGAAGATTTTGTTTACCCAGATCCACCGAGGTGTTGAGTTCTCGGAAATTTCATAACACCCCAAAAAATTTTTCGTTCCGAAAAACGGCGAAACTGGAGGGTGCCCCTCAAGCTCAAGTGCCGCATCAAATCAAAAAAAATGCGCCATTGGCGAAAAAAATCGAAAGCGATGAAACAAAAGCGGGAGGGAGGAATTTTGTGAAACTTTTAATTTTTCAGCCTCAGGGCATTTAATATGATTTTTGAACGGATTACGAATTTTTTTGAATTTCTGCACTGTGTAAGAAATTTTTTTTGATGCACTGTGCAAAAAAAGTTTATTTGGTTTGCACTGTGCGATTCGAAAAAACTTTCTTTTGCCTGCACTGTGAAATTTCTTTTGTTGCTCACTGCACAGTGCGTTCTTATTTTTCTTTTTTCGCATTTTCATTGCACAGTGCAGACGATTTTTCGATTTCACAGTGCAAAAGGCGTTCAAAGAAGCGTTTGTTCATTTGCTGCACTGTGCAATATTTGTCGCTAAAACTGCACTGTGCGATGAAAAATGTCCTTCTTTTTGTTGCACTGTGCAATATTTGTCGCTAAAATTGCACTGTGCAGTAAAACGAAAAATACTTTTCGCTGCACTGTGCAAAGAATCTTTTTTTTTCAAAACCGCACGGTGCAATCGGCTGACAGTCTGTCGGGAAAATAATGTGGATTCGTCATTTTTTGTCGCTCTGTGAAGGCTAGTCGTGGCTGGAGATTTGCTGCGCGACTGCGAAAAGGCGATAAATTTTTCTGCGACAAGTCCACATTATTTTCCCGACAGGCTTAATTTTTTTTTTTTTTTTGAATCGATATTTAATTTCTATTTTGATTTCTCCACATTATTTTCCCGACAGGCTTTTTTTTTTTTGATTTACCGAACCCAATGTCATAAACAGAATATTGAATGGCTGTGACCCCGTTAAACTGTTTACGACCAGTCGTTTTACCCTCTCTTTTTTTGAAACCGGAAGCTGAGGAGGGCAACTCGACTTTCACTTGTCCGCGCCTTTTTTTGGAGGCTAACGGAACTGCGAGGAGGGTTTACAGTATGACTCGGTTTTAGTTTTTTACTGCTTTAATCGTGTGAGTATAAAAAAAAAACAAGTTGAGCTGGAGAAAAACAGATGCAATAAAAATTTTCACGTTTTTTAGGTTGCAAATCGTGAAAAAGTGGTATTTATATTTGAATTGAGTTTCAGCAAGATTTTTGCGACCTTACCGTGACATATTTACCATAAAATTTCATCGCACCGTGCAAGAAATTCAATTTATTTTTTCTGCACAGTGCAGCTTCGATAAAAATCAAAAATTTTTTGGCCAGTGAATTCTGACCAGAAAAATAAATTTTTTGGCAGAAAAAGTCACACTGTTTATGCACCGTGCAAAAAAATCCAATTTATTTTTCTGCACGGTGCAAAAATTTAAGTTTTTTTATTGCACAGTGCACTTGTCAACAAAAATAAAAAAATTTTTTGGCCATTTACCACTGAATTTTGGATTGATAAATGTTACTTTTTTCGCAGAGAGGATCCCCTGCAAAACAAATTGTTTATTTTTTTCCGCACAGTGCAAAATTTTTTACATTTTTATTGTAGCCTTAGTAATGGCGGTAAAAAAATTTTTGGCAATGTTACACCGACTATTAGGTGGAAAAAAAAGAATTTTGGGACATAAAAAATCCCCCTTTCATTGCACTGTGCAAAAAAAAATAAATTTATTTTTTCCGCACAGTGCGAAATTTCCAACTTTTTTTTAAAATTGTATCCTCATCAAAAAAAACTCCAGGCAATTTTACGATGACTATTAGGCAGAATGAACTGAATTTTTAGGACACAAAAAACCCCAATTGAACTGCACTGTGCAAAAAATAATTTTATTTTTTCCGCACAGTGCATCCAACATCCCATACAAAAAACACTGTTCTGCTTCCCGAAACCCGCAATTAATTATGGGTTTTGTTTGTCTTCCATTCCGTTCGAATTCCTTTCCAACCGTGTAATCTTTGTAGCATCAAATACGAATTTCCGAATCCCTTCCGAAGGAAAAGATGAAACGGTGCCGCCGGCAAAAACGAAACAAAAAAGCATTCGAAAAGCCGTTTTCGAATAATTAAACCGTTTATTTATTTTCTTCAGCGCGATTAAAATCCAATTCGATTGAACTTTTACGGGATAGCAGTGCTTCTTTTCGAAATTTGTTTCGTGATTTTTTTGAATTTTTTTTATTTTTTTTTGTTCAGAATTTATTTAAATTTGGAGACAAAGGCCGAATGTAATTTTTTGGGACCTTTTACCGATTTTCAGCTTTGGTTTTGGCCATTTTATTTATTTTTTTTATTTAAAATTTTTTTTTTTAATTTAAAAATTCCAAAAAATACGAAAAAAAAATTATTTTTTACTCTAGATGATTTGAATATACAAATTATAAATTTTTTTTCTCTATTTTTTTCTTTTTTCCTGTGAAAAAAAAATTTTTCTTTCTGCACTGTGCAAAATTTTGTTTCATTTGCACGGTGCGAATAAATAATAAAAAATTTTTGCACTGTGCGGAAAAAAATATCAATTTTTGCACGGTGCAAGATGCGAAAAAACATTTTGGTGGCTGCACTGTGCAAAAAATTGACTTATTTTCCCAACCGCACTGTGCGATATTTTTAATTTTTGCACGGTGCAGTTTGCGAAAAAAAATTTTCTCTTTTTCTGCACTGTGCAATATTTTGTTTCATTTGCACGGTGCGGATAAATAAAAAAATTGCACTGTGCGGAAAAAATATCATCAATTTTTGCACGGTGCAAGATGTCAAAGAAAATTTTTGAAATTTATTTTTCCAGCCGCACTGTGCGAGATTTTAAATTTTTGCACGGTGCAGTCGTAAAAAAACTTTTTTTTTCGTTCTGCACAGTGCAATCAATATATTTTTTAGTTTGCACGGTGCGAATGACTAAAAAAATGACTAAAAATTGCACTGTGCGAAAAAAGAAATCTTTCACGTGCAATTTTTTTATTTTTTTTTTTTTACTATTTTTTTTATTTTTGAAATTTTTTTCCTAATTTTTTTTTTTTTTATTTTATTTTTATTTATATTTTTTTTTATTTTTCTCAAAAAATTATATGCAATTAAAAAAATTTTTTTTCAAATTTCAAAAAATTGATCTTCACAAATTACCTCGGCATTTTCACTATTTTTCCCCACTTTTTTCTCCCCCTAAACACCCCATTTCCAGCCTCAAAGTTCAAAAAATCTTGTTTTCTCAGCCCCGTCTCCAGTGTGGAAAGCTCAAGTTCAAATCCCCCGCCGAACCATTTCCTGGTCAACTTTTCCCTCGCCTTTGTATCCAATAAAAAGCGCCGCAAGAGTATAATATAATACAAAAGTTCCAGTCGATTGACGCTGTAAAAAAATTTTTTACACGAAACACTGAAAAAAAACAAATTTTCAAATCGATCGTTTTTTTTATTTGAATAGCCACTCGGTGGGTGAGAAAAATCGAGGGAAAACGGGGGATTTTACCATTAACGGAAAGGGAGTAATGTCATAAAACTGTCATCGTATTTTGACGGAGGGCGAATTCCGCGAGTTTGGAATTTTTTTCACTTTTTCCGGTTCGGTTTTTGTGGTTTTGGAATTTCAATTTTGTTACTCTCACTGTGCCGATTTCATAAAATTTTTTGAGTTTTTGCACTGTGCGATAAATTTTTAAAATTTTTTCTTCCCGCACTGTGCAATGAACAAAAAAATTTTGCACTGTGCGGAAAAAAGTAGGCCAATTTTTGCACTGTGCAGGTCGTAAAAAGAAAAAACTGCGGCATCGTGCAATTTTTTTCGAATTTTTGCACGGTGCAGTTAGACAAAAAAAGTTTTTTTCTTCCTGCACTGTGCAGTAAAGTGCATTTTTTTTATTTGCACGGTGCAAACCACTAAAAATTTTTTGCACTGTGCGGAAAAATAGATCAATTTTTTGCACGGTGCGTGTCGCAAAAAAAAAAGATTTGGTTGCTGCACAGTGCAAGGAACACTAAAAAATTCCGCACTGTGCAAAAAAATTAATTTTTTTTTTCATCCGCACCGTGCGATTTTTTAAAAAAATTTTTTGCAAAAAAAAGATTTGGTTGCTGCACAGTGCAAAAAAATGACTGATTTTTTCCGCAACACCGGCCAATTTTTTAAATTTCTGCACAGTGCAAATATAAATATATCTGATCGTTTGCACGGTGCAAAAAAATCAAAAATTTTGCACTGTGCGGAAAAAAAAGTTTCTTTGTGCGCTGTGCAGGCGATGAAAAAAAATTTTTTTTTGGTTGCTGCACTGTGCAATGAACACAAAAAAATCCGCACTGTGCAAAAAGAATTAATTTTTTTTTCCAGCCGCACCGTGCGATTTAAAAAAAAAAAAATTTTTTGCACGGTGCAAAATTTAGGTTTCTTTGCACGGTGCAATTGAAAAATCAAAATAAAAATTTGCACTGTGCCAATTTTTTTTGATTTTTCTTTGATTTTTTTCGCCGCATAGTGCAGTAAAATTGCCAGGAGGCGTTTTTATTCTCCATAAGTTATTGTTAATGACTTTTTGAGAATTTTACAGCTCTCATTTTTTTGAAATTTTTGAAATTTCATTGATTTTTAAACCGAAAATTTTCATTTTTTTGCAAAAAAGGAATATTTCTTTTTACGTATTTTACCTTTTTTTACGTTTAATTCCACTAAAAACCCCACTAAATTTACATTTTTTCAGGTATTTCTCCGCCATGACACTCTCAAATCCCCCAATTTTTCGGATACGACATCTGATTTTCGCTTTTCTCCTAATCTCCCAAATATCACCTCAAAAATCGCCTGAGGGCAAACCGAACTTCCTCAGTCAGCCAACTCGACTGGACCTTCTGAACACCGTCCCGGATTCGATTACAACAACCACCGTGATGCCCAAACTACTCCCAAATTTGTTGGCCGAGATCGGCCGCGATCCTAGAGAATATTTCGCGGAAGAAGCGGGCAAATCGGACAGCTACAAAACGGCTGTGGAGAAGACGAAAAAACCACAAAAGAGCGATGAAACCTCGGACAGTGAGGATCTAAAAGCGCTGTTGGAAGGGGTAAATTCCGGCGCCGAGGAATGGTGGAAACCAGTGGAACAGCAACAGCCTGAGGGTAAGTGTGCAATTTTTGAAGTTTTTTTCCATTTTTGGGTACTTATTTGGCCTGAAAAATTAAAGTTTTTAGAATTTTTAAATTGAAAAAAAAAAAAAAAAAAGTTTTCTTAAAATTTTTAATCTTCAAATTTTCATTTTTTTTTATCCAATTTCGGGTATCTTTAAAAGACGATTTCTGAGTCAGTGCGTCAGCCGTGGACATAGAAAAAAATCGATTTTGAGTTTTTTGCACTAAAATGGCTGTTGGAAGGTGCTAAGCAAAAGCGAACAATATTTTTTCCCAAAACCTTCATCAAGGTATATTTTTTTACAATTTACTGTTTTAGAAGTAACCGCGTCCAGCTGTCGTATCTTACCTTACTGGACGATGATTTGACGGTTACTGAAGTTTTCGACCCTTGCGATGACGATGGTATCATTATTTTTCCGATTTTCCTACTGTAACATACCGTAATGCTGTATCGACCGCTAAAAAACGACCGTAGAATCTTTCTTTCTGAAAATTTCACAGGCGATTTTACGATTTTTGGAATCAGCATAAAATTCTGCTCTAGAGGCAATCAAAAAAAGTTCAAAAAAAGCTGCGACAAATTTCGTGGTATAGTGGTTAGTGGTCGGGACTGCCAATCCAGCGACCCGGGTTCGATTCCGGCTGGGTGCGAATATCGAAAAGAAGTCGGAAATTAAATTTATTGTGATTCAGAGGATTGTATATTTTGACACAAGCAATTATTAATGTCAATCGTAGCTGGATTCGAGGTTAAAACGGGATTTATATAATTTTAGGGGCTCAATACATGAAAAAATAAAAGTGCTTCAAACCGGTTGAAATTGATAATACTTATTCTAAGGGCTATTCTAAGACACTTTCTCGTTAACTTTTTTTCGTAACTTACTGTAACATGGATTACTGTGACATGAAATCCAATTTTATTTTTCGCATACCACGGGGCGTAGACAGCTCGGACTATCGCCATATTGATAGAGATGGTTAATAACGAGTTGGTTTGCATACAAAATTTTTTTTATGGCCGCACAGTTTGAAACAACCGGGTTATTTCACGAAGTTTTGTCAGATAGCGATGATATCAAGACACACTGGAAGTGAAGCGGAACTTTATTTTTTATACCTATAGTGGACCTTCGTTGCTGTTTGAACGACCTAGTCAAAAAAACTCGAGAGTGGATGCAACAATCTTGAAGAAAATCCCGTTTAAGTACAAAATCATTATCTTACTGTAGTGCATGGAACAGTAAGCTACCAAAAAAAAGTTAACGAGAAAGTGTCTTCGAATAGCCTTTAGAATAATTATTATCAATTTCAACCGGTTTGAAGCACTTTTATTTTTTCATGTATTGAGCCCCTAAAATTATATAAATCCCGTTTTAACCTCGAATCCAGCTACCATTGACATTAATAATTGCTCGTGGCAAAATATACAATCCTCTGAATCACAATAAATTTAATTTCCGACTTCTTTTCGATATTCGCACCCAGCCGGACTCGAACCCGGGTCGCTGGATTGACAGTCCCGACCACTAACCACTATACCACGAAATTTGTCGCAGCTTTTTTTGAACTTTTTTTGATTGCCTCTAGAGCAGAATTTTATGCTGATTCCAAAAATCGTAAAATCGCCTGTGAAATTTTCAGAAAGAAAGATTCTACGGTCGTTTTTTAACGGTCGATACAGTATTACGGTATGTTACAGTAGGAAAATCGGAAAAATAATGATACCATCGTCATCGCAAGGGTCGAAAACTTCAGTAACCGTCAAATCATCGTCCAGTAAGGTAAGATACGACAGCTGGACGCGGTTACTTCTAAAACAGTAAATTGTAAAAAAATATACCTTGATGAAGGTTTTGGGAAAAAATATTGTTCGCTTTTGCTTAGCACCTTCCAACAGCCATTTTAGTGCAAAAAACTCAAAATCGATTTTTTCCTATGTCCACCCCTAACAGACGGCTGATGCACTGACTCAGAAATCGTCTTTTAAACATACATTCACTAGGTCATTATTTTCGCACTGTGCGGTTTCCATTTTGACCTTGCACCGTGCAATTTGTCATTCATTTTTTTGCACTGTGCAGTCGAATCAAAAATTTCACTGCACTGTGCGGAATGTCAGTTGGGTAAAAAAGGTCGATAAAATGGAATAAATCGACCGTTTCAAAACGAAAAAAATATAGGTAGTCAAATTATTCGTTATACTAAATAACTTTTTAACAAAAACAAATAAAAACGAAAAAAAAAATTACGAAAAATTTAATTAAAACATTTTTTTTGGAAAGTAAAGCTTCATTTACAATTCTGATCTACACATAAAAGCGTTTTTATTCCTCTACTAGTCGGTCCATAAAAGAAAAATTTTCTCTGCACCGTGCAATAGGCTTTTTTGGCAGACTTTTTTTCGCACAGTGCAAACGTCAAAAATCATTCCAACAACTTTTTTCGGATGGACTAGTCTCAGTCTGTCGGGAAAATAACATGGATCAAGCCTTGGAATCGCCCATCACCGGTTTGTGACGGCTAGCCGCGGTTGGGCGATACATTTAGCTTCCAAATCCACATTATTTTCCCGACAGACTGAAAATCCTTTTTTTAACGATAAAAACTTTGGTTGTTTTAGAGTCTGTCGGGAAAATAATATGCATTTTGTCGCTGCACCAATCATGTCGCTAAAGTGAAGAGCACTTTGATTTTGTCGCGACACTTCATTTTCCCTGCGGCGATGTGATTTTCAATGCCACAGAGTGCTCATTATTTTCCCGACAGACTGATAAAATCATTTTTTTTTTGCCTCCAATTCAGCTTACATCCATATTTTTTCAGTTGCCCCTGCAGTCAAGACCTCGGAGTCGGAGCGAGTTCTCACCTCCCATTCCATCGACCAAGACCCTCTGGCGCATTTCCGCGAGACCGACGACGACGACGACGAGGAAGAGCCGCAGTTCCGAATCCGCCTCAGTCCGCGCAAGATCTCCGGTGACACCACTTCCGAGACCCTGACCATGGGCGGTGGGTCCTACAGCGAGAAGGCGTTGGTCAATTTTGACAGCTCGTCGGAAGAGGAGTTGCTGCAGAAGGGGCTGCTCAAATACGATCCCAAGATCTCGAAGATATTTTGGAGTGAAATGCTGAAGAGTGAGGGCCCGAGGATGCAGAAGGGACCCAGTTTTGCGAATATTCCCGGACGATTTGAATCGCTCAAACATAGAAGTCATGAAGAAGGTAGGGAAAACGAACTTAATATGTGTACAGTGTGGGACCTGATCCAGTGGCAAAAAACGTGCAGTGAGGGACCTGATCCAGTCGCAAACAACGTCTCCTTTTGCATCCCGGAACGGACCAAAATGACTCCAAACCATTCCCTTCTCTAACTAGGGAAGTGTACAAACGAACGCCAAATGGCAAGTGTTATACACCATTGGAAAGCCCTTGAAAAATGGTGCAAGACACCATTTTCATTTTTTGCAGAATGCCTCAGGGCAAAAAATTATAAACGTTTGATTTGTCCCATAAGGAGTTACAATATCTGCTGTGGGGCATAATAAATTTTATTTCAAAACGCTAAATGGTACGGAATGCTACTAGGTTAGCATAAGGATCATTAGCGCTTGCCCGTAAGACCATTTTACCTATGATATTTACTGGTTTTAAATACCCATAATGTAAAAACCGCTTTTCACTTTTTTTAATGTTGAAAAACATGTAAGTTTTATGGTTTTAACCGTAAGCGACCGTCTTCCAGTAAAATTAAAGCGTTTGTAAAAGTTTAACGCAAATATTTTCCTAACTGTAAGAACGCAAAAATGATTTTTCCCAGGCCGGGAACTGAACCCGGCTTGCTTTGTCTTATGCCCAGCAACCACTACACTATTGAAGCAACCCTCTTCTAGGATTTTTTCCTGCCCAAGAGAAAGAAAGATTTTTGTTGCAAAATGGCCTAATAATAATACAATTTACAGTATGTCGTCGCGGAAATGCATTCTGCAAAAAATGAAAATGGTGCCTTCTGCCATTTTTCAAGGGCTTTTCAACGACGTATGTCACTTATCATTTGGTGAGGGTTCGTATGTGCACTTCCCTAGTTAGAGAAGGGAAGGGTTTGGAGACGTTTTGGTCCCTTCCGGGATGCAAAGTGGGACGTTTTTTGCCACTGGATCCGGTCCCTCACTGTAGACAGTGTGAGACCTGATCCAGTGGCAAAAAACGTAACATTTTGCATCCAGAAAGTATCAAAAATGTGGCAAAATGCTCCCCCTCCAAGCGAAAAAACGCCGATTTGAAAAGCGCGCCCGCTCTTTTTGTGAGGGAGCCCCTTCAAAACGAAGTTTTTTCACTTGGAGAGGGAAGCATTTTGCCACATTTTTGAAGCTTCCCGGATGCAAAACGGTACGTTTTTTGCCACTGGATCAGGTCTCTCACTGTAGCAATTCAAAACGATTATTTTGTATGTAAAATACGATCGATTGAACTGCTCTTTCTTTATATCTTTGCATTTAAAAAAATGTCTCTCAAAAAAGTACACTACAATTTTTTCAGGAGCCAAAGATTCCCCAGACACCACCAGCGACCAAGCCTTGGAGCACCTACGCCCATTTCGGACTCGAATTTCCGCGGTCCCAGTGTTCGTTCCGACCAAAGACACAACCAATCAGCGGCCTCGAAACGACCAAAAATCCGTCGAAAAACAAAATCCAGAAGTCGACATGATAAGCAAGGAGATTGCGGCGCTGAAGGCGACAATCGACCAAAAAAAGGAGGACGAGGAAAAGAGCGCGGCCCGAGAGGAGCGGGACCGGGAAAGCGAGCGTTTCTTCAGCGACGACGACAGCGACGAGGAGCTGCGAGAGCGCGTCGACTCCACGGGCCGGCCCTTGAATCGGGGGCTGAATATCCGGCCTTTAGAGTCGGTGGATCAGGAGACAAATGAGGGAAATTCGAGGCCAGTTGCAGTGAGGCCAATTGAGGTGGAGAGACCCAGTTTGATCGGGGAAAATCTGCGGACAAATCAGCAATCGGTTCAGGCTGGACAAGAGGCGTTGATTGAGACGATTCGAACTACCGTTCCACCCAGATTCGAGGCCAATTCGGGTGGATCAGCGGCTGAGAATTCGAATTTGAGCCAAAATCAGGCGAATTTGGGGGGAACTCAACAAAATCAGCAGCCACCTGCATCGAATCAGGCTGTCGCTCCTTCCGCTTTGCCTACACCTCAGACTAGCCTTACTGGTGCTGCTGGTTCACAAATTTCGCAAAACCTGCCCTCAGGGCAAGTGGCTCAGCCAGTTGTTTTCGCAGCGCCGGCATCTCAACAATTTCAATTCCCAGCGGCGGCAGGGCAGCCTTTTGGGCTAGGCGCTTCTGCAGTGCAACCTGGACAACCTTTGGGAGTTGTGGGTCAACCGGGGTTCACACTGTTCCCCACGGTGGCTCCGCCCACAACCGCGGATCCGCGGAGGTTCGGGAACCCGCCACGGACTCATTTGGATAATTTCCCGTTGAGGAATGATCCCAACTTTCAGCAGATGTACCACAACTTTCGCAGTGCCTTTTTGAGCTCGCCTGGGGACCATTCGGATACTGTAATCTATGACTTTACCAATGATCCACATCATATTGTCTGATGGAGAGAATCGGGCCGCGAAATCGTTGTTAATATTATATTTATTGATTGTATATAAACGAATATATATTACAGGTTCTTGAACTGGGCGAAAATATTTTCAAAAATTTTCAAAAATTTCAAAAAATAAAAAAAATAAAAAATTTGCATAACTAAAATTACCGTGCAGTAGACGAATGAAGAGTAGAAAACAACGAGGTCAATAGGGTTTTCGGCGCGAGCCAAGACAATCTTTTGTAAGGCGACAAGGGGATAAGGCGGTTTCGCGACTATATTCATGTTATAAAAACGTGGTTTTCCATGGGATTTGGGTGGGGAATTTTGGAATAACTCAAAAATTTTCTGTACAATTTTGCTCAAATTTTCGATAGATCAAAATCAAAGTGTGTTAACAATTTTCAGAAATTTTCCGGATGCTTATGCAGAAACAATCAAAATATGAGGGGTTTAAGTTAAAAAATCGGTGTTTTCAAATTTTTCGAGGAAAAAATCTCATTTTCGATAGAAAATTTTAACATAAAATTCCCCAAAAAAATCTATTACAATTTTAGAAATTTTCAATAGCGTTTTGGAGAATTCCTCAAGACATTTTGAGTTCAAATCGAAAATTTTGAAATTTTATTGAAAAAATCGGTCGTAAATTTTTCTAAACTTACTCTCGAGGTAATTTAAAACATACCACATCGCTTTTTCGCAAAAATTAAAAAAATTTTTTCAAAAAATTTCAAATCCCAAAACTCCCTCCCAGACATTACTTTTTACATTCCACATGCGTTCCATTCATTTCATGTCGACGGAATATCCGGAACAGGAGTTTGAAGGTCTTTCTGGTGTTGCGGTAGTACTGTCGCTTCACTTCGCTCATTTTCATCTCGTTGGGCAGTGGTCGAAAGGGGTACTGGATGGCCAGCATTTGATTCGGGGTCTTGAAGGGTGGTTCCTTTGCGTCTATGGAGTCGATAGACCTTCGTGACGGCTTCTCTTGGGTCGGTCGGAACAAAACGGCCGTGGAGGGGAGTTGGTCGGGCAAAAAGTCGGGTTTGTCGAAGATCACCGGCGCGAATTCGACTAGAAAATCGTCAGGATTGGGGTCGGGGTTTTTGGTTTCCACTTTCGTTCGGATCAGGATGAAATTGGCTAGGTGGTGGACTGAAATGGAAAAGTGTCATGGATAATATAAAAATTTGAAATTTAAAAAAATTTGTGCTCGAAACTGAAGAAAATTGGACTGAATGTAATTTAGACCCAGTAGAGTGGACTAGATGCAATTTTAGGTCCACTATACGCAAAAATTATTTTGACTGCACAGTGCAAAAATTTTATTTTTTTCGCACAGTGCAATTTCCAGGTTCAAACAAAATAAAAACCCAAAATTCTAGACCAAATCAAGTCCCAGATTAGATGATCCATCAAAAAAACCTAAAATCCAACCAAAAATTATATTAATTTAGCCACCTGTTGTTGTGGTCCCATCCACGATCACATATCGCACTCGATTTGCGGCGCGAGGAAGTCGTCTGGCCGACACATCGGGCCATAACACCACACACACCTCGTCTTCCATTTTCAGTTGTTTTCGAAGGTTTAAAATCTGAGATTGAGTCATGGCACCGTTAACATTACGGGTTTCTTTTAGTCTCTAAAATTGGGAAAAAATAATATTTTCGCACCTTCATAGGCTTGAAAAACCAAAAAAAACTTACATAGACGCAGACGATCCGTTCGAATTCGGGATCCAGCTCCCAATTCTCTCGGCCGTCATCCGCGATAAGGGAGTGAGAACAGGATGGGCATTGGCGGTGGTGAGCTCGCCGATAACTATGCATACAAACTCCACAGAAGCGATGCGAACAGCTCTAAAAGTTGGTGAGAACATCGCAACAAATTTGGTTTACCATGATTATAATTGCACCGTGCAAAAAATGTTCGGTTTTTTGCACAGTGCGAAGAAAAAACATTGGAAATTGCACAGTGCAACGGGCACGAAATTCGATCAAAACTTTATTAAATTTTGCATGGACCTCTAGGACGCTCATAAAACACCACAGCATTCTTTATTTTGTTCTCTGCACAGTGCAATAGACAAAAAGAGCAATTGCACAGTGCGGCCCAGGAAATTTGAAGTTCAGATCGCTCGCAAAGACACAACATAACCAGAGCTATGAAATTTGGCCCACCGTCCCTAATACCATCCAAAAATTTGAGTGTCATACCAGCCGACACTCCATACGACAAAATATCTCTCAAAATTTATATTGCACTGTGCAGTTCAATCATTTTCTCCCATTTTTTGTCAATTCATCCCTAAAAGTCGAAAGCAATAATGCAAAAAACACTTACCTTCACTCTCACCGGTTGTATTAACATCATCTTGCACAGGGCACAATTTAAAGCGGCGATATTACTCTTGTGCGAGTTCATGCTCGGCTGAGGTAACGATTCCAATGCAGCGTTCATAGAATTACAATAACACACCTATGTACATCACCGAGAGAAAAAACGGCTTATTGTACCTGAAAATGGACAGTTTGTAAACGAGTTTCGGAATGGACGCTCGAAATTTTTTTTGATAAGAGAAATTTTGAAATTGCCTAAAACAAGGTGAGATAAGGCAAATGGAACTGGTTGTAAATAAAAATAAAGCTGTAATTTTACTAATTGGACAGTATTCGAAAGAATGAATGGGATTTTTGGCGATTTTCTAACTCATTTTTTGTTATCTATCAGATTTGGGTATGAATAAAATAAAAATTGATGGGATTGATAAAAAAAGATTGATTGTTATGTCTTCACTGGATGTTGTGAAGGTATGTAGTCAGCCAGATGTAGGGTAAAGCTCCCTTTTCTTCTAGGCTTCGAGAAGCTTCGAATGAAACGGAATGCCAATAACGTAGTCGTAGGTTTCGTCTCGGGACTCAACATCTCCCTTTGTGAAGAAGGATCAGCGCTTGGATCGGTAGGTGGAGAGTTGACTGTAGTCCGGTAGCTTCTTGGCATTTTGGCTTGGCTTCTACTCGACGGGCTAGGGGATTGCGGTCTTCAAGCACGCCACGAAAAACGTAAGGCAAAATTGGAAATAGAGATTTCGAGCTGCGCCCAATATTTTTGATTTTTTTGAAAGAATGAATATTGTGTTAGATGCTATTGTAACTCTGCGATTTGGAATAATTTAGGGATGAATAGTATGTCAAAAATTACGTTGTTCTCAGTTTCAAGTGTTGAATATAATGGATGAGTCCATGGAGCCCGGCCCATCGCGCTGTGACCCAAACATTGATCTTCCATCTACCGACGTGCCTCCAGAAAATGTAAGATTTCTCTTTCGTTTGGGTTCTTTAGTGGTACGTTGGGGGATGGATATTGTGTGGAACATCCTAGCGGACGTTGTAAAAAAGAAATCTGGAAATTTGACAGTTGAAAAGGGCACTTGTCGGTTCATTATTGCATCATGTTGCAGGAACTGAAGGAGATACGCAAGAAAGGACTGGAGAAGGCGTGAGCAAAGCTGGATCAGTGGAAGCAGACGACGTTTAGAACATTTCAGGGTAAGTTTGTGACGTTTCCTTTTTGATTTTTTGTTTTTCTAGACCATTGAGCTAACAATTTTCTCTGGTTATACCTAAAATAATATAATTGATATTTCAGCCGATTCATGTTGAAGTAGAATGTGAAAGCCAGCATAATGTACCAATGGGTGTAGAGATTGAATTCCGAATTCAGATTGCATCCGACAAATTCGATGGATTGTCGAAAATTTACGTAATTTTAATTATTCTTACTGGTTTGATGTTTAGGTGGAAATAAAGAAGATTTGATGAATTTCAATTTAGTAGTGGTCTGTTGTAGCAGGATCATTACTCTTGTAAACCCCGGAAGAGCTCGAATTCGGTCAGATTCATCGATTTTGATCCAATTTTGCCTAGTACAATATAATTTCTTTTTTCTTTTTCGATCAATCTAAGAAGTTCGGGGTGCACCTCCTAGAATCCTTTCGATGCTTTCTCGCCGGTTTCACACGTAAATTGTTGTTTATTAGAATTTTGGAATCGTTTTGTTATTTATTTTTAAATGTTTCAGCGTATCAGATGTCGAAAACATTTTCCCGCAATTTTCTCTATTTCCACTTTTTTCGTGGCGTGCTTCAAGTCCGTTGTATCGGTTCGGAATCGGAAAATAGGCGGATAGATTAGAAGAGGAACTTGCCGTGGGTGTACTATTCACTTCTTCCACCATCTCATCGTACTCGTAGTCGTCGTGTACTCGTTTCCGTACTTGAATGAGTTTCCCAGTGACTTGTTTTCCAGTAACAAGTGGTATCGCGACCATCTCTCCCTTTGTTAATTAATGAGGTCTGGCTCCATGAATGGGTTTGGAATGTTCTTTCATGATCTTCAGGGATCCATTGAATGAGTTATGGCCAAGTTAATTCAAAAGCAAGATTATGGTCTTATCTTGCTATTAAACCAAGATTTAGCAAGTACTTTAGCGACTAACATCATTTTTCAAATTAAAAAAGATCTGCACCATGTACAATAATCAAAGAAGTCAGAAAACCCCAAAATCTCTCGGCACCTCAAAAAACAACTAGGAATTGAAGGAGATTGCGGCGTTGAAAGAAGGAGATTGCGGCGTTGAGAGCGACAATCGACCAAAAAAAGGAGGACGAGGAACGCATCAGGACATTTCCGGAATTTGGACACTTCCGGAATGGCGGAATAGTGACACTTCCGGAATGGCGGAACAGTGACACTTCCGGAACCGGGGAAAAATCAAAGAAGAGGCTTAGACCTGCCATCTGAACCATCTGACTGGATTTATTGTTATTAATCTCAAAAATTTTGTTATTTTTTTTCTGATTGTTACTTTTTTTTTAAGTAGTAGTGTTAAAAAGTAATTTTTTGGAATTTTTCCAAAAATACTGGATTTAGGGGTTTTCGAGGGTGCTGATTTCGAAAATCATGTTAGCTTTCCTCTTCATAGTACTATCTGGTACTATACAGTACGAAGTGAAAATATGGCTTTGGGCGTTAATGGTGTTGTTTTGATGCTTGGTACTCCTCAAAAACACGTTTTAAATAATTGGTACTGTTTAGTACTGTCTGGTACTATGTAGTACAAGGTGAAAATAGGAGTACTAAAGAACAGAACAACACCACTTACGCCTAAACGTAGTGGACGTTTTTGTCCCCACCCCGGTTTTGTCCCCAAGACGGTTTTGTCCCCAGGACGTTTTTGTCCCCACTTTTTTCGAGCCTTTTTGTCCCCAGGACGGTTTTGTCCCCAAGACGTTTTTGTCCCCACTTTTTTTATTTTTTTGTCCCCACACCGGTTTTGTCCCCAGGACGTTTTTGTCCCCAAGCTGGATAGTGCGATTAAAAATTATGCATTCAAATGTTAATGCTGTTGGTTTGGTGCCCAGCACTGCTCAAACAACATGTTCTTAGCGCTTGGTACTGTATAGTACGAGGTGGTACTATATAGTACGAGGTAAAAATTAAGCTATAACGCGTGAATGACGTTGTTTTGGTATGCAGTACTGATCAGACGTTCATTTTGTGCAAAAACAAATTCGTGCTATATAGTACCATGTGCTAAAACACATTTTTGAGAAGTACTGGGCTTCAAACCCATAGCATTGACGTGTTATGGCTTAATTTTTACCTCGTGCTATGTAGTACCACCTCGTACTATACAGTACCAAGCGCTAAGAACAAGTTGTTTGAGCAGTACTGTGCAACAAACCAACAGCATTAACATTTGAATGCATAATTTTTAATCGTACTATCCAGCTTGGGGACAAAAACGTCCTGGGGACAAAACCGCTGTGGGGACAAAAAAATAAAAAAAGTGGGGACAAAAACGTCTTGGGGACAAAACCGTCCTGGGGACAAAAAGGCTCGAAAAAAGTGGGGACAAAAACGTCCTGGGGACAAAACCGTCTTGGGGACAAAACCGGGGTGGGGACAAAAACGTCCACTACGTTTAGGCGTAAGTGGTGTTGTTCTGTTCTTTAGTACTCCTATTTTCACCTTGTACTACATAGTACCAGACAGTACTAAACAGTACCAGTTATTTAAAACGTGTTTTTGAGGAGTACTAAGCATCAAAACAACACCATTAACGCCAAGAGCCATATTTTCACCTTGTACTGTATAGTACCAGATAGTACTATGAAGAGGAAAGCTAACATGATTTTCGAAATCAGCACCCTCGAAAACCCCTAAATCCAGTATTTTTGGAAAAATTCCAAAAAATTACTTTTTAACACTACTATATACTTAAGAGAAAAGTAACAATCAGAAAAAAAAATAACAAAATTTTTGAGATTAATAACAATAAATCCAGTCAGATGGTTCAGATGGCAGGTCTAAGCCTCTTCTTTGATTTTTCCCCGGTTCCGGAAGTGTCACTGTTCCGCCATTCCGGAAGTGTCACTATTCCGCCATTCCGGAAGTGTCCAAATTCCGGAAATGTCGTGGTGCCACGAGGAAAAGAGCGCGGCCCGAGAGGAGAGGGACCGCGAAAGCGAGCGTTTCTTCAGCGACGACGACAGCGACGAGGAGCTGCGAGAGCGCGTTGACTCCACGGGCCGGCCCTTGAATCGGGGGCTGAATATCCGGCCTTTAGGGCAAGTGGATCAGGATACAAATGAGGGGAATTCGAAGCCAGTTGCTGTGAGGCCATTGGAAGTTGAGAGACCCAGTTTTATCGGCGCAAATCTGCGGATAAATCAGCAGTCGGTGCAAGCCGGACAAGAGGCGTTGATTGAGACGATCCGAACTACCGTTCCACCCAGATTCGAGGCCAATCCAGGCGGATCAGCGGCTGAGAATTCGAATTTGAGCCAAAATCAGGCGAATTTGGGGGGAACTCAACAAAATCAGCAGTCATCTGCATCCAATCAGGCTGTCGCTCCTTCCGCTTTGCCTACAGTTCAGACTAGCCTTACTGGTGTTGCTGGTTCACAAATTTCGCAAAACCTGCCCTCAGGGCAAGTGGCTCAGCCAGTTGTTTTCGCAGCGCCGGCAGTTCAACAATTTCAATTCCCAGCGGCGGCAGGGCAGCCTTTTGGGCTAGGTGCTTCTGCAGCACAGCCTGAAGATGTACCACAACTTTCGTAGTGCCTTTTTGAGCTCGCCTGGGGACCATTCGGATACTGTAATTTACGACTTTACCAATGATCCGCATCATATTGTCTGATGGAGAGAATCGGGCGCGAAATCGTTGTTAATATTATATTTATTGATTGTATATAAACGAATCTATATTACAGGCTCTTGAACTGGGCGAAAATATTTTCAAAAAATTTCAAAATTTTCAAAAATTTTCAAAATTTTTCAAAAAATAAAACAAAATAAAAATTTTGCATAATCAAAATTACCGTGCAGTAGACGAAGGAAGAGTGGAAAACAACGAGGTCAATAGGGGTTTCGGCGCGAGCCAAGACAATCTTTTGTAAGGCGACAAGGGGATAAGGCGAGTTTCGCGACTATTTTCAAGTTATAACTCGGGGATTTGGGTGGGAAATTTTGGAAGAACTCGAAAATTTTTTGTACAATTTTTCTCAAATTTTCCAGCGATCAAAATCAAAGTTTCTCAACAATTTTCAAAAAATTTCCAAACGCGTTATGCAGAAAGAGTCAAAATATGAGGGGTTAAAGTCAAAAAAATCCGGGTTTTTCAAATTTTCCGACAAAAAAATCGCATTTTCAAAGGAAAAATTTTAAAATAAAATTTCCCAAAAAAAATCTACGGAAATTTCCGAAATTTCGCACCGCGTTTTGCAGAAATTCCCAAAAATTTTTTTTTTTATTTTCCAAAATTTTCGTCAAAAAAACATTTTTCAGAATAAAAAAATCGGTCATAAATTGTTCTAAACTTACCCTCAGGCAATTTAGAACAAATGACATCACTTTTTCCGAAAATTTTCAAAATTTTTAAATTTCAAAAAAAAAATTTTTTCAAAAAATTTCGTCTCCCAAAACCTCCCAAAACTCCCTCCCAGACATTACTTTTTACATTCCGCATGGGTTCCATTCGTTTCGTGTCGATGGAATATGCGGAACAGGAGTTTGAAGGTCTTTCTTGTGTTGCGGTAGTACTGTCGCTTCACTTCGCCCATTTTCATCTCGTTGGGCAGTGGTCGGAAGGGGTACTGGATGGCCAGCATTTGATTCGGAGTCTTGAAGGGTGGCTCGTCGGCGTCCGGGGGGTCGGCGGAGCGTCGCGGGGGCTTCACTTGGTTCGGGCGGAACAAAACGGCCGTGGAGGGGAGTTGGTCGGGCAAAAAGTCGGGTTTGTCGAAGATCACCGGCGCGAATTCGACTAGAAAATCGTCAGGATTGGGGTTGGGGTTTTTGGTTTCCACTTTCGTTCGGATTAGGATGAAATTGGCTAGGTGGTGGACTGAAATGGGAAAAGTGTCATGGGTAATATCAAAATTTGAAATTTTGAGGAATTTATGCGCCAAAATGGAGAAAATTTAATCGAATATTAAATTTTAGACCCAGTAGAGGAGCCTAGATGCAATTTCAGACCCATTATACGAAAAAAAAATTTTTTTGACTGCACGGTGCAAAAATTTAAAAATTTGAAATTTTGAGGAATTTATACTCTAAATTAGAAAAAAATGGAGAGAATATTGAATTCTAGACCCAGTAGACTAACCTACATGCAATTTTAGGCCTATTATACGAAAAAATTTTTTTGACTGCACGGTGCAAAAAAAAATTTTTTTTCGCAAAGTGCAATTTCCAGGCTCAAATAACATAAAACCCCAACTCCTGTGCTCAATCAAGTCCCAGATTAAATAATCCATCAAAAAAACCTAAAATCCAACCAAAAATTATATTAATTTACCCACCTGTTGTCGTGGTCCCATCCATAATCACATATCGAACCCGATTCGCGGCGCGAGGCAGTCGTCTGGCCGATACATCGGGCCATAACACCACACACACCTCGTCTTCCATTTTCTGCGCCCTCCGGAGTTGTTTTCGAAGGTTTAAAATCTGAGATTGTGTCATAGCACCGTTAACATAACGGGTTTCTTTTAGTCTCTAAAATTGGAAAAAATAATATTTTCGCACCTTTATAGGCTTGAAAAACCAAAACTAAACTTACATAGACGCAGACAATGCGTTCGAATTCGGGATCCGGCTCCCAATTCTCTCGGCCGTCATCTGCGATAAGGGAGTGAGAACAGGATGGGCATTGGCGGTGGTGAGCTCGCCGATAACTATGCATACAAGCTCCACAGAAGCGATGCGAACAGCTCTAAAAGTTGGTGAGAACATTGCAACAAACTTGGTTTACCATGATTATAACTGCACCGTGCAAAAAATGTTCGGTTTTTTGCACAGTGCGGAGAAAAAAACTGGAAATTGCACAGTGCAACGGGCATGGAATTCGATCAAAACTTTATTAAATTTTGCATGGACCTCTAGGACGCTCATAAAACACCACAGCATTCTTTATTTTGTTCTCTGCACAGTGCAATAGACAAAAAGAGCAATTGCACAGTGCGGCCCAGAAAATTTGAAGTTCAGATCGCTCGCAAAGACACAACATAACCAGAGCTATGAAATTTGGCCCACCGTCCCTAATACCATCCAAAAATTTGAGTGTCATACCAGCCGACACTTCATACGACAAAATATCTCTCAAAATTTATATTGCACTGTGCAGTTCAATCATTTTCTCCCATTTTTTGTCAATTCATCCCTAAAAGTCGAAAGCAATAATGCAAAAAACACTTACCTTCACTCTCACCGGTTGTATTAACATCATCTTGCACAGGGCACAATTTAAAGCGGCGATATTACTCTTGTGCGAGTTCATGCTCGGCTGAGGTAACGATTCCAATGCAGCGTTCACAGAATTACATTAACACACCTATGTACATCATCGAGAGAAAAAACGGCTTATTGTACCTGAAAATGGACAGTTTGTAAACGAGTTTCGGAATGGACGCTCGAAATTTTTTTTGATAAGAAAAATTTTGAAATTGCCTAAAACAAGGTGAGATAAGGCAAATGGAACTGGTTGTAAATAAAAATAAAGCTGTAATTTTACTAATTGGACAGTATTCGAAAGAATGAATGGGATTTTTGGCGATTTTCGAACTCATTTTTTGTTATCTATCAGATTTGGGTATGAATAAAATAAAAATTGATGGGATTGATAAAAAAAGATTGATTGTTATGTCTTAACTGGATGTTGTGAAGGTATGTAGTCAGCCAGATGTAGGGTAGAGCTCCCTTTTCTTCTAGGCTTCGAGAAGCTTCGAATGAAACGGAATGCCAATAACGTAGTCGTAGGTTTCGTCTCGGGACTCAACATCTCCCTTTGTGAAGAAGGATCAGCGCTTGGATCGGTAGGTGGAGAGTTGACTGTAGTCCGGTAGCTTCTTGGCATCTTGGCTTGGGTTCTACTCGACGGGCTAGGGGATTGCGGTCTTCAAGCACGCCACGAAAAACGTAAGGCAAAATTGGAAATAGAGATTTCGAGCTGCGCCCAATATTTTTGATTCTTTTGAAAGAATGAATATTGTGTTAGATGGTATTGTAACTCTGCGATTTGGAATAATTTAGGGATGAATAGTATGTCAAAAATTACGTTGTTCTCAGTTTCAAGTGTTGACGTTGTAAAAAAGAAATCTGGAAATTTGACAGTTGAAAAGGGCACTTGTCGGTTCATTATTGCATCATGTTGCAGGAACTGAAGGAGATACGCAAGAAAGGACTGGAGAAGGCGTGAGCAAAGTTGGATCAGTGGAAGCAGACGACGTTTAGAACATTTCAGGGTAAGTTTGTGACGTTTCCTTTTTGATTTTTTGTTTTTCTAGACCATTGAGCTAACAATTTTCTCTGGTTATACCTAAAATAATATAATTGATATTTCAGCCGATTCATGTTGAAGTAGAATGTGAAAGCCAGCATAATGTACCAATGGGTGTAGAGATTGAATTCCGAGTTCAGATTGTATCCGACAAATTCGATGGATTGTCGAAAATTTATGTAATTTTAATTATTCTTATTGGTTTGATGTTTAGGCGGAAATAAAGAAGATTTGATGAATTTCAATTTAGTAGTGGTCTGTTGTAGCAGGATCAAAGCCCTGCTACTCTTGTAAACCTCGGAAGAGCTCGAATTCGGTCAGATCCATCGATTTTGATCCAATTTTGCCTAGTACAATATAATTCCTTTCTCTTCTTCGATCAATCTAAGAAGTTCGGGGTGCACCTCCTAGATGCCTTTCGATGCTTTCTCGCCGGTTTCACACGTAAATTGTTGTTTATTAGAATTTTGGAAAGATTTTTATTATTTATTTGTAACGGTTTCAGCGTATGAAATGTCGAAAACATTTTCCCGCGAATTTCTCTATTTCCACTTTTTTCGTCGCGTGCTCAGGGCAAGTGGCTCAGCCAGTTGTTTTCGCAGCGCCGGCATCTCAACAATTTCAATTCCCAGCGGCCGCAGGGCAGCCTTTTGGTCTAGGCGCTTCTGCAGCGCAACCTGGACAACCTTTGGGAGTTGCGGCTCAACCGGGGTTCACACTCTTCCCCACGGTGGCTCCGCCCACAACCGCCGATCCGAGGAGGTTCGGGAACCCGCCACGGACACATTTGGATAATTTCCCGTTGAGGAATGATCCCAACTTTCAGCAAATGTACCACAACTTTCGTAGTGCCTTTTTGAGCTCGCCTGGGGACCATTGGGATACTGTAATTTACGACTTTACCAATGATCCGCATCATATAAGGCGCGTGCGTTCTACTTTTCTTCGGACTTCCTCGCAGAAAACCCGCATTTCTTGTCTGTGGGCTCGCTAGACAAGAAACGCGCATTTCTTGTCTAAAATTGCGCAACATTGCGCAATATTGCGCAATTTTCTGCTCTCTCTCCGTGAAGATTTTTTTCTTTTTTTCTCTGCTCAGCCAAGAATTGCGCATTTCTTGTCTAGCGGGCCCACAGACAAGAAATGCGGGTTTTCTGCGAGGAAGTCCGAAGAGAAGTAGAACGCACGCGCCTTATATTGTCTGATGGAGAAAATCGGACCGCGAAATCGTTGTTAATATTATATTTATTGATTGTATATAAACGAATCTATATTACAGGCTCTTGAACTGGACGAAAATATTTTCAAAAAATTTCAAAATTTTCAAAAATTTTCAAAATTTTTCAAAAAATAAAACAAAATAAAAATTTTGCATAATCAAAATTACCGTGCAGTAGACGAAGGAAGAGTGGAAAACAACGAGGTCAATAGGGGTTTCGGCGCGAGCCAAGACAATCTTTTGTAAGGCGACAAGGGGATAAGGCGAGTTTCGCGACTATTTTCAAGTTATAACTCGGGGATTTGGGTGGGAAATTTTGGAAGAACTCGAAAATTTTTTGTACAATTTTTCTCAAATTTTCCGTAGATCGAAATCAAAGTTTCTCAACAATTTTAGAAAAATTTCCAAACGCGTTATGCAGAAAGAGTCAAAATATGAGGGGTTAAAGTCAAAAAATCCGGGTTTTTCAAATTTTCCGGCAAAAAAATCGCATTTTCAAAGGAAAAATTTTAAAATAAAATTTCCCAAAAAAATCTACGGAAATTTCAGAAATTTCGAACCGCGTTTTGCAGAAATTCCCAGAAAATTTTTTTTTATACTCCCCGTACAATGTTTTGACCCCCCTCCTAACTCGGTCCAAGGTGTACTAATTCGGACCAAATTTGGTATGTAGTATACTCACAGGCTAGTAACAAAAAATAACATAGCTGGACCTACCTTATAGTTGAATTTCAAAAGCTAGGGGCAATTTTCAAAAATCACCTTAAAAAATCGAGGAAAAAGTTTTGACCCCCCCTAAAAAACGTTAGATATCGCCAGCGGATGCCACGCAAACCTATTGTAATCGACGTCCCATACCTGAATACAGGTTAATAAATGGTTTTCCGTTGAATCCTTCGTTGCATTTGAGGATTCAACGCATTAAACCGTTTTGGATGAAGAGCTGCACAAAATGTTAAAAATCTTGCCCTATAGCTTTCCAATAGCTCTAAATTGGATTTATATTATGTGATTTAGACCTGTATTTACCTTCTCCTTTCAATAAAAGTGCATGGTGGCCTGGCGGTGTAGATTCGGCACATACCCTCTTGTCATGCCCAGCCTTGGTGAGCCATTTGCTCTTTGACTCAAGGTCGAGATGTGGTCGTTAGGTCCTCAATGTAATCCTGAGACTCCTAGTTACTCTCAGTAATGTAAAATGTTTTGATTTGACACGTTTTGTAATGGGTTTCATTCACCTTAATCGTAAGTTTGCCGTTACTGTAGATGACCCCGAGCACTATTACATCCCCACGTCCCATTTGGCGTTTCATACGTCTCAAATGAGTATGGTGGGTGCTGTAGCGTCTTAAATTACCTGGTCCATCAAATGAAAGCCGTTTTTGGTGGCTAAAAATCCATTTGAAAAACGCGGGTTTTTCGTTAAGGTGCAGATCGGCCAAGTTGCGCCTGCAAACCATATGAGACCGTGTCAGCCGGAGTTTATTTTTTGTTTGAGAGTAACTAGGAGTCTCAGGATTACGTTGAGGACCTAACAACCCCATCTCGACCTTGAGTCAAAGAGCAAATGGCTCACCAAGGCTGGGCATGACAAGAGGGTATGTGCCGAATCTACACCGCCAGGCCACCATGCACTTTTATTGAAAGGAGAAGGTAAATACAGGTGTAAAACACGTAATATAAACCCAATTTAGAGCTCTAGGAAAGCGCTAGGGCAAGATTTTTACAATTTTGGGCAGCTCTACAACAAAAACGGTTTAACGCGTTGAATCCTCAAGTGCAACGAAGCATTCAACGGAAAACCATATATTAACCTGTATTCAGGTATGGGACGTCGATTACAATAGGTTTGCGTGGCATCCGCTGGCGATATCTAACGTTTTTTAAGGGGGGTCAAAACTTTTTCCTCGATTTTTTAAGGTGATTTTTGAAAATTGCCCCTAGCTTTTGAAATTCAACTATAAGGTAGGTCCAGCTATGTTATATTTTGTTACTAGCCTGTGACTATACTACATACCAAATTTGGTCCGAATTAGTACACCTTGGACCGAGTTAGGAGGGGGGTCAAAACATTGTACGAGGAGTATATTTTCCCAATTTATTTCAAAAAAATCACTTTTTTCAGAAAAAAAAGTCGGTCTTAAATTGTTCTAAACTTACCCTCAGGCAATTTAGAACAAATGACATCACTTTTTTCGAAAAAATTTCAAAATTTTTTAAATTTCAAAAAAAATTTTTTCAAAAAATTTCGTCTCCCAAAACCTCCCAAAACTCCCTCCCAGACATTACTTTTTACATTCCACATGGGCTCCATTCATTTCGTGTCGATGGAATATCCGGAACAGGAGTTTGAAGGTCTTTCTTGTGTTGCGGTAGTACTGTCGCTTCACTTCGCCCATTTTCATCTCGTTGGGCAGTGGTCGGAAGGGGTACTGGATGGCCAGCATTTGATTCGGAGTCTTGAAGGGTGGCTCGTCGGCGTCCGGCGGGTCGGCGGAGCGTCGTGGGGGCTTCACTTGGTTCGGGCGGAACAAAACGGCCGTGGAGGGGAGTTGGTCGGGCAAAAAGTCGGGTTTGTCGAAGATCACCGGCGCGAACTCGACCAGAAATTCGTCGGGATTGGGGTTGGGGTTTTTGGTTTCCACTTTCGTTCGGATCAGGATGAAATTGGCTAGGTGGTGCACTGAAATGGGAAAAGTGTCATGGGTAATATAGAAATTTGCAATTTTGAGGAATTTACGCTCTAAAGTAGAGAAAATTGGAGCGAATATTTAATTTTAAACCCAGTAGAGAGTTACAGATGCAATTTTATATTACTTACATGTAAAAAATTTTTTTGACTGCACGGTGCAAAAAATAAAAAAATTTGAAATTTTGAGGAATTTATGCTCTAAAATGGAGAAAATTGAAGCGAATATTGAATTTTAGAGGAAAAAGTTCCTTATTTTGGCCACAACAAAGGTACCCCGCGAACTGCGCCCAAGCTTGGGCACTAAAGTTAGGAAAAAACGCTTCGATCTAGCTGGCACTGAATTACTATAATAGCTCTATAGTTTTAAGGGTACCTACGAAGGCTGTGACGACTCATTTAGTTCCATACGGAGGCAATAAGTTTAGTTCCGGACATGTTTCATCGTATAAAGTGTAAAATCACAGGCTGCAGCCGTTTTTGAAGGGTAAGGTGGTACGTAAAAAAGAAGGTACCTCACTAACTAAATCCACTGTCCGGGCATTCACAACGATGAATTGAGCGTGCACGCTAAATTTGGGCTAATTCCGACCAGTTTCCGCAAAGTTATAAGTTGTGGCCAAAATAAGGAACTTTTACCCAAAAGTTTAAAAATTTGAAATCTTGAGGAATTTATGCTCTAAAATGGAAAAAATCGGAGCGAATATTTTATTTTAGACCCAGTAGAGTGTTATAGATGCAATTTTAGGCCCAGCATACGAAAAAATTTTTTGACTGCACGGTGCAAAAATTTTATTTTTTTCGCACTGTGCACTCAAAAAAACATAAAAAAACCCTCTCCTGTGCTCAATCAAGTCCCATATCGAATAATCCATCAAAAAAACCTAAAATTCAACCAAAAAATATAATAATTTACCCACCTGTTGTTGTGGTCCCATCCATAATCACATATCGAACCCGATTTGCGGCGCGGGGCAGTCGTCTGGCCGACACATCGGGCCATAACACCACACACACCTCGTCTTCCATTTTCTGCGCCCTCCGGAGTTGTTTTCGAAGGTTTAAAATCTGAGATTGTGTCATAGCACCGTTAACATAACGGGTTTCTTTTAGTCTCTAAAATTGGGAAAAAATAATATTTTCGCACCTTTATAGGCTTGAAAAACCAAAACTAAACTTACATAGACGCAGACGATGCGTTCGAATTCGGGATCCGGCTCCCAATTCTCTCGGCCGTCATCTGCGATAAGGGAGTGAGAACAGGATGGGCATTGGCGGTGGTGAGCTCGCCGATAACTATGCATACAAGCTCCACAGAAGCGATGCGAACAGCTCTAAAAGTTCTTGGAAATATTACAATGAACTTGGTTTACCATGATTATAATTGCACTGTGCAAAAAATTTTGGGTTTTTGCACGGTGCGGAGAAAAAAATTGGAAATTGCACAGTGCAACGGGCAAGAATTTAAATCAAAACTTGATTAAATTTTGTATGGGCCTCTAGAACACTCATAAAACACCACAGTATCCTTTCTTTTGTTCTATGCCCAGTGCAGTAGACAAAAAGAGCAATTGCACAGTGCGGCCCAGGAAATTTGAAGTTCAGATCGCTCGCAAAGACACAACATAACCAGAGCTATGAAATTTGGCCCACCGTCCCTAATACCATCCAAAAATTTGAGTGTCATACCAGCCGACACTTCATACGACAAAATATCTCTCAAAATTTATATTGCACTGTGCAGTCCAATCAATTTCCCTCACTTTTTGTCAATTCATGCCTAAAAGTCGAAAGTAATAATGCAAAAAACACTCACCTTCACTCTCACCGGTTGTATTAACATCATCCTGCACAGGGCACAATTTAAAGCGGCAATATTACTCTTGTGCGAGTCCATGCTCGGCTGAGGTAACGATTCCAATGCAGCGTTCATAGAATTACATTAACACACCTATGTACATCATCGAAAGAAAAAAACGGCTTATTTTACCTGAAAATGGACAGTTTGTAAACGAGTTTCGGAATGGACGCTCGAAAGTTTTTTTTGATAAGAGAAATTTTGAAATTGCCTAAAACAAGGAGAGATAAGACCAACGGAACTGCTTGTAAATAAAAATAAAGCTGTAATTTAACTAATTAGACAGTATTCGAAAGAATGAATCGGATTTTTGACGATTTTCTAAGTGGTTTTTTGTTGTCCATCAGATTTAGGTGTGAGTAATATAAAAATTGGTGAATGAAGGACTTACAATAGGTTAACACAGAAGATTTTGGTATCAAATTAAAGAAAATGGCACGAGCTAACTGTTCAGCCCATAATTTATACACTTCAAATTGACTTCGACTCATTTTTCAGCGAAATTCTTTCCTTTGACCAAGTGCAATATAATTGAAAAAATGAACCAAAAAATGGCGAGAAACTGACTGGTCAGTCATTTCAAAAGTAAGATTATGGTCGTATCTTGCTATTAAATCAAGACCTAGAGAGTATTTTAGCGATTAACAACATTTTTCAAACTAAAGAAGATCTTCACCATGAACAATATTCAAAGAAGCCAGAACAACCCAAAATCTCTTGGTAACTCAAGGAAGACGCCTCGAATTACTGAAAAACAACTCTTCCATGCCTTGAAAACAACTTTGAACAAAAATATTTGGGTAAACAAGTCAAAAAGATCAAAAATCCATCAAAAACAGTGAAAATTTCGATAAAACCTCTCGAAAAAGTGCAAAATTTCGCTCGTAGAACTCGTAGAACTAGAACTAGAAGCGCTAGCCACTCTCTAAAAATATTATCTATCACAAAAAGTGGAAGGAGAAAAAGAATCCAGCGATTTTCGCTCGAAAAGCGGCGCGTTGGAAGTCGGGGCGGCGAGAGAGTGCGCGGAAAGGAGAGAGTTTTCTGTGACCGCCCGTTTCGAGTGGCTATTTGAGGGGAGAACGAAAAGAATCGACAATGAGATCGGTAGAGGGGCGAGAAATGAGTGATTGTACAGTAGAAATAAGAGACGAGGTGGGGTTTGACTCGGAGGCAGAGTAAAAATTACAAAAAGTGGGGTAAGAGGGGACCAAAGAAAAATTTTTTTATAATAATCGAAAAATTGGTGGAATTTTTGGTCAGAACTCACTTGAAGTCTGAATAAAATAAAATTCAATGTGGTTGCAACAAAAATTGACCAAAAATATTATACTTGAGACTTCAAAATTTTAGTAAAAAATTTTCCAAAAATTCGCTTCCATCTTGCCCAAAATGCTTTCAAAAAATAGTTTACATGCCTCAGGGTGTCTGAAATCCTCATCACAATAATATTCTCTCATTTATCTGTGAATTATACTCCAATTTTACATAATTTCCCTTTTCCCGCACAGTGCAGTCAATTTTCGACATTTTTGACGTCAATTTTTGCAACTTGCCGGAGGGCAAAAAGGTCAAAACGTCCTTCAACAGTCCTCATGTATTGTAAAAATCCCCAGTCGTCATAAAATCCGCCAGTATGCAATCGAAATACCGTAATCGGATTCCACTTTTTCCCGCACAGTGCAGTCAATTTTCGTAATTTTCGACCTCAATTTTTGCAACTTGCCGCAGGGCACATAGGTCAAAACATCATCCAACGGTTTTCATATTACCTAAAATCCCCATTCAGCAATAAAATCCGTAAGAATACAGTCTAAAATACCGTAATCTCATTCCCTTTTTACCGCACAGTGCGCCAAGTTTCTCTCCAAAAAACCCCCGTGATCTTTCGAAATTCAACCAAAACTGATTTAAAAATTGGAAAAAAGTATTCGAAAGCCCATAATTCGTGACGACCTCGTGTGTTTGAGGCGTCTCGTCGGGTCTTTTGTGAGTATAATTATTATTCACGCGACTGCACAGTGCAGTCATAAACCAAGGGAAAAATTGCGCAATTCGCTCTGTCAAAAGAGACAAACAGTGAGAAAATGTTTGAAAAAGCTGTTTTAGGGGGTAATCAAACTGGAAAAAGTGAAAAAACCCAGAAATTTTCAAGTCTCCAAAAGCCACAGTAATCTACAAAAATATGGTCATAGCTCAGTTGTCCTTGAAAATTCTGACTTCAAATTTTCAGAGATTGCTAACAGACTTGTTTAGAAGTTATACCAAAATTTTGAGCCAATTTGAACACCTCCATGCGTGTTACTACAGTAAAAAATACAGTATACCATAACTTTCGAGAGCTCAAGTTTCAGTCATCATGCCTCAAAAGCGCATAGTAAAACCTTCCGGAAACCCTGTTAGGACCTCTATTTATCATTCCATAATAGTGCGATAACCATCTAAAAAGTTAGTGTTTGCAAATATTATATTTATCTGATTACCACGAAAAAAGTCTGAACCCCTTCCATAAAAGTCCAACCTTGAACCGCCCTCTCCGAATGCAAGTTCAGAACGCGGCAAAGACAAATGACGACGAAGAGAAACGATCGTTATCAGCATCAAAGACCGGCTGCAAGAAAACCCCTCCGGTTTGGCGAATTTTTCGGAAAAATTGTAGATAACCGAAAATACGTGGGTTTGGATGACGTAAAATGCTATCAGAAAAGAAGCTAGGGGGTTTGCGTAAGCTTGGAATTTAATTTTTGCATAGTTCGAAGTCTTAATTCCACATTTTTGAAGGAAAAATATCAGATGACCTAGTATAATATAAATCATGTTTTAATGTGTACTTAGCCGAAATTTAGGGCAAAATGAACAAATAAACAGCAAGATACTGCTATCTAACATACCTAGGCAAATTATGATCACAATTTCTTGTAATCCTATCCATGAAAAATCTATTTTTATCACTTGCCCTCTACCTACTACAATATCGCCAAATCCAAAAAACCCGAGCAGTAATGACAAAAAATAAAACAAACACGACACAACAAAGGTCAGAGTGCTCTTTGAACGCAATATTACTTCATTCGCCACTTCATTTCTATGCCCTTTGGTCAAAAACGTCAGATAGCCTAGTATAATATAAATCGTGTTTGTTCCGGGAAATTCGCGAAACACCTGGGAAAACAGTACAATTATGAGCAATGAGAAGCATTTAGCTATCTAAATTCAAAACACAACCTTGCTACAATCAATATTCTCAACGCTACAGGCATTTCTTTTCTTATCCATTAGCTAGTACAACATCAAAAAAAAAGTCATTTTTTCTCAACTTTCCAAACTGCTCTCGACTTCATAGTTACTCCCATAAATTTTCATTGCTTTAGGCTTTAAAATGACGTCATAATACAACTCCAACTTTATTTATACAAATAAAAATGGGATAAACAAAAAACAGAACAATTTACCAAAATTAGGGGGTAGAGAACTGGCTCTGAAACAATTTAGAGGTGGGGGCGAGAAGCCCACTGGGATCTACAGTAATCTCCGACAACGGAGACAAAATTTAGACAAAATTTTGCGGGTCTTTTTACAATTTTATCAAAGCTTTTATCAAAAAATCTCAAAAAATCCCAAAAATTCCGCAAAATTTCCAAAAAATTTCAATTTTTTACAAGAAAAAGTGGGATAAGTACACAGAAACGGGTGTAATGTACTCTTTGGCACATCTCGGAGGGAGGATGGTGTGCGTGAGAGTTCAACAAAAACAATATTAAGCAGAACAAACAAGAAAAAAACTTAACAAACCGTTACAACCGGGGAGGTCCTGAACAAAAACCGTCTAGACAAAACAAAACATGGTGCGAGTATGACACATACAACAGGGACAACAAAATAGGGGCTTGACTAAACATTTTCACCAAAATTCCGGGGGGAAATCACAAAAAAAATCGGCAAAAATCACAAAAAACGCCAAAAATGGTCCAAAATCGCCAAAATTGGTCCAAAATCGACAAAAAATCTCAAAAATTTAAATGATAGCTACAAAAATTCCACCGTTTCTTCCAACCAACATCTTCTCAGTTCTCTACTTCAAATTCTGACTGCAAAAAATTCCCAAAAATCGACCAAAATCCACAAAAAATCGACCAAAATCCACAAAAAATCTCCAAAAATTCCGAATTTCAGTTCGAAACTCCAGAATCGTTCAAGGCTTGGTCCGTTTTCTTGGTGATGAATCTGTAGCAGTAGAGGCGATAGTCTTTCGACGCCAACACAATCGTATTCCCATCGATTAGGGCTACGTCAAAGCACTGGGCGTGCTTCACGCGGCTTTCCATCGCCGAAATCAGCTCTCCGCTCTAAAATTAGGCCATTTATAGGTTGCAAATACAATTCACAATACTCTACAGAGTAGCTAGCTTCCATAAACATCCATTTCAGCTCAATACAGCTTCATTAAAAACCAAAAAAATCAAGATTTCCCCAAAAATCTCAAATTTTTGTCAGAAATCCCAAAAATTTCGTCAAAAAAATGTCAAATCAGCTCTCTAAAGCTGAGAAAAAACCTCCTATTCCTAACATATCCTTCTCAACACACAAAAAATCTATTTCCATATCAAAAATCCCAAAAACAATACCAAAAACTCAAAATTTCTCCTAAAAATCCCAAAAATTCGCCTAAAACAACATCCAAAACCCCCAAACACCCTTTTTTCTCCCAAAAACCAACTTCCCCACCTGCGTAAAGACAGTCAAATTGAAATTGTTATGGTTATCAGCGACCACAATCTCCCCGTTGATGGTAATTCCCATTCCAATCGGGTAGTTGGTGATGCCTTCGCCTCCAATCTGGTGCAAGAACTGGCCGTGATAATTGAAAACCTTGATGCAATGCGCGCGATTGTCCGAAATGAACAGCTGATCCTTGTCGTTGGTGCAGACCGCGTTCGGGAATTCCAGGTAGCGCGAGCAGAGGAACTTGTGCAGAACATTGCCGTAGGCGTCGAAGATGATCACACGCATCACCTGCAAATTACAGTCAAAATCAAATTTCAGAAATTCCGTCATCCCTAAACGACCGTGAAACCTGGCTTCGCACAGTGCAACAAGTCGAAAATTGCACTGTGCAAAAAAATTCCGCCTTGCACTGTGCAAAAAAATTCCGCCTTGCACTGTGCAAAAAAATTCCGCCTTGCACCGTGCAAAAAATTCCAACTCGCACCGTGCAAAAAAATTTCTCATTGCAGAGCGCAAAAAATTCTCATTGCACCGTGCAAAAAATTCTCTTTGCACAGTGCAAAAATTCCACCTTGCACAGTGCAAAAAAATTCCGCCTTGCACTGTGCAAAAAAATAAAAATAAAAAATAAACCGCACTGTGCGACCACCCTGCGACACGAAGAGAAAATATCTTTCGCACCGTGCAAAATTCCTAATTTTTTCCATCGCACAGTGCAAAATAAAAAGAAACTTTATTCGCACAGTGCAAACGCCACAAAAAATTTCGCACCGTGCAAAATTGCGAATTTGTTCTTCGCACAGTGCAAAATCAAAAGAAAACAAAGCAGCTTACTGCACAGTGCAACCCTCCAAAACAAAAAATCCGCACCGTGCACAAAAATCCCCGATTTTTTGCACTGTGCATTTGAAATATCGCGGCGACGTAAGCTTTTCTCAACTGCGCCGCTGCGGTTTGCACAGTGCAATCGGGTTTTTTGAGGTTTGCATGGTGCGCAAAGGCAAAAATCCACAGTGCGTTGGCGACAAAAATTCAAGATGCACTGTGCAAAAGCGAAAACATGTCCATGCACTTTATGAAAATGCTAATAGGTAAAACACCCCACAGCCCTCCACTCCTCTGCCCACCTTGCACTCCACAACCACAATTCTTCCTTGATAGTCCACGCAGACTCCTCTCGGATGCTGGAGGATATTGGCTCCAAATTTCCGTAGGAAATGCCCGTATTGGTTGAAGACTTGGATCTGATGCGTGGGGGAGCGTTCGGTGACGATGAATTCGCCGGTGATTCGGTTCACTGCGACTCTGTTCGGGTAGAGCAGTTGGCCGTCGCGTTTTCCGCACTCTCCGAACATGAATTTGAAGTTTCCTTCGCGGTCGAATACCTAAAACAACATGGGTAAAAAATATCGAGGAATTCCAAAAAACACGTCATGATGACACATTTTATCAAAAAATCTTAAAATCCGTCATTATGACACAATTTTCAAAAAAAAAAAAACCCATCATGTCATCAAATTCCATAAAATACGTCATCATGACCACTTCCAAAAATTGCGTCATCATGACACATTTCAAATCAAATTCGTTACCTAAAACTCAAAAACAAAATTCCCACCTGAATTCGATGATTGTTGGTGTCAGCGACCACAATTTCATTTTGAGCCGTAACGGCGACTCCGGACGGTTCCGTGAATTGGCCCTGTTGGATTCCGAACTCCCCAAACTTGTGATAATAGATCATTCGCTCTCTTCGGGTCGCAGTCACAGCTCGGGGTGCTCCGTAGACACCAAGAAGCCGAGAGTTGAGGTCCGATTGACTCGCGGATCCTAAACGTGGTCATGTGTAATATAATTTTTATCAAATTTTGACCGAATTATTGTCTCACGAATTCAAAAAGACTTTATAAATCTCATTTCCAACTTCTAAATCACTCTAAACTTTGAATTTTCCTCAAAAATCAAAAAATTTTTATCATGTGTAATATAATTTTTATCAAATTTTAACTAAACTTTAGTCTCACGAATTCAAAAAGACTTTATAAATCTCATTTCCAGCCTCAGACCGCTCAAAACCTTGAATTTTCCCAAAAATCAAAATTTTTTTTTATCATGTGTAATATAATTTTTCGTCAATTCAGTGCAAAATCCCTTCCCATCCAGCTCAACGCAGCTCATACTGCCTTAAAATTCATCTTTCTTGTCCATTTTCACCTAAAAACCAAACAAAAAACATCAAAAACCTCTCACCCTGCGGACTCGCCGACAAGTCCAATCCGGACGAGAACCTCGACAATTCCTGGAACTGTTCATTCAGAGAGTCGCGGAGGTCCTGATGGTCCAACGGGTCCGAGAAGGTGTTGTTTCTCTCGAGTGCATTCAAGTTCTGGACACTCGACGACGTCAGACCTCTGGAGATCGGGGGTAACGAGCTCAAACTGCTGGAGGAGTGTCGCAAATACTGGGACGAGCTGGGCCGGACCAAACTTTGGGGCAAAAGTGAGCCGGCGGGGTGGTGATGGGTGTGGCAAGAGTCGGCGTGGTTCCAGGAATCGGGTCGTCCGCTGAGGCAGAGCGAAGTCAGAGCTTGGACGACCTGGGTCGCCTCCACACGGGGTTGTTCAATCTCCATATTTCCGTTCAAAATCATCTCCGTTTCGGCGTTGAAGGTGAGGAACCCGCGGAGGCGCGCCTCGAGCAGCGGCTTGAAGACCAGCACCTCCGCCGGACGGCCGTATTTCAGGAGGCGTTGGGCGAATTTCACAGTTTCCGAGATTTTGCCGGTCATCTTCTGGACTCCTCGGCTGATGCTGACAATCTGCTCCTAAAACACCAAGAAATAATTTAAAAAAACTTATTTTTCCAGCTCCTCTATAGTAATATCGGAAGTGATGGGGAATGTCCTGAAACGTCTTCAAATCAAATCTCCCTACCTGTCGATGAATATACGTTGCATCCAGGTCTTTCTGAAGACAATCGTGGGCGTCCTGGATGACCTGAATCATTCGGTTCAAGGTCTCTCGGAGCTTGGCGGTGGCCTGATTCTGCGACGTGTTCACTCGTCTCTGGATGGTTTCGATCTGTTGGAAGGCTGTGCGCAGCTCTCGTTGTTTTAAATTCACCTCATCGATCAGATTTTCAATGGCCATCAGCTGGGCTTGCGCCGCGTTTTCGATGGGTTCCAGTTGGTGCATGGGGCGGGGATGATCCTTTTGAGTGCATTCCTGACACACAGCAAAGTCACAGGATAAGCAGTAAAACTGGAGAGGGCGACTACTAAAATTACTTATCAAAATTCAAGTTCAAACAAAAAATTATATTATCCATGACGGGTCAGGTCAAAAAAAATTGTCGAAAAACAAAAACTCTCAAATTTTTATAGACTAAAATAACGACAATGGCACTCCATAAGGTCTCTTCTATTTTTTCAAACAAAAAATTTGAGCCAACTAGCATCAAAAAATCACAAACTAATAAAAATATTATCCATGACCTCCAAGTCAAAAAAATCCCCAAAAAATCTGAAATTTTGAAAATTTCAAGTCTGAATCACTATTATTTACTTCAATTTGGCTTGAGACACCTAAAACAGCAAAAAAACAAATCAAAAACCTTACCGATGTTCCAAACAGTGGCATTTTTTGGTCTTGGAAACCTCGAGCTCAAATCGATCGATATTTCCTTCTAAAAATCGATGAATAAACAGCCATTACCCTTTATTACGTAACTGGCATTACTGACAAGACACTGGAAGATCTCTCACCTTTCAATTCATGAATTTTGACGGCATGAATCAACGCGTAATCGGCCAAGAGTCCATCTACTCCAAGTTGGGACAATTGAGTGCGACTGTTGCATGCTGGGCAGTTGACTCTGGACAATCCGGCCGCATGTTGGTCTAGACATTCTCTGCAAAAGCTGTGGAAGCAAGCAAGGACTCGGGGATCACGGTAGATGCCTTGGCAGAGGCCACAAAGGAGATCGCTGGGGGCTAAAATAAGGTCCATTTACTGGGATAAACAGATGCCCACAGGTGCTATGAACAATACTAGACATTTCTTAAAAGCTCTGGGCTTCTACTAGGATAGTTATTCGCCCAACCATACAAGTTTTTAACTATAAATTTGAAAAATTGCAAAGGGCACTATAGGTGTCTAAAATAAGGTCAGAAAAGCTGGATAAAAAATAAATTGGCCTTCATATCCTTTCAGATGGATCGAAGAGACCCTTGAGCTTCAACAAAAAGATTGGCATCTAAACAACTTCACTTTATCACCTTCAAATCGACCAAAATCTAAATGCCCACGTCTGATGTCTAAAATAAGGTCAGAAAAGCTGGATAAAAAATAATTTGACCTTCTAATCCTTTCAGATGGATCGAAGAGACCCTTGAGCTTCAACAAAAAGATTGGCATCTAAACGACTTCACTTTATCACCTTCAAATCGACCAAAATCTAAATGCCCACATCTGATGTCTAAAATAAGGTCAAAAACAATGATGGATGCCCAAATAAACGCCTTTCTTTTCACAACCACCTATTAGGACCTCTCCTTCCTCCTGACATAGCCAAAACAAAATTATCTTCTTGTCTTCACCCATAAATTCTCAGTTTTTTCTAATTTTTCTCAACCAGACCCCCTCCAAAAATTGCTCCAACTCACGTTGGCTAAATTCGCCGGAGATCTGGCTGAGTTGTGGGCTGAAGCTGAGGTTCGGTTTGTCCAAGCCGCCGCTCTTCGGCGTTCCCAGCAAGCTTCTGGGGAGCAGCGGATCACACATTGAGTCGTAGGCACTATCATCAATATTTTGTGCTCGGAAATTGTTCAGATGGATCTGGCGGGGCGAGAGGAGACCGTCAGAGTAGAATGGCTTCAACTGGAGGGGCGCCAGGTTGCGGGCGCGTTGCTGAAGAGGAGTGGAGGTCATGCACGGTGCGATGGTCATTGGGACTTCCATTGATCGACGAATTTCCGTTTTCCCTGAAGATTGTGGACAGAAAGTGAAGGTGTGGTGGTGGGTTTAGCGGTGTAGGGTACCACACGTTAGACTGTCCTAAAAATAACTGCAATTTAGAGGCATTTTGCGGCTTCGAATTGAAAAATTTCGAAAAAATAAAGACAAATTTCGGAAATTTTCAAAAACTTTGATGCAAACCAATATAACCCCGCAATAAATTATGCAACAACGCGCAAAAAACAATTTCAAGGAACAACAGACATTTTCGAGGAGAGAACGGCTAATTTCCCCTCAAAAAATTCGGTAAAAAGAGCCAAAAAAGATCGAACTCGAGGGGGTTCGGAAGAGCCGCGCAAAAGTGAGGAAATCGGTAATGAAAATATAAATTTTCTTAGTAAAATTACTCTTGTCATGTTGCCAACACCCTGTTCTATCTATTAGATAAGGATTTAGCCGCAAAAATATCTGAAAATTTGGGTAAAAATTCAAAATTATCTTCACCATGAAGGTTAAGGTGAAGATGGAGAAAAAACATAATTAAATAGGACAGCCAAGCGGTAAAATTTGCGGAAACAGATATAACCATCCATAAGCCAGCTGATCAACAAGTTTCAAGACATTATACACCGGCTTTCACAAACTATGATCCTTTTTCGGATCAAGTAGGGCATCTAAAATCATATCCAATTTCTCAAAGACTACCCGATCAATTGCCATAAAATTTTTAGCCCATAACAAACACTTCATTAGCAACAATAATGCGCAATATGATCCACCAATACCCCTTGGTTCAAGAGCAACAGCCATATTATACTAGACACCTAAAGGTAACAGCAAAAGTGTCAGTAAAGTTCGAATTTCTGATGAGAATCCCTGAAAAAAGTTACAAAAAGACAACAAGAGTATCAATAGTCACATCTCATGCCCAATAGCACGCATCTGAACTGCTTCAACTCGACCAGAAGAGGAATAATGAAACCCCGCCCATCCACAGCTTCTAGAAGGCGATAAAATGCCAAGAAAGGCTTGTCATCAGCTAAATTACCGGGAAAAAAGAAGTTTGAAAGTCTGTAAACTACTTTGACAAAATTTGGAGAAAATTTTGATACCTAAAATACAGTTTCGAGGCAATTATGGGCCGTAAAACCCAATAAAATAGGCCTAACCCTGAGTAAAGTGTTGTCCAAGTCCCCAAAAACGACTCAGCAACCTTATCGACCGAAATGCAAGGCGAATAAAAACGTCTGCCACGTCCCTAAATTACTGTATTCGATTTCGACGAGAAGTTGTCGGATTTACACCTTCCATCGTATAAAATGTCACCCCCACCCGCTGGGGGCTGGGCGCGAACTGCGCGAGAGAAAATAATTTATTTTTGCGGAAAATTTTATTGAATGCTAAACTAATCATTGTTGTGACTCAGGATGGAGGACGATAATGCGTTGGACATTGTGAAATGGTTATTTCGAGAGGACACAAAGGTTGATTTGGAAGGGAATTTGAAAATCATTGAGAAGGACAGTGAAAATGAGTGGAATGTAAGTTGTTTTCCATTTTTCTTTCGATTTTTAGGCTCAGATTTGGACCAAATAGCATAATAAAGATGCGTTAGACCCTGCAGATTGTTATTTATACAACAAGCAGGCTTGTCGTTGAGAATTTTCTTGGTTTTAACTGAAAATTCATTTGACTTTAGCTGTTGTGGCGAGTATAAGATAAACGGATTAGTGCGACCCAATGAAGCGGAACATCCGGGATTTTTTCCATCCAATTGCAAGAATATAGGCTGTTTGAGGTTATCCAAAGCTGTCAAGTTGTAAAGAGAGGGTTTTCCATTAATCCGAAGGCATTTTATATTACCCTTCAAGAGCAATATTTTTTCTCTTCCAAAGATAAATTAAATCTGTTTATAGGAATTTTGCGTTATATTCTTTGATTCTAGGCCAGATTAAAGGGAAATCTCCTTGCATTACGTCCTGTGGCAGCTGTAGCAGAGCCACTTTTATTGGTTTGCGAGAGAATTGTGGTGAAGCGTGTAGCGGACACAAAACAACCTCAATTTGCAATAACGTATGGTCAAAGTGAAGTGGTTTTCCAAGCCGAAGACGAGGACAAGCTTTTCGACTGGATGGTGAAGGTAATTTTTCCAATTTTTTCCAGTTTTCTGCTTTTAGTTGGCAATTTCTTCACATCAAAAGACTCAAGCCGAGCTGGACCAAGTTCTCAACGAATTCAACATGGAAGCAGCCAGAATCACAGCTGAAACGAGAGCGCCAAGTTCGCCGTTGTCACATTTCTTTCTGACCAGCCCCATCAAAAAGGATCACACCTTTTCCGTCTTTCATGTAAGCAAAAATTTTTTTTTTGTTCGAAATTTAGGTCAAACTTGATGTGAAACATGTCAAAATGAACAATATTTGTAGTCATTCAACATGCCCAACCGGACCATATCGTGCGAGGAGGCCATGTACGAATCGAAATTGTCGATTATAATCCCCACATGTATGATAAAAATCTTCGAAAAATGGTGGATCGAGCTCCGCAATGACCTCCTCGAACACTTGGCTAACCTCAGGAACGCATCGATGGATGCGGCGTCCCATTATGTGATACGACATCTCAATTCTAATCTCGAAGTTTACAGCCAAATGAGGGAATTTATGGATGATTATAGCGGGCCCAACTTTCGGTAGGAGTTTCATCATGATGTAATAGAGATTTCTTAGCATTTTGGACAAAAAATGAGCATCTAGTTTTGATTTATTGGGATTTTTCGGCGATTTTACCTTATTTTAGAGATTTTTGATATTTTCAAGTTGAAATTTAATATCTGACTGAATTATAGTAAATTTCAAGCCATCATTGTTCGTTTTTAATAACAAATTTGACATTTGAAAACGATTTTCACCTTATTTTAGAGATTTTTGACCTTATTTTAGTAATTTTTGCGATTTTTTGATATTTTCAAATTGAAATGTTATATATAAGGTAATAATGGTAAATTTCATGCCATTATTGTTTAATTTTCAATAACAAATTTGGAATTTGGAACCTATTTTTACCTTATTTTAGTGATTTTTGACCTTATTTTAGTGATTTTTGGTCTTATTTTAGTGATTTTTGGTATTTTTTTGGTATTTACAAATTAAAATGTGATATATAACTAAATAATAGTAAATTTCAGGCCATTATTGTTTATTTTCAATAACAAATTTTACATTTGAAACCGATATTCACGTTATTTTATCCATTTTTGACCTTATTTTTGAGATTTTTTGAAATTTTCAAATTGAAATATTATATCAGACTGAGTGATAGTAAATTTCAGGCCATAATTGTTAATTTTCAGTTACAAATTTAACATTTGAAACCGATTTTCAGATTATTTTAGCCATTTCTGACCTTATTTTAGCCATTTTCCCCAAAATTTTTTAATTTTCGCCAGTTTTTCAACCCAAAAATTCCAGGCCATCAAAGGAAAAGTACCGGCTCGCCTTCTCACTGGTCCCCACCAACCTGCATGTTCAAAGTTTCGAGGTCTCGGACCATAAATGGACCTACATCACATGTGGCGCCATCTCCGGAACACCCCTCCGATTCAAACAAGGAGGCCTCAGTCGACTCAGGGACACTCTAATGGCCAGCCTACAACCGAACAGTCAAGATTACTTGCTGGAGACGAGGTTTTTCACGAGACGAAAGACCTTGTTGAATGCCAAAAAAATGGTCGGAGAACTGAGTCGGCGGATCGAAAACGACTGGAAAATGGAAGTTTTCGGCAAAGTGGATAAAGTGGGAATCAAATTGTTTAGTGAAGTGAAACAGGTGAGAGGTTGGAGCTGTTTTTAAGCGAAATTTTGAAATTTTTTTGATGGATAAGATAATATTTTGGTGAAAAAAGTGTTGATGTCAATGGGTTTTGGTGGGAAAAGTTAATGTGAGCGGATAATGTACTGTCAGTTTTTTGAATATGAGTTTTGGTGGGCTTTGTATGTTGTTTTAGACATCTGCACTGTGCAGTTGCCAGATTTGTTTATTGCACTGTGCAGGATCAAAATTTTAATTGAGAATGTGTTTTGTTGTTGCTTTTAGGGCTGAAAAATGCTATACAAATCCACGGATATTCATAATTGGTTCTGCATTCTCAATTTTACATTGTTTTAGACATCTGCACTGTGCAGTTTCCAGATCCGTTTATTGCACTGTGCAGGATCAAAATTTTACTTGATAATGTGTTTTGTTGTCTCGTTTATGGCCTAACAATGCTCTACGAATCAACGGATATTCATAATTTGGTTTGCTTCCCCACTTTTACATTGTTTTAGACATCTGCACTGTGCAGTTTCCAGATCCGTTTATTGCACTGTGCAGTATTGCACTGTTTCACTTTAAAATGTGTTTAGTTGTTCATTTTAGGGTTTAACAATTCTATAAGATTCCACGGATATCCGTAATTAGTTCTGCTTCACCTATTTTACATTGTTTTAGACATCTGCACAGTGCAGTTTCCAAATTTTCGATTGCACTGTGCAGACTTTAAATTTTATTGAATATTTCGATAAATTTGTTCAAAAGAGACACAAAGGTTCTAAAATTTGTAATTTTGAATATTTTTTCAGTTATACGAACTGATTGTGGACCTAATAAACTCCTTCCCCAATATCCATAATCTCGTCGACGCCTTATGCCCCGGGGGCCTAGCTCAACTAGAAGCAGTCCAAGGACAGCCTCCAAAAGTCACAGAAACTCTAGCCGCTCAGATGGACGCATTAGAAGCGGCGGTGATAAGTTTGAACACCAAAATGGCTGTCATCGACAAAGTGGAAGATCAAGATGTAAGTTTTTTGAAGGTTTTTTGGTGTATTTGTTCTTCCTTTTGCCTGCAAATCCTGTTAACAGAAAGAGAACATGTTATGGAATCGTAATTTTTTAAAAATTCAATTTTTTGTTTTCGCACTGTGCAAAATTTTAAAAATTTGAAATTTCTCGAATGCACAGTGCAATTTTTAATTGATATATTTTTGAAAATAAAGCATCATATGTATGCTTTATTTAGTCCGAATATTTTTTTACAGATCATATTTTACAACGCCAAAAATTTTCTTTTTTTAAATTTTGCACTGTGCAAAATTTTAAAACTCACGAGGGAATGGTCTGAACTTCCCCCAGCGTTTGGGAAAATGACTATTACAGATGGATAGAGCAAGTCAACTTTGGTAAAAAGAGGCATTTTCCAGCTGCGGAATAAGCCCGGCCGACGAGAAAAATCGACCGAAAGTTCCACAAAAATTTCCTCTTTCTCTTCCCTCGGAAAAGAAGAGCGGTGTCCAGTGGTTCGGTTAGCCGAGTGGATAAAGCATCCGCTCGATGTTCGTTTGGGGGTTGGTTGGATTCCGGGGTCTCGCGAAGGGATAAGGCTTTGATGAGCAAGATCAAGCTCTAACAAACGAAAAAAAAATATTTTGCCAATTTTATACGTTTTATAGGGGCATTATACCAAAAAAATAATTGTCAAAATATGATTTTTTGGGTGCTTCCGAACCTTCAAAACGATGGTCCATTGAAGTTATACTCGTTTGGTGATTTACTTGACTTTGAAAAAAGGCAAAATAATTTTTTTTGGGTTGTTAGAGTTTGATCTTGCTCATCAAAGCCTTATCACGGTCCTTCGCGAGACCCCGGAATCGAACCCACCCCCAAAAGAATATCGAGCGGATGCTTTATCCACTCTACTAACCGAACCACTGGGCACCGCTCTTCTTTTCCGAGGGAAGAGAAAGAGGAAATTTTTGTGAAACTTTCGGTCGATTTTTCTCGTCGGCTGGGCTTATTCCGCAGCTGGAAAATGGCTCTTTTTACCAAAGTTGACTTGCTCTATCCATCTGTAATAGCCATTTTCCCAAACGCTGGGGGAAGTTCAGACCATTCCCTCGTCAGATTTTCGCACTGTGCATTAATTTTTTGAAACTAAAACTACACCGCATGACTTATTTTGCTTCAGGACGCCCGAATTTCCTTCAAAGAGAACGCGAAGACCTCGCTGAACACGGTTTTGGACATGATTTTACACCTGGTGGACTCCCTCTTTTATGGCCAACTTTTGGGCATCATTGTGGCCCTACGAAAACAGTCCGACGCCTCGAATTACTTTCAAATCCAGCTCAGATACGACATGATCATTTCACAAGCAATAACTCTGATTTCAACGTGTTTATTGATGTTAATCGAGACGTCAACCAAGGAAGAGCTGGAGATTTGGGAAGAAAGGGATCCATTGGTCACTTTCTTTGGGTTTTTATCCTGCTATGGCGATGAACGAGGCATGATGGAGGATATGCGAGAGATTTGGAGCGTGTTTTATGGAAGGGTCCAGTTCAGATTCATCCCAACCAATTCGGCGGTAAGATGGTCATGGATAAGATAATTTTTGATAAAAATGGAGGTTTTTGTGTAGAAATTAGATTTTTAAAGATGAGATATAAAATTTGGAGGTGATTGAGACATTTTAGAGGGTGTGGTAAGGGGTGACCATCAAGATTTTGCCGTTTTTTGGAGGTTAGATGGTCATGGATAATATAATTTTTGATAAAAATGGAGGTTTTTGTGGAGAAATTAGGTTTTTTAAGATGAGAGATGAAACTTAGAGATGATTGAGACATTTAAGAGGGTGTGGTAAGGGGTGACCATCAAGATTTTGCCGTTTTTTGGAGGTTAGATGGTCATGGATAATATAATTTTTGGCGGTTTTGAAAGAAAGTGTTGATCGCAGGAGATGCCAGAAGGCGTGAAAAGATGTTTGAGATGTTTTGGAGGGCATGGAAATAGTTTATTTGACCATTTTTCGGGGTTTTCAGGATAGGTCATGGATAATATAATTTTTGATAAAAATGGAGGTTTTGGTGGAAAGATTGAATTTTTGTGAACGATTTATGAAATTTAGAGATGATTGAGGCATTTGAGAGGGTGTGGTAAGGGGTGACCATTAAAATTTTGCCGTTTTTTGGAGGTTAGATGGTCATGGATAATATAATTTTTGGCTGGAAATGACAGTTAGAGGGAAAATATTGGCTTATAAAGCTGATTGAAGAATTTTTAGGGGTATGGCGAGGGGTGATTTTTAAATTTTCACATATTTTTTGGATTAAAAAAAATTTTTTTTTTTGAAAAAATTTGGTAAAATACGATATTTTGTGATGTAAAAATGGATTTTTTCTCTTTTTTAGATCACAAAAACCTGCACCCCGCAAGTGGAAGGTGAAAATCCCACGGATATCACCGTCACTATTCCACTAATCCCCGAAATGATCTCCAAATTACCTCCACGAATGCTGAATGGCGACAAATTCCGCGTCAGAACGTTGTATTTTAACGTTGGAGTGAACCATGAAGCCACCTACGCCATGAGGCTGGGCGATATCTCCCTAGAAGAGAGTATAAATTTGGCAGCGACGACTTTATTCAACCAATATATCAATTCCGTACCCGAAAAAGTAACGGAAAATGTACAAAGATTGTTCTCAGAGCTGAAAAGAACGGTAGGTTTGGTGTGGAAAATTTTTGTGAACCATTTTTGTTTACATTGCAAAAAAAATTACGAAAATTTTGCAATGATTTTGCGAAAAAAAATTTTTTTTGACGCGGCACTGTGCGCGAGAATTTATTATTTTTATTTTTTTTCGCACAGTGCAGGCGCGACGAACCATTTTTTTTGTCTTGCACTGTGCAAATGATTTTTTTTGCGATTTGCACCGTGCGGAAGGAAAAAAATCTTGTTTCGCACTGTGCAGTCGAACAAAAAATTTTTTTTCCGCACAGGGCAGCCGCGACGAAGACTTGTTTTTTGCGATTTGCACCGTGCAAATGAACTTGTTTTTTGCGATTTGCACCGTGCAAATGAACTTGTTTTTTGCGGTTGCACAGTGCAGAAGAAAAAATCATTTTGCACTGTGCGGTCGAAATAATAATTTTTTGATTTTTGACGGGCTAAATAACCGGAATATGACTTCCAGGTAGAAGAATGCCCCTCAAAGAAGAACGTATGGATCTTCCCGAAGGTCCAGGAACTCACCCGAGCCCTCAATGGAGTGTGTGTAATCTCATGCAAGAGTGGGAAAGATCGATCGTCGATGGCCGTCACACTGGAAGAAGGCCGCGCCCTCAGGGAAACTATTGGCATATCACAGCAACAGGTGTGTTTTTCAACAAAATTTTTGGACATTTGCACTGTGCAATTGGATAAAATAGGGATTTTTTGCGGTTTGCACTGTGCGGAGGTTTTTGGACGCGATTTTAGGCTTTTAAAATACGGAAATTTGGATTTTTTGAGTAAATATTTTATTGAAACACTCAGTAGATTTTGTTTAGATGGTATTTTCCCGGTTACTGCACTGTGCATTCAAAAATTTTTGAGATTTTTTATTTCTGCACGGTGCAAATTTTTGTGGTGTAAATTTTTGATGTTTAAAATACGAAATGGAATTTTATATGAAATTTATTTATTGAATACATGCCTCAGTGTCCATCTTGACCAAATTTGGACAGTTTTCTCCCATCGCGATCAAAAATTTTTGAGATTTTTTATTTATGCACTGTGCAAATTTTTGTGATGCAATTTTTTGATGTTTAAAATACGAAAATCAATTTGATATGAAGTTAATTTATTGGATGCATCCCTGAACGTCCATCTTAGCCAAATTTGGCCAAGTTTTTCCCGTCGCGATCAAAGATTTTTGAGATTTTTTATTTCTGCACAGTGCAATCAAAAATTTTCGATTTTTTTCTTGAATTTCCCATTTTTCAGGTCGATGAAATGGTCGACTGCCTCAGGCGAGACGGTGTTCGTCGTGAGAACTGCCGCAAAAACGTCGGCAAAGCGATGTACTCCTTCAGTCCCATCCAAATGCACTTTTTACCCCGCGAATTCCGACCTCCAGCCGGCACTTTCACCCACAATGTATCATCCTAGCCCATCATCATCATGTTCACTGCGATTGTTACACTTGAACCCACCCAGTTTCGCTTATATTGTTGGTTGTTTGTATCTATTTGGATTAAAATCGCTAAAATTTTTATTATTTTTGATGGAAATTGATGTAGAATCTAGACTAATATGGTCATATATACATTTAAATTACATTTACCTGCTTTTTTCAACTATTTTTGTCGTTTTTGAACAGAAAATTTGACAAAATTTGTCATCAGATGTCTAGTGTAATATAATTTTTCTTTATTTTTCATCGAATTCCTGTACAGTTTGGAAGATTAAAGGGTATAAAGAATATCTAGCACCGTTACAATAACATTTGACTCAATTAATTTGAAAAAAGTAAAAGAAATTTGTAAAAAATGCCAAAAAATTGGGATTTTTTGCAATTTTGATGACTAAAATCACGTTCCAACGCATAAAACCACCATTTTGATGGAGCACGAGCCTTTCTGTGCATGGCTGAACAGTGGACGATGTGCGGATAGAGGAGAAGCCCAGGCGAAATGAGCGGAATCCCCGGAACGCCAATCCAAACAATTCTGGAGGTCGGATTCGCTTTCGGCTGGCGGAATTCCATGCCAAAGCCAGCCGTCGGACCTGAAAATAATTTTTTTTGTCGTTTGAAGTTAATTTGAGATCGCAATTTGCTGCACTGTGCGCGCTTTTTTGCACTGTGCAATTTGATCGCCGGGGCCAATGCGCTATCTGAAAGTTTGCTGAAAATGGTAGGGCGCAGCTCGGAAAACTAGCATGGGCGCAGCTCGCATCTCGGGCGCAGCTCGGCTTTCGCAGTTCGCCGGAGCTAGGTTTCAGCTTGTTTTCGAGCTGCGCCCAAGACGCGAGTTGCGCCCGTGCAAGTTTTCCGAGCTGCGCCCTACCATTTTCAGCTAACTTTCAGCAAACTTTCAGATATCGCATTGGCCCCCGCACAGTGCAGTGGGTTTTGAAAGTAAAATTTTGACTGCACTGTGCAATCTGATTCTTATCAGTCTGTCGGAAAAATAACGGCGGATCGTCGCATCAAAATGTCTCGCCTCGCCGCTGTCGCGCACCAAATCCCAAGCCGCGGCTTGCAGTCGCAAAGCGATGATGGGCGATTCGGAGGCGCGACGATCCGCCGTTTTTTTCCCGACAGACCGATATTTGAGATCGCCATTTGCTGCACTGTGCAATTTTTGACGGCCGCACAGTGCAATCTGGTTCTTACTTGAGATCGCAATTTGTTGCACTGTGCGAGTCTTTTTTTCGCACTGTGCAGTTTGAACGCCGCACAGTGCAATCTTTTCTGAAAAGACAATTTTACCCCCGCACTGTGCAATCTCAATTTTTTCATTCGCACAGTGCGGTTTCCATTTTTATATGTATTTTCGGTCGCACAGTGCAAACTCACTGTGCAATTTGCTCGCTGCACAGTGCAACCAGTTCGGAAACAAAAATTTCGCGACCGCACTGTGCAACCCCATCCAAACTTCCGATCGCACAGTGCGGTTTATTTATTTTTGATCGCACGGTGAAAACTGTAGACTGCACGGTGCAATGGATTTTCAGCACAGTGCAGTGGGTTTTGAAAAGAAAATTTTGCCCCTGCACTGTGCAATCTCATCCAAATTTTCAATTGCACAGAGCAAACTGTCGACTGCACGGTGCGACGGATTCTTTGCACTGTGCAATTTGACCGCCGCACAGTGCAACCGGTTCCGAAAAGAAAATTTCGCGAGCGCACTGTGCAACTTGGTTCCATTTTTCATTTGCACAGTGCGGTTTATTTATCTTTTTTTCGGTCGCACTGCAGACTGCACGGTGCGATGGATTTTCTGCACTGTGCAGTTTGCAAATTTTTTGACTGCACTGTGATGAGACTGCACGGTGCGATTTCTGATTGCACTGTGCGGTTCCGAATTTTTTGACCGCACAGTGCAAAAAAGATTTTTATTTTGCTCCAAATTACAAACTGACTTACCAAGCGCCATTGTGGAGGACATTTCTTTTGTCGAAGGTGTACAACGAGGCGGCTTGAAGACTAACATCGCCAAAAACTCGCTCCCAAGAGTCAAAAAGTCGAGCGCCGAAGATATTTACGACTGGCCAGGAACTTTGGCCAGATGAAATTAGCGCTTTAGGGTTCTAAAATAGGAAAATTTATTGTTTTGAGTTGATTTTAGGGTATTTTTTGATTAAATTTTGAAATTTTTTCAAATTTTTTTTCAAAAAAAACTTTTTTTTCAAAATGAAAGATTTCAAAAAATCAACTTACCCGTCCTTTCGCACTGACCAATGCACTAAACTCGCCACTAATTCCACTTTCTCTCGCCTCTTTTTTGCACTGTGCATCCAAATTTTCGACTCCCCCGGCAAGCCCGCTGATTGGTCGATTCAGCGGCACCAATTTCACGGTCCCACCGAGCCCATCATGAATCAGCGGCGCACGGGGACGCAGATTGAATATCCGATATTGCTCTTCGTCGATTAAATCCGTGGAAATTTGGGGTTCTTGAGAGCGACAGGTCTGGTAAGAGAGGCCCCCAGTGGAGGGTTCGGTCGAAAAATGCGGACGACAAGGGCGGGGAGGACGTTTAGGAGGAGGTGGATGCGGTAAGGGGTCCAGAATAGTCTCATCGAGCTGGAAATTGTGGGATTTTAGGGGAATTTTTGATTTTTTTTGTCATGGATAATATAATTTTTGGTTATTTTTTCACCTAAAAAGGGGTAAATCAAGCAAAATCGGTCTCAATATTACTAATAAAAGTCTTTAGGAGTAATCTGCAAGCTTGATCCATCGGTTTTTTTCTCAATTTTTAAATTTTTTTGCCCTGGATAATATAATTTTTGACTTTTTTGAAGCCAAACAGTTGTCCTAAAATTATGGTTGACTATTATTTATACTCTGAGATGAACAACTGAGGATTTAAAAGGCTTATTTCTCAAAATTTCGAATTTTTTTTGTCATGGATAACATAATTTTTGGTCATTTTTTGGCGTAAAAAGGGATAAACTAACTAAAATCGGTCTCAATATTACTAATAAAAGGCTTTAGGAGTAATCTACGACCTTGGTCCACCTGTTTTTCACAATTTTTTTTCAATTTTTTTGTCATGGGTAATATAATTTTTGGCTCATTAGTTCTCAAAAAACCGCTTATTGAGTAAATTCTGGCCTAATATTGAAGAAAATAGATGAAAAGTTAATAAAACAATACAGCCGGTTTCGTATTTTACAAAAAAAAACTCACTCTGACCAAAGAAAAGCCATTTTTTGTGCGAATAAAGAGCCGTTGCGTGTCCAAAGCGAATGCCAAAAGTCCTTCATGCACTGTGCTCTTCAGCAATTCGTCTTCTCGCGGGAAGACTTTGCTCTGAAATAAAAATTTTTTTAAATTTATAATAGCCAAATTGGTTTTTTTTCTCGTATTTTACAACTCACATTACTGCCCGGGGCATTTTCTGTGCTCCTCAAGGTCTCTTCAACCCTCTGTCGAACGGCCTGGTCGATTTTTTCCTCGAGTTCTTTCGCGTTGCATCCGCACTGAAAAAAATGTTGCTAGAAAAACGCACAGTGCAAATTTTAAACCTCATTTTTTCGCACAGTGCAAACTTTAAACCTCATTTTTTCGCACAGTGCAAATTTTAAACCTCATTTTTCCGCACAGTGCAAATTTTAAACCTCATTTTTTCGCACAGTGCACTTGGCAAAAGAAAATTTTCTTATGCACAGTGCAAAAAGAGAACTTTCTGTCGCCCGTTTTCCGCACTGTGCAGTTGAAAAATCGCCGTGGCGCAAGGGCGTTTGACTGTGTTATCGCGAATTTTGCTCGCGCGACAAGTCGGGGCTGCTTTCTTTTGCAATTTCTGCTCAAAAGGATCAAACAAATGTGTGCACAGTGCAGTCAAAAAAAGTTTTTGTTTTTTTGGTTTTTGCACGGTGCAGTCAACAAATTCTTATTTTTGCACAGTGCAATAGAAAAAAATGAAAATTCGTTTTGCACAGTGCAATCAATTTTTTTATTTACTACAAACCAATTTGAAAGATAAAAATCATAAAAAAGTTGTCGCTTACTTTTCCTGGAGCTCCAGGCGGCCCGGTCTCCCCTCTTTCTCCCTTTATCCCCTGAGGCTTTCGATATGGATATCCCGGAAATCGACGGGGCGTTCCATTTAGGGTGCTCTAAAGTTGTGAAAATCAAAAAATATTGCAATTATCACTTACATTTTGCGGTCTTGCGACTTCTTCAACCTCAACAGAATCCCCGTGGTAGTCAATGGCTACGGATTTGACGCTGTGATCTCGAGCCTTGAATGTCGACCTGGTTTGGGAATTTACCAGTAGTGGGAGGAGAAGAAGGAAGAGAATTTTCATCTAAAAAAAATTTTTTTTAATTGTCGAGTTGTCGGGAAAATAGTTTGGAATCGTCGTGCCTTGGAAACGCCCAGCATTTGATGCCCAACATACATACTGTTGCGAAATTTTGACTGCACTGTGCAATGGAAAAAAATATACATGATTTTCGAAACCAGCACGTTCGAAATCCCCTAAATCCGGTCTTATTCGTCAATTTAAAAAAAAGTAGTACTTAACAGTACTACTTAAGGAAAACTAGTAAAGTTCAAAAAAAAATGAACCCGAAATTCGAAATCAGCGCCCTTGAAAACCCCTAAATCGAGTATTTTTGGAAAAATTTCAAAAAATTACTTTTTTAACACTACTGCTTAAGGAAAACTAGTAAAGTTCAGAAAAAATGTACATCATTTTCGAAATCAGCACCCTCGAAAACCCCTAAAGCAAGTTTTTCCCGAAGAGAATCAAAGAATTTTCATCCCGGGGTCGCTTTACCCCATTTTGGGTCGCAATCGATGCGGGGTCGCAATCGAAGGATTCCCTTTGCACAGTGCATTAGCGACATAACTGTTTCTGTTGACTGCACAGTGCAATAGAAAAAATTTTTGTTTTGCACAGTGCATTATTAGAAATTTTTTCTTGCACCGTGCAAAAACTTTATTGAACTTTTCGCAACATGGCAAAATAAAAGGTCCGTTATAGAGAGGTTTTGCAAAAAAAAAAACAATTTTTGAAAAATCAAAAATTGTCAATTTGAATGTAAAATACGACACTTGGTCCCGACTAAAAATCCAAAAGTAAAAATAAATTCCACAAATCAAAATGAATCGCAGATTTACAAAGCCCTTGGATAAATAGGCCATGTCTGAAAACTAAAAGTGTCTCCTTTCGGCCATTTTTTGCTTTTTCGTGCTTCTTTCGGGGCCGGAGACCAAGAAATTGAATTTTGTTACAATAAAAAATCGGATCTTTTATTATCCCCAGTTCCGGTCAAGATCCGAACAGGCCTGGAGTCAGTCAAATGGAATCTCAAATCACAAAGAGGAATATAAAAAGTAACGCGATAAGAACGGATTGCAAAAAATGCGAAGGAAAAATCATCAGATCGGAATTTGAATTGATGAAATAATCGAGAAGCGTGGTGAAATTAGAGAGTAAAAACAATAAAAAAATAGACGAAATTATTTTAAAAATGATTTTTAAAAAATTTGTGACACTTGTAATGGTTCAAACACAAACTTTTTTTGCACTGTGCAGTCGGAAAAAGTCAATTTTTTCGCACTGTGCGGTCGAGAAAAAATATTATTTTTCCGCACTGTGCACTCCGGTAAAGTCAATTTTTTCGCACTGTGCAGTTTGAAAAAATCGTTTTTTTTTTGCACAGTGCAGCCGGGAAAAGTCAATTTTTCGCACTGTGCAGCCGTGAAAAGTAAATTTTATTGCACTGTGCAGCCGGTTGGAATCTATTTTTACGCACTGTGCAGTCCCAAAAAGTTAATTTTCTGCACTGTGCGATCGGAAAAAATCAACTTTTTTTTTGCACTGTGCAGTCGGAAAAAGTCAATTTTTTCGCACTGTGCGGTCGAGAAAAAATATTATTTTTCTGCACTGTGCAGTCGCAAAAAGTTGTTTTTTTCGCACTGTGCAGCTTACAGAACAAGCCAAAAATTTTTGCGTAGTGCATAAAAACTGATTTTTTTCTTGCACAGTGCAAATTTTATAAATTTTCTATTGCACTGTGCGGAAAAATATAATTGAGTTTTCGCACTGTGCAATCGTAAAGAAATCAAATTTTGCACAGTGCAAATACAAAAAAAAGACAAAAATATCTATTCACAGTAAAAAAGAGACCATTTTTCCTTCAATGCTCAGTAAAAAAGAGCATTTTTTTTTGGTGCAGTGCGAGAAAATATTTAAAATTAAAAATCGCACAGTGCAGTCCCAAAAACTCTGATCCTCTTTTATAAGCCACTCATATGACAAAAAACGGCTCAGCGTAAATTGAGATGGCCATTAATTCCAAGGGAGATCGCGCTTTAAATCAAGTTGGGTGGCCACAATGGTCGAAAAAAAACTTTGGAATGTTTACGTTTGGGTAATGATGATTCAGATGGAAGGACTTTTTGAAATACGACTTTTTTATGGATGGACCAGGGGTGATGATTGCATTGTGCAATTTAAAAAAAAAAAAAAAAAAAAAATTTTTTTTTTTTTTTAATTGCACAATGCGAAAAAATGATCTTTTCAGACTGCACAGTGCAAAAAAATGATCTTTTCAGACTGCACAGTGCAAAAAAATGACTTTTTCCGACTGCACAGTGCAAAAAAATGACTTTTTCCGACTGCACAGTGCAAAAAAATGACTTTTTCAGACTGCACAGTGCAAAAAATTGACTTTTTCCGACTGCACAGTGCAAAAAAATGACTTTTTCCGACTGCACAGTGCAAAAAAATGACTTTTTCCGACTGCACAGTGCAAAAAAATGACTTTTTCAGACTGCACAGTGCAAAAAAATGACTTTTTCCGACTGCACAGTGCAAAAAAATGACTTTTTCAGACTGCACAGTGCAAAAAATTGACTTTTTCCGACTGCACAGTGCAAAAAAATGACTTTTTCCGACTGCACAGTGCAAAAAAATGACTTTTTCCGACTGCACAGTGCAAAAAAATGACTTTTTCCGACTGCACAGTGCAAAAAAAAAAAATAAAATAAAAATTGCACTGTGCGGAAAAAAGAAAATAAAAAATTGCAAAAAAAATTTGGACTGCACAGTGCGGAAAAAATTATTAAATTGCACGGTGCGAAATTTTTTTTTTTTTTTTTTTTTTTTATTTTTTTGTGGTTGCACTGAGCAGAAAAAGCAGTTTTGATAATTGCACAGTGCAAAAAATGTTTTGGAACTGCACTGTGCGGAAAAATTATATTGCACAGTGCAACTTCTTTTCCCTCAAAAATGTCATGATTTCATACCCAAGAAAGACCAGTTAAACTACAAATTCACTCTTTATTTTTTCATTTCATAACCCGTAAGCTCCTGAATCAAGGGAAAATGCCTTTTAGCCCATTGACAAATGACTGGATATAACGTGATTCTTAGTGCGAGCTGTTAATTCGAAAAAAAAGGAGAAGAAAGGGCAAGAAGACAAGCAAAAAATCAGAGATTATTTTTTTGTAGCAAAAAAAATTTTTTTGTAGTGCACTGGGTATAGAGACGGTTATTTTTCTTGCACTTTGCAAATTACTTCCTTTCTGCACTGTGCGAAACATCAAGATAATTTTTGCACTGTGCAAGATAAAAATTGTCGCTTGGTTTTTGCACTGTGCATAAACGAAAAAATTATTTTCCTTCTGCACTGTGCAGAAAATCTGAAGTTTTATTACTGCACTGTGCAAAACGTTAAAACGCGTTTTGCCACACTTTGGAGCTTATCGTCAGTCGTACGTTTTCGACCATGTGGAACATTTTTGTAATTGTCACCAAAAACTAAAAATTACATCTAAGCTATGTTACACATGAGGTAACATACTATTTCGGGTGTAAAATGGGCTACTGTAGCTTGTAGCACTTTTAGATACGCTTAAAAAAAACTTCAACCTTAACCCAATAAACAGTAGAAATTTTAAAAAAATAAAATGCACAACTTTTGAGATACAGGGATTTCAATCTGTCATGTACAAGGTCATCAGAACCCCGAAAAAAGCTGGCATTCTTGGGATTTCGGGTTGTAGCACTTTTTGATATCCTCTAATACATTATTGGCCTTGTAAACGATGATGGTGAAAATTTCAGGCAAAAAAATGCACAACTTTCGAGAAAATGACCAAAATACCTTATTTTAGGTCATCAGAACCCCGAAAAAAGCTGGCATTCTTGGGATTTCGGGTTGTAGCACTTTTTGATAGCCTCTAATACATTATTAGCCTTGTAAACGATGATGGTGAAAATTTCAGGCGAAAAAAATGCACAACTTTCGAGAAAATGACCAAAATACCTTATTTTAGGTCATCAGAACCCCGAAAAAAGCTGGCATTCTTGGGATTTCGGGTTGTAGCACTTTTTGATAGCCTCTAATACATTATTAGCCTTGTAAACGATGATGGTGAAAATTTCAGGCGAAAAAATGCACAACTTTCGAGAAAATGACCAAAATACCTTATTTTAGGTCATCAGAACCCCGAAAAAAGCTGGCATTCTTGGGATTTCGGGTTGTAGCACTTTTTGATAGCTTCTAATACATTATTAGCCTTGCAAACGATGATGGCGAAAATTTCAGGCGAAAAAAATGCACAACTTTCGAGAAAATGACCAAAATACCTTATTTTAGGTCATCAGAACCCCGAAAAAAGCTGGCATTCTTGGGATTTCGGGTTGTAGCACTTTTTGATAGCTTCTAATACATTATTAGCCTTGCAAACGATGATGGCGAAAATTTCAGGCGAAAAAATGCACAACTTTCGAGAAAATGACCAAAATACCTTATTTTAGGTCATCAGAACCCCGAAAAAAGCTGGCATTCTTGGGATTTCGGGTTGTAGCACTTTTTGATAGCTTCTAATACATTATTAGCCTTGCAAACGATGATGGCGAAAATTTCAGGCGAAAAAAATGCACAACTTTCGAGAAAATGACCAAAAGACCTTATTTTAGGTCACCCGAAAAAAGTGACGAAAATTTATGATATTGTCAAAACATAGACTAAAAAATTTTATTCTTCGTCTTCGACATTGGACCCGGGGAGAATCCGAATGTTAAGTCAACGAATGTTAAGTCGATGTTTCATTGCCCGGACGAAACATTCTGATGACCTAAAATAAGGTATTTTGGTCATTTTCTCGAAAGTTATGCATTTTTTTCGCCTGAAATTTCATCATCATCGTTTACAAGGCTAATAATGTATTAGAGGCTATCAAAAAGTGCTACAACCCGAAATCCCAAGAATGCCAGCTTTTTTCGGGGTTCTGATGACCTAAAATAAGGTATTTTGGTCATTTTCTCGAAAGTTGTGCATTTTTTTCGCCTGAAATTTTCACCATCATCGTTTACAAGGCTAATAATGTATTAGAGGCTATCAAAAAGTGCTACAACCTGAAATCCCAAGAATGCCAGCTTTTTTCGGGGTTCTGATGACCTAAAATAAGGTCTTTTGATCATTTTCTCGAAAGTTGTGCATTTTTTCGCCTGAAATTTTCACCATCATCGTTTACAAGGCTAATAATGTATTAGAGGCTATCAAAAAGTGCTACAACCCGAAATCCCAAGAATGCCAGCTTTTTTCGGGGTTCTGATGACCTAAAATAAGGTATTTTGGTCATTTTCTCGAAAGTTGTGCATTTTTTCGCCTGAAATTTTCACCATCATCGTTTACAAGGCTAATAATGTATTAGAGGCTATCAAAAAGTGCTACAACCTGAAATCCCAAGAATGCCAGCTTTTTTCGGGGTTCTGATGACCTTGTACATGACAGATTGAAATCCCTGTATCTCAAAAGTTGTGCATTTTATTTTTTTAAAATTTCTACTGTTTATTGGGTTAAGGTTGAAGTTTTTTTTAAGCGTATCTAAAAGTGCTACAAGCTACAGTAGCCCATTTTACACCCGAAATAGTATGTTATCTCATGTGTAACATAGCTTAGATGTAATTTTTAGTTTTTGGTGACAATTACAAAAATGTTCCACATGGTCGAAAACGTACGACTGAGCTCGATATGAGCTAAAATAACGCTTCGTTTTCTCGATTAGGGCATATCTTTTTTAAGAAAGAATGTTACAGTATGCCGTCATACGGTAATTTTGGGCAAAAATAAAGAAAGCGAATGTTTTGTCTGTCATAACGATCAAGTTGACCAATTTTGGTTTAATTCTGAGACATCGATTTTAACAATGTCCGGGCCAATCTACGATTTGTAATAAAACGCGTTTTAAAATAATTATTGCACTGTGCGAAATAAAAAAAATTGTCGCTTGATCTTTTGCACTGTGCATAAACGAAAAAGCAACCTTCCTTCTGCACTGTGCAATGTGTCAAAAATTTTATTAGCGCACTGTGCGAAACACCAAGACAATTTTTGCACGGTGCGAAATGAAAAAAAATGTCGCTAGTTTTTTGCACTGTGCAAAAACAAAAAAAAAATTTTTTTGCACTGTGCAAAATGTCAAAATGATTTTTGCACCGTGCGAAAAAGGTGGCTTGATTTTTGCACTGTGCAAGCACAAAGAAATATTTTTCTTTTTGCACCGTGCGTAAGCAAAAAAAATTATTTTCTTTAGCGCACTGTGCAAAGTGTCAAAATGATTTTTGCACTGTGCAAAAAAAAAAAAAATAAAAAGATCAAACCGCAAAATTTTTTTATTTTTCTGACTTTCTCACCTTTTTGCGGTTGATTTCCCCATGGATTCGCATCGAATCTGGTGGCTTTTCCTCTGGCTATGCCCGTTTTTCCTTCGATTTGGCCACTCCATATCCGAATTCGAGGTGGATCCGGAGATTTTGTGCGGTGAGGGCTGTAAAGCAATCGAAAATGGGGATTTCAACGAGTTCTGGTGCGTTTATAAGGCCCGCAGCAGCAAGGATTTTGTGTATGCTGGGATTTGTAAGTCATTTTTGGTCAACTTTTGTGGAATAAAATACGAATTTTTTTATTTTTTTTTATTTTTTTTTATTTTTATATATTTTTTTTTTGATTTTTTTTTATTTTTTTATATTTTTTTTATTATTTTTTTTTTTATATTATTTTTTTTTTAATTTTTTTTATTTTTTTCAAATTTGCATATATTTTTTTTAATTTTTTTTATTTTTTAAAATTTTTATATATATTTTTTTATTTTTTTTATTTTTTATTTAATTTTTATATATTTTTTATTATTTCTTTTTTAATTTTTTTTTTTTTTGTTATTAGTTGTTATAAGTGTTTTAATTTTTTTTTAATTTTTTTAAATTTCTTTATTATTTTTTATATTTTTTTTTATTTCTTTTATTTTTTCAGGCGGTACCGGCAACCAAAGTGATATAAAAAAACTGGAAGTAAGGTGAGAAAGTGATAAAAACGAGATTTTTATTCGATTTTTTTTCAATTTTTTAGTGCTACCGTTCTGAAAACCCCTTCGGAAGAGAATTTCCCCGTCCGATTGATCCCATTCACCGAGCAATCAGCCTTCACCACTCATTTTGCATACGTCACTGAAGATAAGGCATGGTTTACTAGGGATCTGTAAGTTTTTTCAACTCGAAAATGAGCAAAATATTTTTTTGCACTGTGCAAAAATTCGAATTTTTTTGCACTGTGCAAAAATTCGAATTTTTTTGCACTGTGCGGTCGGAAGAAAAATAAAATTTGCGAGAGCACAGTGCGGAAAATTTTTTTTTGTTTTTCACACAGTGCAATGACAGAAAATAAAACTGTTTCCTGCACTGTGCAATCAAAAAAGTGAATTTTTTGCACAGTGCAAAAATTTGAAAAATTTCTTTTGCACTGTGCAATCGGAAAAATTATTTTGTTGCACCGTGCGATTCGGCAAAATACTTTTCTGCACAGTGCAGAAAAGTTTTGAAAAAAATTTTTGCACAGTGCAGTCGGAGGAAAAACAAAGCTCGCAATTGCACAGTGCGAAAAAAAATTATATACAGGGTGGTTCAGCTACGTTCGCGGATGTAAAATGCTTATAACTTTTTATAGGATTGTTCAATTTTTATGAGCAATACCTCATTTTATTCCTTAGTAGTTACCATTTTGTTTAAAAAAAAGATCATTAAAAATGATCAATCCTACGTCGGGTTATGACCCTTCAAAGTCAAACATGCTTTTTCACGTAAATTTTAAAAAAATTTACGGATTTTTTCGGATTTTCGGATTTTTTTGATTCCATCGTATTCTACGCAAAATTCTATGACTTTTGAAGCCCACTTACAATTTACAATTATCGACCGGTCGAAAGTTATAAGCGATTTTCGAGATTTTTCGGAAATTTTCAGATTGAAGCGTGAAAAGGCAAGTTTGACTTTGAAGGGTCATAACTCGACGTAGGATTGATCATTTTTAATGATCTTTTTTTTAAACAAAATGGTAACTACTAAGGAATAAAATGAGCTATTGCTAATGAAAATTGAACAATCCTATAAAAAGTTATAAGCATTTTACATCCGCGAACTTAGCTGAACCACCCTGTACATGAGGGAATAAAGTTTGCGATTTGCACAGTGCGAAAAAAAAATTTATTTGTTTGCACTGTGCAATCAAAAACATTTTGAAAAAACAATATTTTTTCGCACGGTGCGGTCGAAAAATTTTTTTTGCACGGTGCAGAAAAAAATTTTTTTTTGATTTTCTTGGTTTTGCACAGTGCTTACTAAAAAGTTTTTTATATGCACTGTGCAATCAAAAACATGATTTTTTGCAACGTGCATTTTGAAAAAAAAAACAATTTTTTTTCGCAACGTGCAGTCGAAAAAAAATTTTTCGCACTGTGCAGAATTAAAAAATTTTTTTTTGATTTTTTTTTCAATTTGCCTGTTTTTTTAGAATTTCCGAAGTTTGCAATCCCAACTCTTTCGACTTTCATCCAGGGGGCTTTGTGGCTGGAACCGACTTTCATCGCTCAAAAACCACTGGATATGATTCGGCGGATGTCTGCGGTTTTGTGCCACTAGCGATGTCTAGGTTTGAGAAGTTTAAATACGGGCAATGCTTTGCAAGTTTTTTTTAAATTTCAAAAAAAATAAAAAAAAAAAAATTTTTGAAATTAAAAATTTTTTTTTTTAAATTTTTTTTTAATTAAAAAAAAATTTTTTTTGAAATTGAAAAAAATTTTTTTGAAATTAGAAAAAATTTTTTTTTTATTTTTTTTTAATTAAAAAAAAATTTTTTTTGAAATTGAAAAAAATTTTTTTGAAATTGAAAAAAATTTTTTTTTATTTTTTAAATTTTTTTTTAGAAATTAAAAAAAAATTTTGAAATTAAAAAAAATTTTTTTTGAACCATTTTTTTTTCATTCTAGGAAGAAAAAATTTCTTGTGCCACCGACATGGACACACTCGAGTTGGTGTCAATCCCGGGCCGAGCTCAGAGCGTGTACACGAGAGCTGGGCTGTTTGTGTATTTGAAATGCACAAAAGCCATTTGCAGGACAATGATCCAGGATATTTTGGCAAAGTGAGTTTACTATAGTGATTACATAATTTTTTTTTATTTTTTTCTTTATTTGGTTGGCATAACCATCAATTTTTTCATTTTTCTTACCGCTGTTTGTCAAACTTTTCTTTGCACTGTGCAGTCTGAAAAAAGTTCTTTTTGCACAGTGCAATGGGAAAAAGAATTTTTTTCCGCCGCACTGTGCAGGAGAAAACTTATTTTTTTTGCACAGTGCGGTCCTGAAAAATCGATTTTTTTGCACAGTGCGGTCAGAAAAAACCTAATTCAGTGCAATTGGAAAGTATGTTTTTTCCGCCGCACTGTGCAGGAGAAAACTTATTTTTTTTGCACAGTGCGGTCGGAAAAACCATTTTTTGCACTGTGCAATCGAAAAGCAGTTTTTTTTCCGCCGCACTGTGCAGTAGAAAACCTTTTTTTCGCACAGTGCGGTCAGAAAAAAGTTTTTTTTGCACAGTGCAATCGAAAAACATGCTTTTTTGCTTCACGCTGCACTGTGCAGTCAAAAAAAGTTTCTTTTGCACCGCGCAATTGGAAAAAAGTTTTTTTTGCACAGTGCAGTCTGAAGAAATTTTTGTGATATTGCACAGTGCAATGGAAAAATACATTTTTTTCTTCTGCTGCACTGTACAATCGAAAATGAAATTTTTCTTTGCCCAGTGCGGTCAGAAAAAAGCTGTAGTTTTGCACAGTGCAATCAAAAAAACATTTTCCTTGCTTCCCGTTGCACTGTGCAGTCGGAAAATTTTCTTTTGATATTGCACTGTGCAGCCGGAAGAAGTTTCTTTTTTGCACTGTGCAATCGAAAAGTGTTGTTTTTTCCGCCGCACTGTGCAGGAGAAAACTTATTTTTTTTGCACAGTGCGGTCAGAAAAACGTTTTTTTTGCACAGTGCAATCGGAAAAAAAAATATTTCATTTTGTTGCACTGTGCGTTCCGCAAAAATAAAAAAAAAGAACTTTTGCACGGTGCTATAACTACATAGAAAACCCTCCATAAAAACATCATCTCCCCTTTTTTTCTTTTTGATTTTTATTTTCCAGCACAACCTATTACATCCCGACCGATTTGACGGTCTCCCAGGAGCCTCTGACCGATTTCCAAGAATTTTTGTACTTGGTTCCGCGCATTTATACGAATGAAACGATTTTTGAGGAGCAAAGGAGGTATAAGCATGCGATGATAACGACTTACGAAGCGTGCGACACCTACCTTTTGAAGCCGACGAATTCGACTGTTAAGGTGTCTCAATGCGGCACTTTGTAAGTTGAAAAATGAAAAAATATTGAAAAATTTAGTTTTTGAAATTGGGTAAATTTTTTTTATAAAGTTTGTAGAAAATGCCCTTAGGACATGAAATTTTATCTTTTAAAATTTTAGACCATAATTTTTTTAGTTTTTCAAAAATTACAGTTATTTTTTCATTAAAAAAATTTTATTTTCGAATTGAACAAAAAAATTGAAAAAGACATTGCCCTTAGGGTCTAAAATTTAATCAGTAAAAATTTTAGCCCAAAATTTTACATTTTCACAAAATTACAGTGATTTTTTTACCAAAAAATTTTATTTTTAAATTTCATAAAAATTGGGAAATAATGCCCTTAGGGCCTAAAATTTCATATTTTAAATGTTTAGATTATATGTATTTTTAAATTTTTGAAAAGTTGCATTAATTTTTTCTCTCAAAAAGTCTTATTTTCAAAATAAATAAAAATCGGTATAAATGCCCTCAGGGCCTAAAATTTCATCTATCAAAATTCCATATCAAAATTTTTAATTTTGACGAAATTACAGTAATTTTTTACAAAAAAAAATATTTTCATTTATCATTAAAAGTCGGTAGAAAAGCCCTGAGGGCCTAAAATTTCATCTATCAAAATTTCATACCAAAATTTTTTTATTTTCAGGAAATTACAGTAATTTTTACAAAAAAAAAATTATTTTCAAATTGCAAAAAAAAAAAACTTTTTAAAAGTTGCCCTTAGGGCTTAAAATTTCATTTACCAAAATTTCATACCAAAATTTTTTATTTTTACGAAATTACACTAAATTTTTAGAAAAAAAATTATTTTCATTTATCACTAAAAGTCGGTAGAAATGCCCTGAGGGCCTAAAATTTCATCTATCAAAATTTCATACCAAAATTTTTTATTTTCACGAAATTACAGTAATTTTTTACAAAAAAAAATTATTTTTATTTATCATTAAAAAAACTTTTTAAAAGTTGCCCTCAGGGCCTAAAATTTCATCTATCAAAATTTCATATCCAAATTTTTTATTTTCACCAAATTACAGTAATTTTTCCCCCCAAAAGCAGTAATTTTTCCCCCAAAAAGTTCCCATTTTCAGCTACATTCTCCTCTTTGTCTTGATCGCGATGGGAGTCCTCTCAGTTGCTCTCCCAGTCGCCGTGAAGCTCTTCTTCTGCATTCGAAATTGCCGTCGTCTTCGTGGCGCCTACAAGCAGCCTCAGGCCATTTCTCCGGTCACACCCAGGGTGTACCGCCCGGAACCGTCGAAGGTCCAAGTCGTGGAGGCCAAGGAGGGCGACAAGCAGAGCGACAAGCAATACGAATCGGTCCAAGGAACTGCCAGTGGGGTCACTGAGCAACAACAACAAGTCACTAATCTGGACAGTGTGCCGCTCGCAGGGCCAACTGGAACTGAGAAAAAGGAGGAGAAATGAGAAAATGAGCTGGTTCTGACGTTTTTTTGAGGAAATAAAGAGGTTTGAAGCGATTTTTTTGAAAGTTTTTTATTTTTTAGGTAGAAAATTTTTTATGCAAATTTTCGAAATTTATGAAAATTTTCGAAATTTATGCAAATTTTCGAAATTTATGCAAATTTCGCAAATTTATGCATAAATTTTCCAAATCTATGCAAATTTTTAAAAATCCATTCAAATCTATGCAATTTTTTTTAAAATCCGTTCAAAATCCATTGCACTGTGCAGTTGGAAAAAAATACTTTTTTGCACAGTGCGGTCAGAAAAAAAGCTTTGGTTTTGCACTGTGCATCCAAAAAATAAATTTGATTTCGCACTGTGCGCACAGAAAAAGGTTTTTTTGCACTGTGCAATTGGAAAAAATAAGATTTTTGCACAGTGCGGTCAGAAAAAAAACTTTTGTTTTGCACTGTGCAGTCAGAAAAAGGTTTTTTGCACTGTGCAGTTGGAAACAACTATTTTTTTTTGCACAGTGCGGTCTGAAAAAAAGCTTTGGTTTCGCACAGTGCAACGGAAAAATAAGTTTGATTTTGCACTGTGCGCACAGAAAAAGGTTTTTTTTGCACTCAGTAACAGGAAAAAATAAAATTTTTACTGTGAAGCCGGAACATTTTTTTTTCCGATTTTGCACTGTGCAGTCAGGAAAAGGTGTTTTTGCACTGTGCAGTTGGAAACAATAAGATTTTCGGTAAAACTCATGTCGGGAAAATAATAAAATTTTCCCGACAGGTTGATACGCAAGTAAAAATTTATGCGAATTTCCCAAATTTTTTTATTTCTTCAGAAAAACTTGAAATTTCGCAAATTTATGCAATTTCTTGTCATCCAATTTTCCCTCACTTTTGCATAAAAAACCCCAAAAATCCCAATTTTTTTTTTCTTTTTTCGCATTCTCACCTTTTCCTCTCCCAAATCCGGCCGCTCTCCATGAATATCCGTGTATTTCAAGCCTTCTTCTTGGCCCTATCTGCATTGTGCATCAATGGAAGTTATTCCGAAACCGAGACGAACCCCAAGGAGATGTGTGGAGAGGGCTGTCAGCCGCTGGAGAAGGGCGATTTCAGCGAGTTCTTCTGCATTTACCGAGACGAAGAGGAGACAGATCATGTCTATTATGGAATTTGTAAGCAGAATTTTGGGGGTTTGTGGATTTCGCGGAAAATTTTTGAGTGATTTTGAAAATATTCGGGAATTGTGGGGGCCTTCTCAGGATAATGATCAATTTTGAGGTTTTTGGATGCCTTTTGAGGTGTTTTGATAATTTTGGATCTTTCCAAATATATATAGTAGTTGAGGTTTACAGACCTTCAAGAAATTTTACCCTCCATAGATCACTTTTGAGATATTTGGATAACTTTTGACGTTTTTTGACTACTTGTGAGGACCTTGGATCACTTTGAAAGTATCTGGATAAGTTTTGACGTTTTTGGATTACTTTGAGGACATTGGATCACTTTTGAGATATTTGGATAACATTTGACGTTTTTGGATAACTTTGAGGACGTTGAATCACCTTTGTGATCTTTGGATCATTTTTGAAGTTTTTGGATGACTTTTGAGGACTTTGGATTACTTTTGAGATACTTGGATAACTTTTGACGTTTTTCAATTTCCTTTGAGGACTTTGGATCACTTTTGCAATTTTTGGATAACTGTTGACGTTTTTTAAGTTCTTTTGAGGACTTTAGATCACTTTGAAGGTATTTGTATAACTTTTGACGTTTTTGGATAACTTTGAGGACGTTGAATCACCTTTGTGGTCTCTGAATCATTTTGGGGTCTTTGGATCACTTTTGAGGTGTTTTGATCAATTTTGAAGTTTTTGCATCATATTTCTGGTCTCGCGATTATTTTGGGGCCTTTAGATCAAGTCTTTGGAAGACTTTTGAGATCTACGGATCGCTTTTGAGGTTTCGGGTCACTTTTTAAGCTTGTGTAGTTTTTGGATTACCTTTGAGGACTTTGGATAACTTTTGAAGTACTGGCTTTTTTTAAGACCTTTCGACTTTTCGTTTTTTTTGAAATCTTTTTGTAAATATTTTTTACAAAATTTATTTACAAAAAAAGTATTTTTAGGTCGAGATGGAGCCAAAGATTCGACCGAAATCAGCAAAATCAAAATAAAGTAAGTCATCCAACATCTTTTGAGATTTCTAATAATTTTTCAACTTTTAGAGACGACGATTTCCTTCTGAAAGAGCCGTTGAAGGAATCTGTCCCTTTACATCTGGTCCCACTCTACAGATCCGGTGAATTTCTCAACTATTTTGCGTATTTTTTACCAGAAGAGGCAGGAATATGCGATAAGTAAGTTAAAAAAATTTTTTTTTGACTGCACTGTGCAAAAAAAATCGAATTTCTTAGCATTCCAAAAATTTTTTTGCACGGTGCATACGAAAAATTTTTGCCACAGTGCAATCTAAAATTTTTTTCCCACAGTGCAGTCCAAAAAAAATTATGCACGGTGCATCCAAAAAAATTTTGCACAGTGCAATCCAAATTTTTTTTGCACAGTGCAATCCAAAAAATTTTTTGCACGGTGCAGTCTAAAAAATATCGCGGTTTTTTGCACTGTGCAAATTGAACCGCATAGTTTGCACAGTGCAAGTTGCCCATTTTGATTGCACAATACAAAAAAAAAACGTATTTCAATTACAAGTCCATCCGGAAAGCCGCCGGACTGAAATCGGCGACATGCACTGTGAGAAAAAACTCAGGGTGCGAGCGACAGCTCGAAAAAGCCTATTACACAGTGCAAAAAGCCAAAAATTGCACAGTGCAAAGTGAACTTTCGTTTTCGCAGAGTGCATGTCGCCGATTTCCGTCCGGCGACTTTCCGGAACGACTAGTATTTCCTGCGTTTTTCCAGGTTATCCATCGTAGACACACGCACGGCCAAGCCCCAGGACGGTGCTTTCGTCTCGGGAACTCGGATCTACGTGAACAACCAGACAGCGCTTACGCTCTCACATGACAATAAAACCCTCAAAAAAATGGAAAAATTTGATCTTGTTGAAGAAGAGAGAGTCTCGATTTGCTTTGTAAGTCTGTGATTTGCAGTGTGCGGGGATTACCAAGTCAATTTTGTATAGCAAACAATTTGAACCGCGCTGTGCAAAAAATTTTTGTGATTGCACCGTGCAGCGGTTTCCACTGTTATTTTTTGTTGCACTGTGCAAAATCCGCGACGTTTGTTGGACTGCACTGTGCAAAGCAATATGTATCTGTAGGCACTGTGCAAAACGGCGACGTTCAGTTTTGGCCCGCACTGTGCAAAAATTTGTTTTGTATGCACTGTGCGGCGAATTCCAAAATTTTATTTTTTGCACTGTGCAAAATCTACGACGTTTATTTTTGGCCCGCACTGTGCGAAAATGATTTTTCTTTGTCTGCACTGTGCGAAGAATTATAAATATTTTCAGACCCCAGGAACCACCTGTACCACGGATATCGACACCTTGGAGATTGTGGAGCTGGGCAAGGATGTAAAGAGTGTTTATCTCCGGAATGACATTTTTGTATACGCTGAATGCTCCAAGGTCATCTGCAGCTATATGCTTCATGATTTTCTAGCAAAGTAAGTTTGGGAAAAACGTTTTTTTTTTATTTTGCGAATTGTTTCAGCACAACCTACTACATTCCGCAGGATTTGAAGGTATCTTCGGAAGAATTGGACGATTTTGGCGGATTTTTATACCTGGTCCCAAAAATCGGATTTGATGACCGATTTTTTGATGATGAACGGAGATTCAAATACTCCAATATCCCGGAGGTCTCCGTGTGCGAAGATAGCATTTTTGGCCCTGAATTTACGGCGGTAAAACTCAAGAAATGCTATTTGTTGTAAGTCAATTTTTTTTAAATTTTTTGCACAGTGCAGAAAAATTCGAGAAAAATTTTGCAATTTTCTTCTTTGCACAGTGCAAAAAGCAAAAAAAAGAAATTCTTTGCACTGTGCAAAAATTTCTCAGAATTTCTTTTGCACTGTGCAATGAATTTATTTTTTTCATTTTGCACTGTGCAGTGAGAAAAATTTGTTTTCGCCGCACCGTGCATAAAACAAAAAAAAGGAATTCTTTGCACTGTGCAAAAATTTCTCAGAATTTCTTTTGCACTGTGCAATGAATTTATTTTTTTTTATTTTGCACTGTGCAGTGAGAAAATTTTGTTTTCGCCGCACAGTGCGAAAAGTTTCTGAAAATTCTTTTGCACAGTGCAGTCAAAAAAATCCCAAGAAATCTTGCACAGTGCAGTGAAAAAAATTTTCATCAATGCACAGTGCAAAAAATTGGGTTTTCCCGACTGCACAGTGCAAAAAAATTAGTATTTTCCGACTGCACAGTGCAAAAAAATGGGTTTTCCAGACTGCACAGTGCAAAAAATTGACTTTTCCCGATCGCACAGTGCAAAAAAATTGACTTTTCCCGACTGCACAGTGCAAAAAATTGATCTTTCTCGACTGCACAGTGCAAAAAAATTGGTTTTCCGGACTGCACAGTGCAAAAAAATTGGTTTTTCCCGACTGCACAGTGCAAAAAATTGGTTTTTCCCGACTGCACAGTGCAAAAAATTGACTTTTCCCGACTGCACAGTGCAAAAAAATTGACTTTTCCCGACTGCACAGTGCAAAAAATTGATCTTTCTCGACTGCACAGTGCAAAAAAAATTGGTTTTCCGGACTGCACAGTGCAAAAAAATTGGTTTTTCCCGACTGCACAGTGCAAAAAATTGGTTTTTCCCGACTGCACAGTGCAAAAAATTGACTTTTCCCGACTGCACAGTGCAAAAAAATTAGTTTTTTCCGACTGCACAGTGCATAAAAAAATGACTTTTCCCGATCGCACAGTGCAAAAAAATTTTTTTTTTCAGTGTGCGTATCCAAAAAAAGTCTACACAAAAATGATTTTCAGACCAATTCTGATCGGAATTTCGGCCGTTCTCGGCTTCCTTCTACTTGTTTTGATCCTCATCAGCATCATAATAATTGTCAGAAATCGGCGAAAACTGCAGAAATCCAATCGCTCCATCAGGACTGTGGACAGTCTGGGGCTGAGTTTGAGGGAGAAAAAGAAGAGGAAAGCGATGGAAAATGACAATAAAGAGACGAATACGGCACCTATTGACAATGTCGGTGATGAAAATGGGCCTCAAGAAAGTGGTGTGGAGAGCAATTTGGGCAGTCAAAGAGCACCCACACCAAGGCGAAGTTGAATTTTTTGGCGATTTTTTTTATTTTTTGAGTGAAAAATAAATATTTTTTAAAGAAAAAATGAATTTTTTATATTGTCGTAGATATAAAAAAAAAAAAAAAAAAAAAAAAAAAAAAAAAAAATTGAATTTTTAACCGCGATAAAAGGGGAATTGCCTTAGTATATCTTGTAGGAAATGCCATGGGCTTCAAAATGAGATATTTTCGATGATTCTACCTTCAATATTACTTTAGATACATCAATTTTTTCAAAAAATCGAAAATTTCAAAATTCAAATTTTTAAAATTTTTATATCAAAATCAAAATAATACATCTGGAAAACAATTCCAGAGGCTACAAAACAAGATATAAACTGGTTTTCTACCTTCAATATTGACTTAGATACATCCAATTTTCAAAAAATCCCAAAAAATTAGTAAAAATTTATGGGTAAAATAAATAGACGATAATGCTGATGACTAAATACTCGTAGTTTACAATCACAAGATATTTTGACTAAAAAAAACAAAAATTTATAAAAAATTTTGTTAAAAAAATAAAATTTTTCGACTAAATTTGTTAGGAAAAGTGGAATGTTCAGTTCAAAAGTGAAGATTCTTGTTCGCCGAGTTTGATGTTAAGTGAATTGGCCTAAAAATTATTTTATTATACAGTAAAAAGTACAAATTTAACTTACCTTTTCTATAAACACCTCTTTTGCCTTGTTATATACACCATCAACGTCTGGATTTCGTCGCAAAAGTTGGGGAATTCTGAAAAAATCGGACGTTAAATTGGCAAGTGTCAAAAAAAATTTCGCACAGTGCAAAAGATTAACAAGAAAAACTTCCGAATGCACAGTGCACTTTTAATTTTTTATTGCACAGTGCACAAAAATCAAAAAATTGCATCGTGCAAAAAAACTTGCGACAAAAAAACCCACCTGCACAGTGCAAAAAAAAATAATTTTCAAGTTGCACAGTGCAAAGAAATTTCTTTTGAAACGCACTGTGCAAGAAAACTTGCGACAAAAAATTTACCCGCACAGTACAAAGAAAGAACATTTTGAGTTGCACCGTGCAAAAAACTTGCGACAAAAACTCCATCCGCACAGTGCAAAAAAACTCTTTTGAACTGCACAGTGCATACACACCTGCGACAAAAACTCCATCCGCACGGTGCAAAAAACTCTTTTGAACTGCACTGTGCAAAAAGCTTGCGACAAAAAATTCAACCGCACGGTGCACAGATGGATGTTTTCGACTGCACAGTGCGAAGAAAACTTTTTTTACTGCACAGTGCAGAAAACTTGCGACAAAAACTCCATCCGCGCAGTGCCAAAAAAATACTTTCTACTAGTCCTTCCGTAAAGTCGCTGGAATGATTTCGGCGACGCGCACTGTGCAAGAAAACTCAGGGTGCGAGCGACGTCCCAAAAAAGCTCATTGCACTGTGCAAAAAGCCAAAAATTGCACAGTGCAAAGTGAACTTTCGGTTTCGCGGGGTGCATGTCGCCGAAAACATTCCAGCGACTTTACGGACGGACTACTAGTCGGGACAAAAAGTCCTGATAATTTTGCACCGTGCGGATTTTGCGCGGTTTCTGTCGCACTCTGAAAAAACGATTTGTCGCTCCGAAAAATGGGGAATCGCGCGCGACGTAAGGCAAAAACAAACAAAAATGCACTGTGCAAATGCACTTTTCGGGTCAAATGCACCGTGCAAAACACTTTTTTCGCGATTTTCGCAGCGACAACCCAAAACGTTCAAATCCGCACGGTGCAAAATTATCAGGACTTTTTGTCCCGACTAGTAGTAGTTGCACAGTGCGAAGAAAGATCCTTTGAAACGCACTGTGCAAAAAGCTTGCGACAAAAACTCCATCCGCACAGTGCAAAAAAACCCTTTTGAACTTCACTGTGCAAAAACCTTGCGACAAACAATCAGTCTGCACAGTGCAAAAAAACTTGCGACAGAGGTTCAGACCGCACAGTGCAAAAAATTCAAAAATCTTGCACCGTGCAGACACTCCAATCTTCCAAAAATAAAAAATCAGTGCCCCAAAACTTACAGTAGTCTCGCTTCTTTCGAAAATGCGACCGAAACCATAATCAAAGCCTTCAAATGCCTCGAAATCCTGCGACTTTTTACGTTTTGGACCTTTTCCAAGAGGAAAAATCGCACAAAATCGAGCGTTTCTTTCGGTTTTTCCTTTGCCGACCGTTGTAGAGCGTAATGTAGGAGATGGTAAAGGCATCTATCGTAGTCTCCGATGGTCTCTGACTTCTCATCCATCGAAATTAGGGCAAAAATGGTGTCGAAAAGTTCGTTCCGAGTGAAGAAAATGAGGAAAAATTCGGCGATGGGCGGTAAAAACCGTTGGATTTCCGACTTCAACGTGTAATATGAGAACCTGAAATGCAAATATTGTCTTCACTACATATTTAGCTACAAAATCACACCATGACAGATGTTTTCAGACCGATTTTTTGTCGGAAAAATTTCAAATTTCTTACAAATTCAATATTTTTTGGAACTCTTGTCGAAATTGGTCCATTTCTTGTTGAGAAAACCTCCGGTTGTCCTGGATTGAGCGATAAACACATGTGAAATATACTGATAATGCCATTGATAAGTGATTTGGACGGAGTTGATAGGTATCAAAGAGTTCTGAAAGGAAAAATCAAATTTTTGAGCGGAAAATGAGGATGTTTGGAAAATTTGATATATCTACAGTAATATAAAAGATCAGAAAATTTACTATGCCTCATTTTGAAGCTAAAGGCTTCTATTACAAAGTCTATAATTCAATTTCCCAAAATCTCCCATAAAAAATCTCAAAAAAATTAAACCAAAATTTTCATCAAAAAATCTCCGGATTTTGAAAAATTTGACGTATTTAAGGTAATATAAAAGATCAGAAAATCAACTATACCTCATTTTGAAACTAATGGCTTCTATTACAACCCCTATTATTCATTTTCCCAACATTTCCGCCAAAAAATCTCATAAAATTAAAAAAAAAATTCATCAAAAAATCACCGGATTTTTGAAAAATTTGACGTATTTAAGGTAATATAAAAGATCAGAAAATCAACTATACCTCATTTTGAAACTAATGGCTTCTATTACAACCCCTATTATTCATTTTCCCAACATTTCCGCCAAAAAATCTCATAAAATTAAAAAAAAAATTCATCAAAAAATCACCGGATTTTTGAAAAATTTGACGTATTTAAGGTAATATAAAAGATCAGAAAATTTACTATGCCTCATTTTGAAGCTAAAGGCTTCTATTACAAAGTCTATAATTCAATTTCCCAAAATCTCCCATAAAAAATCTCAAAAAAATTAAACCAAAATTTTCATCAAAAAATCTCCGGATTTTGAAAAATTTGACGTATTTAAGGTAATATAAAAGACCAGAAAATTTATTATACCTCATTTTGAAGCTAATGGCTTCTACTACAACCCCTATTATTCATTTTCCCAACATTTCCGCCAAAAAATCTCATAAAATTAAAAAAAAAATTCATCAAAAAATCACCGGATTTTTGAAAAATTTGACGTATTTAAGGTAATATAAAAGATCAGAAAATCAACTATACCTCATTTTGAAACTAATGGCTTCTATTACAACCCCTATTATTCAATTTCCCAAAATTTCCCCCAAAAAATCTCGAAAAAATAAAACCAAAATTTTCATCAAAAAATCTCCGGATTTTTGAAAAATTTGACGTATTTAAGTTAATATCAAACGCTGAATCCTTCAAAACCCCTTATATTAGAGCTAAACACATCTATTACACTCTCAACCACCTAATTTTCCCCTATCAATATCCACAACTTACCAACAGCGCAATCTCGGAAGGCCTCTGTGAAAGATGCGCTATGACAAACTAATCCCTGAATGCCATTCGAAACGATATTCTTTTGCCATGTTGGGACTCTGGGGTCCATAAGGACTGTCTTGGTGAGCTAAATTCAAATTTATAGTCAAAAAAAATTTTTGGGGTACCTTCAAAAATCGCTGATCAAATTCGGAATCGCCTCGGCCGAATTGTTCAAAAACGCGGAAGATCAGGGTCCACAAGAGTTTGTGATGTTCCATGGTCTCTAATTCACTGAAAAAACCATGCTTGCGGGTAATTTTTTATTAAAAAAAATTTCGATTTTTCAAAAAAAAAAAATTTTTTTTTTTTGATTTTTCATTAAAAAATTAACGTTACAGTACCCACAAAGCTCCTCCCAAAATTTTATAAAAAAATCAACAGCCTCAGGGCATTTTAAACTCCAATTTTTTCAAAATTCCTCAACTTTTCCAAAAAAAAAAAAATCAAAAAAATTTTAAAAAAATTTAAGTTACAGTAACCCACAAAACTCCTCACAAAATTTTATAAAAAATCAACAACCTCAGGGCATTTTCAACCTCAATTTTTCCAAAAATCCCTCATTTTTTTCAAAAAACCCCCAAAAAATCAAAAAATCTCCAAAAAAGTTACAGTAATCCCTAAAACTAACACCCCAAAACATCGCCCATCCCTTCTACAGACCCTGTAGCCTCTTTGCAAGACCATTTCACTTACTCTTCATGGATCAAATCATAGTTGGAATGGATTTTTTCCAACTTCCCGAGTACTTTTTCCCCAACCCCTTTTAATTGTTGTTGGAATTCGTCGACAATGACCGACTGTAGTAAATACAGGAGTCCATGAAGTGTGCAGTCCAGGACGAATGTGTCCTCTTCTTCTTGGGCGTCCGCGATCATGCTATCGACGATTTTTCGGGCTTCGTTTGGGTCTGAGTCGAGTCCTGAAAACCGTCTTGATTCAGTTGAAATCCGGGTATTTTAAAAAACAAAAATTAGATATAAATGAGCTAAAATCCTTTAGGATTCGTTCTAAACTCACTTTCCAAGTCGACAATGGCGGCAAATTTCAATAAACAATAATTTAGGAGACCTTGTGCTGGATGATTTTGAAGATGAAAACTAACAAAAACCTCCTTCAAATACCCGTAAACTCTCACATAGAGTTGGATATCATCAAACATGTCCGAGAGGATGGCAATCTGCAACAATTTCATCAAAAATGGGCAAAAAAATAAAATTTTTTATCAGATGTCTAGTACAATATAAAAAATCGCCACAACTCCAAAATCCGCTTACACTTTTAATGCTGGCCGCCAGTAGGGGGAGTGGTAAGGTCTTGTAGCCATTTTCGAACCAATGAAAAAAGTTTTCAAACAGCGATTTCAGCGAGCTGACCGTATCCAAGTCCGTGGACGCCTGGATTAGGTAATCGCTTACACTTTTGGGCATTCCGCTCGGTTTTTTGTTGGTTGGTTCGAGTTCGCCGGTGATGCTCCACAAATAGAAGACCGAGGTCTGTCCCAGAGCGTATTTTTGGCCGTCCGCGGCGAGTTTTTCCAAGTTTGCGGAGAAGATTTGCGCGGGATTGAAGGAATTTTCGACCTGAGTCCGAGAAATGGCGGCTTTTCGACCATTTCTGAAATTTTGAAAATGTGAAAAGTTAGTGAGAAGTGTAAAAGAAGCCATGAAAGGGCAAATGATCAACTTTTATCCAAACAAAAATGTCAATTTTTGAGTAAATTTTCATCGCACAGTGCGATATTATACTTGGTCATGAAAACGTCTATATCTTGGCCAAATCCGCGAGTTATTGTCTTAAACTCTCAGCATACTTTTTACATGGCCTAAGGGCACTGTAAAAATGCTTTGGTCGAAATTGAGAAGAAATTTTTTGAAACAGCGCAATATTGTACTTGATCATCAAATCTCTTATATCTTGGGTGAATGTCAACATTTAATCCTCAAACTTTCAGAAGTCGCTCTAAATGCCCTCAAGGCGCTATGAGTAAATTTTGAACCAAATCCAGGAGCTATTTTTTCTTCAAGGTCCAATATTACACTAGATGACAAAACCTTCAATATCTCAAAAAATACTTGAAGCAGAGCCATCAAACTTTCAACAATCAATATCTAGGCTCTAAAAACGCATTAGACATTTTTATTTTTTTATTTCACCGCCTTCTCTCCGCACAGTGCAATCCCAAAATTTCCTCATCTTCCCAAAAATCATTATTTTCCCCAAATTTTTCTCAAAAAATCAGCAAATCTCAGCTTACAATGAGTTCAAAAACAAGTAAGAATCCCTGGTCTGTCTTGTCTTGATCATGAATCGGCTATTTACGGTGTCTCCGGGCGTTGGGTATAGCAGGGACATGGTCAGCATCCCCGTGAGCGCTTCCACGGCCAGAGTGCTGGCCGAAAGTTGGTCGACAATTTGCTGAAAAAGGCAGATTTAACAATGAAACACATCGTAAGTGCAATTTTTGCAAATTTTTTTTCAAAAATCAAAAAAAATAAAAATAAAAATTTTTCGCACCGTGCAGTCAAAAAATTTTTTGATTGCACAGTGCAAAGAAAAAAAAAACAAATTTTGTTGGATTGCACAGTGCAAAAAATCTGCGACAAAAAGTTTGGTTGCACAGTGCGAAATGAAAGGAATTTTCGCACTGTGCAGTCAAATTTGTTTTTGCACAGTGCAAAAAAAATGAGTGACAAAAAGTTTGGTTGCACAGTGCAAAGTGAAAAGAAATGTTCGCACTGTGCAGCAAAACTTTTTTCCATGGTGCAAAAAAATGAGCGACAAAAAGTTTGGTTGCACAGCGCAAAATGAAAATAAATGTTCGCACCGTGCAATGAAACTGTTTTCCACCGCACAGTGCAAAAAATTTGAGACAAAAAGTTTGGTTGCACAGTGCAAAATGAAAGAAATGTTCAGCACTGTGCAGTCTTGTTTTTGCACAGTGCAAAAAATGAGCGACAAAAAGTTTGGTTGGTTGCACAGTGCAAAGTGAAAAGAAATGATCGCACTGTGCAGTCAAATTTGTTTTTGCACAGTGCAAAAAAAATGAGCGACAAAAAGTTTGGTTGCACAGTGCAAAATGAAAGAAATGTTCAGCACTGTGCAGTCTTGTTTTTGCACAGTGCAAAAAATGAGCGACAAAAAGTTTGGTTGGTTGCACAGTGCAAATAAAAATAAATTTCGCACAGTGCAGTCGAACTTTTTTGCACGGTGCAAAAAAATTTGCGACAAAAAGTTTGGTTGCACAGTGCAAAATGAAAACAATGTTCGCACTGCGCAGTCAAATTTGTTTTTGCACAGTGCAAAAAAATGAGCGACAAAAAGTTTGGTTGGTTGCACAGTGCAAAGTGAAAAGAAATGTTCGCACTGTGCAGTCAAATTTGTTTTTGCACAGTGCAAAAAAAATGAGCGACAAAAAGTTTGGTTGGTTGCACAGTGCAAAGTGAAAAGAAATGTTCGCACTGTGCAGTCAAATTTGTTTTTGCACAGTGCAAAAAAAATGAGTGACAAAAAGTTTGGTTGCACAGTGCAAAGTGAAAAGAAATGTTCGCACTGTGCAGCAAAACTTTTTTCCATGGTGCAAAAAAATGAGCGACAAAAAGTTTGGTTGCACAGCGCAAAATGAAAATAAATGTTCGCACCGTGCAATGAAACTGTTTTCCACCGCACAGTGCAAAAAATTTGAGACAAAAAGTTTGGTTGCGCAGTGCAAAATGAAAGAAATGTTCAGCACTGTGCAGTCTTGTTTTTGCACAGTGCAAAAAATGAGCGACAAAAAGTTTGGTTGGTTGCACAGTGCAAAGTGAAAAGAAATGATCGCACTGTGCAGTCAAATTTGTTTTTGCACAGTGCAAAAAAAATGAGCGACAAAAAGTTTGGTTGCACAGTGCAAAATGAAAGAAATGTTCAGCACTGTGCAGTCTTGTTTTTGCACAGTGCAAAAAATGAGCGACAAAAAGTTTGGTTGGTTGCACAGTGCAAATAAAAATAAATTTCGCACAGTGCAGTCGAACTTTTTTGCACGGTGCAAAAAAATTTGCGACAAAAAGTTTGGTTGCACAGTGCAAAATGAAAACAATGTTCGCACTGCGCAGTCAAATTTGTTTTTGCACAGTGCAAAAAAATGAGCGACAAAAAGTTTGGTTGGTTGCACAGTGCAAAGTGAAAAGAAATGTTCGCACTGTGCAGTCAAATTTGTTTTTGCACAGTGCAAAAAAAATGAGCGACAAAAAGTTTGGTTGGTTGCACAGTGCGAAACGAAAGGAATGTTCGCACCGTGCAGTCCAATTTGTTTTTGCACGGTGCAAAAAATTTGCGACAAAAATTTTGGTTGCACAGTGCGAAATGAAAGGAATGTTCGCACTGTGCAGTCAACTTTGTTTTTGCACGGTGCAAAAAAATGAGCGACAAAAAGTTTGGTTGCACAGTGCAAAATGAAAACATTGTTCCCACGGTGCAATGAAACTGTTTTCCGCACAGTGCAAAAAAAGAGCGACAAAAAGTTTGGTTGGTTGCACAGTGCAAATAAAAATAAATTTCGCACAGTGCAGTCGAACTTTTTTTACTTTTTTGCACAGTGCAAAAAAATGAGCGATAAAAAGTTTGGTTGCACAGTGCGAAATGAAAGGAATGTTCGCACTGTGCAGCAAAACTTTTTTTGCACCGTGCAATGAAGCTGTTTTCCACCGCACAGTGCAAAAAAAGAGCGACAAAAAGTTTGGTTGGTTGCACAGTGCAAATAAAAATAACTTTCGCACAGTGCAGTCGAACTTTTTTTACTTTTTTGCACGGTGCAAAACAAAATTTTTTTTTCGCATCAAAAAATATTTCCGATTGCACGGTGCAAAGGAAAAATTCGACTGCACAGTGCAATCTTCATAAAAAAATTTCGCACAGTGCGAAAAAATGCAAAATTTTTTTCGGAAAAAAAAATTTTTTTTTTGGTATTTCCATCCATTTTCAATAAATTTTCACCAATTTTTCATCAAAAAAATATAATTTTACCTGCACATCTTCTCCTTGGAGTTCATTTCCGATCGGAGTTGAGCATAAAACCCCAAAAAGTGACATCCAAATCTCCTCAAATTGGGATTTTTTGGTCCATCCGAGCAAGAAAATGCGTTGCAAAAAGTCCGAGAGGATTTCAAAGTCGCTGAGGAGGTGAATTGAGATCATTGGGATAGAAATTTTGTCTTTTTGGGGTTCAATTTGAAGGGAAACTCCTCGGACCAGCGCTTTTTGTGGGAAAAGGAACATTTTGGAGAACACATTGAGCCTTAGAATGGCTGAAAAAGGATTTTTTAGAGGGTTTTTACCTAAAACAATATAAAAAATTTCAAAATCAAAAAAAATTTTTTTAGTTTTTTGTCAAATTTGTATTAAAGCAATATAAAATACGACTGAAAATTCCGTAAAAAACAAACTGAAACTTTCTGGGAGCTTTTTAGATTCAAAAAATCATCAATTTTTACCTAAAGTAATATAAAATCTTCTCGCAAATCAAAAATTTCTTCCATTTTTACCTAAAACAATATAAATCCAACCTCAAACTGTCTTAAAATGCCTCTCTCAACCTTCAAAAATCCAAACAATCATCAATTTTCACCTAAAGTAATATAAAATTTTCTCGCAAAATAAAAATTTCTTCCATTTTTACCTAAAAAAATATAAATCCAACCTCAAAATGTCTTAAAACACCCCTCTCAACCTTCAAAAATCAAAAAAATCATCAATTTTCACCTAAAGTAATCTAAAATTTTCTCGCAAATCAAAATTTTCTTCCATTTTTATCTAAAACAATATAAATCCAACCTCAAAATGTCTTAAAACACCCCTCTCAACCTTCAAAAATCAAAAAAATCATCAATTTTCACCTAAAGTAATCTAAAATTTTCTCGCAAATCAAAATTTTCTTCCATTTTTATCTAAAACAATATAAATCCAACCTCAAAATGTCTTAAAACCCCCCTCTCAACCTTCAAAAATCCAAAAAATCATCAATTTTTACCTAAAGTAATATAAGAATTTCTCAAAACTCACATAAAATTGCCTTTTTGACCGCCTCAAAGTGCTGATTCGGCATTCCATTCAATTTTTTCATCTGTAAAATATGTGCGGCCTTCTGGGAATAAAGAAATGCCTCCAAAATTTCGTCATTTTCATCCTCTCCACTGATGACCAGCTTCCAATTTTTATCGATTTTGAGTCGATCCGTTTTTGGGATCTGCCTTTCCAGCTGGTCAATGGTCATGGAAAAGAAATTCGAAAAATTTTCGATGCAAAATTGGTCATTGTTGTCGTAGGCCGTCAAGTCCGAGCGTTTTATGAGCTCCGTGAGGGCGGTGTAGAAGTCGGCTTGAAGAGTGAGGCCAGAAAGATCGGATTCGATCTGAAAAAATTGCTTTGATTTGCTTTTTTGGGGTAACAAACTTTTGGAAATACTTTTCGCACCGTGCAGTCAAAACTTTTTTGGATTGCACAGTGCAGAAAATTAGCGACAAAAAGTTCGATTGCACAGTGCAAAACAAAAAGAATTTTCGCACACTGTGCAGTCAAGTCGAACTTTTTTGGGATTGCACACCAAAAAATTAGCGACAAAAAGTTCGTTTGCACAGGGCAAAACAAAAAGAATTTTCGCACTGTGCAGTCAAGCCGAACTTTTTGGGATTGCACAGTGCAAAAAATTAGCGACAAAAAAGTTCGATTGCACAGTGCGAAACAAAAAGAATTTTCGCACTGTGCAGTCACAACTTTCTTGGATCGCACAGTGCAAAATGAAAAGAATTTTCGCACTGTGCAGTCAAAAGTTTTTTGGATCGCACAGTGCAAAAAACTTGCGACAAAAAGTTGGATTGCACAGTGCAAAAAATTAGCGACACAAAATTTGACTGCACAGTGCAAAATGAAAACAGTTTTCGCACTGTGCAGTCAAGTCAAAATTTTTTTGATTGCACAGTGCAAAAAATTAGCGACAAAAATTTTGGTTGCACTGTGCAAAATGAAAACAATTTTCGCACTGTTTCATAACAATTTCGAAATTTAGACAAATATGTCGTGACATAATTCGTTTCTATTAGGTTGGGACGAAAGTTTTCCCCTTTTTCTTGTTTTTTTCCAAACAAATTTATTTTGACAGTTGTAACGGGAAACCAAACATAACATCCACCGTCGGTATCCACTACGTATTGCCAACGTACCGACAAGGATTCAATTGGCGAGCTTAAAAACTGGGGTATTTATAATAAAAAATGTCAGAAAGACCTGTTTTGAGGTCCCCCAAACAATCGAACCGCACATCTCCCAAACGGTAGCTTAGCAATCTGATCAAATGGTAATCAGAAGGTGCCAAGGCTGGGGTGTAGTGTGGGTAGGGCAGAAAAGTCCATGCATTCTCCCTGAATTTTTTGCGCGCGATTTTTGCAATGTGGTAGCAGGCGTTGTCGTGAAGGAGGAACATTTGTTCCACTTTTATCTAGCATTTTCGGCGACGAGGTCCAACTGGCGATAATAATGTTATATAGTGACAGTTTTACCATCAGGGAGCCATTCCTAATAAATACCTCCCATACAGGTCCACCAATCGCAGAACATGACCTTTTTTGGGGGAATTTTGGTTTTGGGGTTGGTTCACCGTGATGGTCGGGTTCAAGCTAATGAAGCTTGCGGGTATGGTTTATATACATCACCCATTTCTGGTTCCCTGTAATGATATTGGTCAGCCAAGTCAGCCTGCGGCGGTACGACAAAAATTAGGAGCAACAGTATAAGCCGTGACTCCGAAAGTTCGTGCGGAACAAATTAACCACACTTCCACACTTTTCCCAACCGATGTAGATGGTCCATAATGGTAGTATGGGAGAACCCAAAGAGCTCTCCAAGTTCACGTAATGGCAATTTGGGATAGCTCACGATTAAGCCTTTTAGGGCGTCATCATCTATCTCAGATGGCCGCCAGAACTTGGTCGTCTAACTCCTTTTTTTGAACCTCTGGAACCAATACTTGGCCACAAAATAAAAGAGGACGTCCTTGCCTATAACATCCTAGACTTCGTTTATATCTTCCATGGGCTTTGGTATTCTGCGATAGTTTTAAAATTTGACGCATCGAAACAGCAACTTTGGGACGGAAATTTTTCCACGTTTGGAGAGCGCTATGGGGACAAGTTACATATCATTCTATATGCTATCAAGTCACCCTTACATAGTCACATGATAGAACTTTCCAGGAAGTTCCACAACTTCCATAACTTTTCCCGAAAATTAAGGGGAAAACTTTCGTCCCAACCTAATAGAATGCGATAGATTTGTTTCGCAATAATTTCTGCGTTAGAAAAAAGCGAAGAGAGTTATTTTCGCGTTTCGCGAAAAGAAGAGAAAAATGAAGAGACTTTTTAGTAAACAATTGCGAGAGAAATGGAGAGTAAAGAACGCTCACAAATTTTTCCCTTTACAAACAAGAGGAAAGATAAAAATAATATAGTTGCAAAAACTTTTTACAATTCTTTGCGAGTCGAGTCGCAACAGCATTGGAACTTTTGTCTTCCCTTCTCACTTACCATATCAATAACAAATCCGTTGTTCAAAATCTCATCAAAATTTTGAATCCGAATTCGCTCAAATTCCTCAAATTCACTGGGTATCCGACTGATTCCATTCAGGACTGACTGGACATCTCTTGAATTCACATTGTTCTTCGATATCCAATTGAGCAATTCCTCCGCAAATTTCATCAAATTTGAGGAGTCTCTCATTTTGTCGATTCGGTAATTTTCGATGGTTATTTTGCGGAGTTCGTCGTTCAGATATTCGAATATTTTGGTGAGAAAAGTTGGTCGGAAAATGTTGGACTGCAAAAAAAAAAAATTTGGAAAAATAAAAAATCAAGGTCTGAGCGAGATTTTTTTTGATTTTTTTTCACTGCACAGTGCAGTTTTTTCAAATTTTTGGACCGCACTGTGCAATAAAAAAAAATTGTTTTTGCTCGAAAATGGTTCCAAATTTGGAGAAAAGTTGTTCGGAAAATGTCGGACTGCAAAAAAATTCGAAAAAATAAAAAATCACGATTTTTTTCGATTTTTTTTTCGATTTTCGCACTGCACAGCGCAGTTTTTTTAAATTTTCGGACTGCAAAAAAAAATTTTTGGAAAAATAAAAAAATCAAAATCTGTGCGACATTTTTTTTGATTTTTTTCACTGCACAGTGCAGTTTTTTCAAATTTTCGGAACGCACTGTGCAATAAAAAATTAAAAAAAATTTTTTTTTGCTGCAAAACGAAACTTGGAAAAATAAAAAATCAAAATCTGACCGACATTTTTTTTGATTTTTTTCACTGCACAGTGCAGTTTTTTCAAATTTTCGGACCACACTGTGCAATAAAAAAGAATAAAAAAAATTTTTTTTTGCTCCAAAACGCTTCAAATTTGCTCAAAACAACCTACAATTGCCTCAATAACTGCAATTCTTTCCTCTTTTTCCATTTGTAAGGCCATTTGAGCCAAGCAATCTAGGTCATCTTCCACCGTGCTACTTTTTTGATTGATTCCTTCGATTAAATTCATGTGTAAACCCGGCTCAGAGGTCAATTCGAGTCTCTTTTCACTACTATCACTTCGAATTTCCTCTTTTTCGGCCAATAAATTCAGTCCATATTCCAATCCAAGCTAAAAAATCTCAAAATTAGACAAAAAACACAAAAAAAAGCAAAAAAACATGTAAAAACTCACAATCGGGTTGCTCCTCAAATATTCTTCGCATTTTTGAACAATTTTTTCGATATTCTGCTTGCTAAATCGCTCTTTTACAGACGAAATCTGCTTTTCCGTAAGCATTTTCACAAATCGAACGGTTGTTTCCGGAGGCAATGAAAGGAGAAAGTCTTCAAATTCTGGAGAGGCAGAGGCCCTTCGATCGGTCGCTTTTTGGATCAATAATAATGTGGATAATTGCTTCGCATTGCTTAAAAAATTTTTAAATAAAAATTTCGCACAGTGCGGAAAAATAAATTTTTTTGCACAGTGCAGTCAAAAATTGAAATAAAATTTTGCACGGTGCAGTCAAAAATTGAAATAAAATTTCGCACAGTGCAGTCAAAAACTGAAATAAAATTTTGCACGGTGCAGTCAAAAATTGAAATAAAAATTTCGCACAGTGCGGACAAATAAATTTTTTTTGCACAGTGCGATAAAAAACCAAACATAAATAAATTTGCTTTTGCACAGTGCAATCCAAAAAAAATTTTTTTTGCACAGTGCGGCCGGAAAGCAAACTTCTATTGCACTGTGCAGTTAAGAAACATTTTTTGCACTGTGCAGTCAAACCAAAATAAAATAAAACCTTGCACAGTGCGATGAAACCCAGAATAAATTTTTTGCACAGTGCAGTCAAAAAAAGCTTGTCTGCACGGTGCAATCAAAAATAATTTGGTTTTGCACAGTGCGATCAAAAATTGAAATAAAATTTTGCACAGTGCGATCAAAAACCAAAAGTTCTTTTTTTTTGCACTGTGCACTCAAAAAATCTCACAAGGAAAGTACTTCTATGGGGTGTGGAATTACCGGTCGAGATATATATCAAAAAAATCGCAAAAATTTTCTGATTCAGAATATATATAAATTAGCTGCCTAATTTTGATCTGATGACATGTTTTTGTCCTCAGAAGTTTTCTCGCGACACAATGCAAGTGTCTTTTTGACCGTGTTTTTACCAATAAAAAAATTTTGTTTTGTGCTAAAATAAATTTTGAGGCCTTGACAAGCCTTAAAATATCAAATTGGATTACAACTACACCTTAAAAGTAGTTCCAATGTAAAAAATGGGTTCTAGTGTGGCAAAAAGAATCGAACCCGTTCCCCTCGGATTTCCAATCTAGCGCTCTAACCACTCGGCCACACCGCTCTCTTCCGAAGGAAGAGACCGAGCGCGCTTTTGTTTCCGCAGATTTTTTTCCTCGAGAAATACATTTATTGATAAAACTCGTTGATAGACCAAAATTAGGCAGCCAATTTTTATATATTCTGAATCAGAAAATTTTTGCGAATTTTTTGATATATATCTCGACCGGTAATTCCACACCCCATAGAAGTACTTTCCTTGTCAAAACAACTTACTGAGGCAAACAATTTGCAGAATAAAGTTTTCCAATCTCCTTTTCAAAGTAGTCCAGCTGCACCAGAATCGTCATAAAAGTTCCGTAAACTTTTGGGGTCAAAAAGGAAATTCTCAAAATTTTCTGAATGAAATCCTTTTGCCTGAGGGCGTCCGAAATCAGAGTTTTGAACTGTTTATGGAAGGCTGGGTTGGCTCTGAAGATGTGGAGGAGGGAGACTTGGAAAAACGAAAGTGCCTCCTCAACGTGCGCCAAATTCTCCGTGGATTCGAAAATTTCGTCGAGAGCTGCGAGGAGGAGTTGAGAAAGGACTCTGAAAAGATATTTTTCTTCAAATTTTTGTACCGCAAATTGAAATAAAACAAAACAAATTTTACTTCTCTGCACTGTGCGAAACAAAAGAAAAATTTTCCGACTGCACCGTGCGGAAAAATAAAAATTAGCAACTGCACTGTGCGGAAATATTGAAAATCACATTTTTTTATTAAAATATGTTTCATACATTGTAGACAACACAAAAACCTTTAAAAATTCTTTACTTTGTTCCCGCACGGTGCAAAAAATGGAGTGCAAAAAGATCTGCAAAAATCGAAGTCCTGCGCACTGTGCAAAGCAAAAAATTTTTTGTAAATTTCCTTGCGATTTTTTGCACAGTGCAAAAAACAAAAAAGATTTTTGCACCGTGCAGTCGAAAAAAATATCATTTCTCGCACTGTGCAGTCAAAAATAAATAATTTTTCTGACTGCACTGTGCGGAATTTTTTTTTGAATTTTGCACTGTGCAGTCAAAAAATTTTTTTTGTCTTTGCACCGTGCAGTCGAAAAAAAAAATATCATTTCGCACCGTGCAAATTTGTTTTTCTCGCACAGGGCAAAAAACTTTTTGAAATTTCGCACAGTGCAAACAACAGTAAAGATTTTCGCACCGTGCAACACGAAAAAAAACTTGTCGCTTCGCACCGTGCAAAAAATCTTTTTGAAATTTCGCACAGTGCAAAAAATAAAAAGGTCTGCACGGTGCAAAAAACCTAAACTCGTCGCACTGTGCAAAGCAAAAAAAATATATATTTTTTGGTTTTTCGCACCGTGCAAAACGAAAAAAAATGTTTGTCGCTGCGCACCGTGCAAAAAAATCTTTTTGAAACTTCGCACTGTGCAAAAAAATAAAAAGATTTTTGCACCATGCAAAAAATAAAAAGCTCTGCACGGTGCGAAAAACCTAAACTCGTCGCACTGTGCAAAGCAAAAAAATTTGTTTTGGCTTTTCGCACCGTGCAAAAAAATTTTTTTTTCAATTTCAACCCAAATTCCGCTCTTACCTCGACAATTTTTCCACCGGTTCGTCAATAATGTCCTTCAACTGGACTAAAACAATGTCCAGATCAATTCGGCACAACAAAAAGCTGATGAATGGCAAGCTCTCGGTCCAGCCGACGTCCAGCGACTTGATCAGCATTTCCGCGATATTATTTATTGGCTTGAAAGTGTTCGGATGACACGTTTTGAGGCCGATGATGATCGAATTTCCGATTTCAAAGGCCATTTTTCGATTTTTAAAAGTTTTGAAACCACTTTTGTCGATGAAAAGTCCAAGTTCATGGACAAAATTTGTAGATAAATCTTGGTAGAACAGGTCGGGTTGAGTTGTGCGTGCCCAGTGAAGGATTAATGTCCAAAGTTGGATGGTTTTTGCAGGGGAAATTGAAAATAACGAGGTGTTTTCTTGTTTCAAAAGGTCGATGAGAGTTTGAGGGACCTGAAATAGGCGTTTTAGTATTTATTCTGAAAGAAAAAAATCCAATTTAGGCTGAAAAATGGGAAAAAATCAAAAAATTTTTGAATTTTTGTCTAGTGTAATATAATTTTCTCTCAATTTTTTTGTAAAAACACTTTTAATTGTGACTATAAAGCTCATTTTAAAATTTAAACATCAATTCAAGAGGTTTGACCAAGAAAAAACTAAAATTTGAAGTAAAAACTTCATTTTATACCTAAAATAATATAATTTCAGGCAAAAATCGCATTTCCACCAATGGAAATCTCAAATTCTTGCCATAAAATTAAATTTCACACCTAAACAGTACTAATTATACCCAAAAACTTCCAAGCTTTCGCCTTTTTTACCCAAAAAAATCAAATTTCGACCTTTATATACCTAAAATAATATAATTTTAGGCAAAAATCGCACTTTCACCAATGGAAATCTCAAATTCTTGCCATAAAATTAAATTTCACACCTAAACAGTACTAATTATACCCAAAAACTTGCAAGCTTTCGCCTTTTCTACCCAAAAAAAATCAAATTTCGACCTTTATATACCTAAAATAATATAAAAATCCCCTTACCTTGACATAATACCCCACTGCTTCCAATAGGACGACATGCAGAGCGTCCAAGATGTCATCCGCATTTGTTTTTTCCAGCTTTTCGAGGCATTTCCCCATCAAAATGATCACTTCGTCGAAGGAAACGTCTATAACTCTGGTGGCCAGGCACACAAAAGTGAACAAATTTTTCAATTCCTCCACGTATTTTAGGGTGGGATGGCGGATGAATTGGAGGACGGACTTCCAAATCCGGCTTTGAGGGTCCAATTTGTCGTAGCGGACATCATTTGTGACAAGTACGCCGAGGAGAGATAAAATCTGCAAATTTTTGATGAAAAATTTGGCCAGAATTTTAATTGAGCTAGACAAAAGCCTAGCCTACAATTTTCCAAGATATATTTGAGATTTTTAGCGTCAAATTTGCAGAAATTACAGGGATTTAGAGTCGAAATATGTTGAAATTTAAACAATTTCGAAGATTTGGGTAGAAAAAGTGAAAATAATTTGGGTGAATATGAGCTGGGATTTGGATTAGAATTTTGTGAGAGATATTTGTGATTTTCAGCTCGAAATTTGCAGAAATTATCGAGATTTAGAGACGAAACATGTTGGAATTTTAAAAATTTCAAAAAAAATTTTTTTTAATTTTCAATTTGAAAAATTGACATTCTTCTTCGAAGTGGAGAGCACAAGATTTTTACTGAAAATTAATTTTTTCCCATGAAATTCACAAAAATATGGCCAAAAATCACATTTTCTCTGCCTAAAGTCATTTTAGGTGTTTTTAGGCCATATTTTTGTGAATTTCATTTGGAAAAAAAGTAATTTTCAGTAAATATCTTGTGCTCTCCACTTAAATTAGAATGTCAATTTTTCAAATTGAAAATAAAAAAATTTTTTTTTGAAATTTTTTGAATTTCAGCATGTTTCGTCTCTAAATCTCGATAATTTCTGCAAATTTCAAGCGGAAAGTCTCAAATATCTCTCACAAAATTCTAATCTAAATCCCAGCGCACATTCACCCAAATTATTTTCACTTTTTCTACCCAAATCTTTGAAATTCTTTAAATTTCAACATATTTCGACTCTAAATCCCTGTAATTTCCGCAAATTTTGAGCTAAAAATCTCATAATCTCTCCAAAAATTTTAATCCAAATACCATCCCATTTCTCATCAAAATTATCCTCACTTTTTCCTTCTAAAACCCAAAAAAAATCTCAAAAAATCCTACATTTTCCCTAGTTTCCTTCTGCGAATTGTTCAAAAATGCGTGCATAAGGAACGTCACAAAACGTTCAAACTGTTCCAGTCTTGCTCCAATTTCCAGCGCATGATTTGCGCTTCGTTTTGGCACGGGGGATCCGATTGTTTTGTTCATCCATCCAAAATGTCTGAGCTGGTGTAAAGTGAAGTGTTCCGAGCGGTCTAGGAAGGCGAGATAGACGGAAAAATTGTTGATGCTTCGTCCTATGTACATTTCCAGCGGGTCTGAACATTTTTATTTTTATTTTTTAAAAAAATTTTTTTTTTAATTAAAATTTTTTTTTATTTTTTATTAAAAAAAAATAAAAAAAATTTTAATTAAAAAAAATTCTTTTTTAATTAAATTTTTTTATTTTTATAAATTTTTTTTTACTTTTTTCAATTAAATTTATTTTTTATTTTTTTTTATTTTTTTTAATTAAAAAAAATGTTTAAATATTTTTCAAAAAAAAAATTCAATTAATTTTTTTTTATTTTTTAAAATTTTTTAAATTTTTTTTAATTAATTTTTTTTTAAAATTTTTTTTTTAATTAAAAAAAATGTTTAAAAATTTTTCAAAAAAAAAAAAAAAATTTTTCAAAATTTCCCTACCATTTGGCATGACCGCATTCTTCAATCTGAGCGACACCAGCGTATTTGAATTGATGTGGAATGCGTTTTTATCAAAGATATTTTTCAAAAGTTGCGTAATCACTTTTGTCACCGGCGCTAGCGAAAAATGCATCAAAGTGCGTATATAAATGAACAGCTCGTCTATGAAAGAGTTCATAATCTCTCTTGAGGTCAATTCTAAGAGTGATGAGAGTCCATCCAGCGCGGTATTGAGGAGAATTGTGACTCTTTCCTCGGTTTGTTTTTTGAGGGAGCTTTGGAGATTGGAAAAAGCTCCACGGATCAGCGGCTCGATGCGTTTTAGGGATGCGGATTGGGTGTATGAGGTGGGTCTGGTTGGATGGACACCTGTGCCGACTAGGTGGGAGATGGAGTAAGAGCTGAAAAAAAAAAAAAATTTTTGAAAAAAAAAATTTTGAAAAAATTTTTTTTTTTGAAAAAAAAAATTATCTTTTTTTTAATAAAAACCACACATAAATGTCTGTTCTACTCTCAAAACGTCTCTAGTAACCTTTTTTCTTCAAAAACCAAAGGAAAAAACCAAAAAACTCAGCAAAAAACCACCAATTTTGTCAAAAAATCCCAATTTTTACCAAAAAATCCCAATTTTTCCTCAAAAAATCTCCCAAAATTAGCTCTCATAGACATCGTAAACGATTTTGGTCGATTTGGAACCAAAAAAAAACTTTTTTTTCCTTCGCACAGTGCAAAAAAAAATAAATTTTTCCGTTTTCGCACTGTGCAGTCAACTTTTTTTTCACTGCACGATGCAATGAAATTTTTACAAAAAAAAGTGTTCGAAAAAAATTTTTTCGGAAAAAATGTGTGTCCAAAAACATGGATCTGCAAATTTTTTTCATTTTTTGACGATTTTTTATAAAAAAAAACAAAATTTCAAAAAAAAAAAAAAAATTCAAAAAAATCCTCAAAAATCCCAAAAAATCCTCACCGATTCTCATAAGCCGACGAATTCACCCCTCCTTGAACCCAATTCCTCTTTGTAAACAGCGGAGAGTTCATTGTGGACGAAAGTTTGGTCGTATTTTCTCGGATCACAGTGAAATACAAGTTCAAAACCCTTAGATAAACCGTAATCACCTGATCGAGGATGGCATTTCCTTGCAGGAAATCCTTTTCCTTGGGCTGATTCGCATATTGAGACAGCGAATTTTCCATTAATCCGCAAAAAATTAGGGAAATTAGGCGTAGGGCGTTGATAAAATCGCTGGGATTTGTTGTGAACCCGTCCGTCTGCTCCAAAACTATATCCAAGACGCTTCGTTGGCTCTTGTTGTCCGGGCAGGCCCATGCTTGGCCGTAGACACATGGTGAGAATTGCTCAGCGAGCTTCAAAAGTCCCAGGACAAAGTGGGAAAAGTCCGAATTTCGAGTCGAAACTTCTTCGTATAACATTGCAATTGTTGTTGTCAGTGAATGCTCCAATACGAGGTCGGGACAGTCGCCTCGAAAGGAGTAATTTGGATGGAGAGCGAAGACCTGGGGCTGATATGCAAAGGAGGGCGCGGCCATTTCTTCGGGCCACTGGCAGTTGAAAGTGTTCGAAAGTTGCGAAAATTCGGCGTTTTTGACGGCTCTGAAGTGAAAATATTGGCATTAAAAACCGCATAAAATCTCAGAATAGTCTATTCTTTCTTTGCACAGTGCAAAAAATAATATTTTTTTATCGCACAGTGCAAAAAAATCACTTTGATTTTTCGCACCGTGCGGTCAAAAAAATCAAAAATTTCGCACTGTGCAACCGAAAAAAATTCAATTTTTTTACAAAACAATAAAAAACATCTATAATTCTTCACATTTCGACGTATTTTCTACTCATTCCTCTATTGCACAGTGCAAAAATTCATTTTTTTTAATTTCTGCACTATGCAATTAGAAAATGCCCAAAATTCGCACTGTGCACCAATTTTTTTTTCAAATTTTTTATTGTAAACTGAACAAAAATTTACCGCACCCCGAACTTCCATATGAATTCTTCCATTTATTTCAGTACACAGTGCGAAAAAACCCTTTCCATTTTTCGCACAGTGCGAAAAATTTATTTTTGTTTATCGCACCGTACAATCACGAATTTTTGCAAAAATTTCGGACGCACAGTGCAAAAAAACCCTTTCAATTTTTCGCACTGTGCAATGACTTCGTTTCTGTTTATCGCACGGTGCAAAATGAACCTTTTGCAAACATTTTCTTTTGCACAGTGCGACAACTTCATCTTTATTTATCGCACCGCGCAGTGACGACCTTTTGCAAAAATTTCTTTCGCACAGTGCGAAAAAATCATTTTTGTTTATCGCACGGTGCAAAACAAAATCCTTTTAATTTTTCGCACAGTGCAATGACTTCATTTCTGTTTATCGCACGGTGCGAAATGAACCTTTTGCAAAAACCTTCTTTCGCACAGTGCAAACAAAAAACATTTTTTCCGTTTTGCACCGTGCAAAAAAAATCTTTTCCTCCCCGCACCGTGCAGATTCTCCAAACTCATATTTTTCCCCAAATTTCCCCCAAAAATAAAAAAATTTCCTCAACTCACACTGGAAGCAGTTCACTGACCGCGCTGGCCACTCTATAATCGCTATCAAACAGGCTTTTCATCAAGAGTTGAAAGCATTTCCGTTGATATGCCTCTCTGGTGGCCGGATTTATCAAATCCCACTTGATATGGGCCAAGAATTCGGCTCGGACCACCTTCAACAAAAAATAATCGCATTCAAAGGTGTCGATGGCCAGGTTCAGCACCGATTTTAGGGTGTTTTGATCTGCTTGGAGGAGGAGATGAGCCTTGTTGAGGACTTGGAAGAGTTCTTTGAGCTTCATTGGGTTGGGTTGGCGGGTTAGTTGGCTCAGATGCATGGAGAATTTAGCTAAAATAGGGAAAATTTAGAAGGAAATCGGCAATTTTTTTTGGTCTTTCGTATGCAAATGGCAAAAAATCGTAAAATTTGCCCAAAAATACCTTATTTTAGATTTCAACTTGTTTTTTTGCTATTTTATTGCTTTTAGAAGGAAACAAAGCCCTCTAGCTCCTTCTCAGACCAAAATACAATCCTTTGGCGGCTCAAAAATAATGTTTTTTTTCAAAAAATCATGTTTTATACCTAAAATAAGGTCTTTTTGAAAAAAATTAATGTTCCAATCACATAATCAAATGATAAAACCTTCACCATCATATTTTAGATCATTCTGCATCCTCAGAAATCAAAAAAATCTCCGTTTATACCCAAAATAATACAACTTTTGATCAAAAATACCGAATTTATACCTAAAATAAGGCCTTTTTGAAAAAAATTAATGTTCCAATCTGATAATCACATGTTAAAACCTTCACCATCATATTTTAGACCATTCTACATCCTTTGAAAGCAAAAAATCTCCATCTACACCTAAAATGACATAGTTTTTGACGAAAAATCTCAAATTTATACCTAAAATAAGGTATTTTTAGTCTAAACAATGTAATTTCTTGCAGCCAATCGCTCAAACTATCCATAAGTACTCTTGTTCATCAAAGTTTTACCTAAAATTCAACAAAAAAATCGGAAAAAAACTTGCTTGGAGGGGTAATTGGCCAGATTTTTGTGCCTTTCCTGATCATTTCCGTTTCCAAATTGGTCAAAACTTCAAAACATCGAACGGACACAGCATCATCCGAATTTTGGATCAAGATTTGGATGTCCGAGAAATGTTGCTGGCCTATTACGAGCTCATTTATCTTATAATAGACAGCTGAAATGGCGGCCAGAACTTTGAGGGCCAAAACTTTGATGGAAACTCTGACTTCCGAGTCCGATTTCAATTCCCCCGGAGTTCCAGTGAACAGAAACTTCGATAAGATCGTATAGCCAGTGTAATCGAGGAAATTCGCGGTGCTTTCCAACCTTGTTTTAGGCAGCTCCGCACATAATGGGCCATAAATCGCTTCGTGAGCCGAATGTGAGGGGGATTCTTGAGTTTCGGGCTCTTCAACGTTGTCCAAAAGGTATTCAGAAGGTGAAGAGCGGCGGAATAGAGGATCGGTTTCGATTTCGGCACCACTTTTTGAAGTCCGACCCGAATTTGTGTCTTCCTGTAAATAGCTTCGATAGAAAAAAGCATGAATATTAATTTAAAAAACCCATCTACCGCTTAGAAGATTAAAAAATCTGGTTTTCAAGCAAATTTTTCAACTTTTTTGTCATGGATAATATAATTTTTGCCCGTTTTGACAAAAAATCTTCTTCTATCTGCTGAATTACAGCTCAGAAAAGAATAAAAAGTCATTTTCACCAACCATACAAGCAGATTCCATAAAAAAATCAATATTTTTGTCATGGATAATATAAAATTTTTCCGTTTTAGGCAAACAATGAATTAAATTTGCAGCAAATAAGCTTTATAGATGCGATAAATACCTACATCGTCACTAGCATTGTTAAAAACATCTTCTTCGGAGACCTCTGACCTTGCACTTGGTGGAACGGATTCCTCCAAAGAATTGACCGAATTGAACCTTGACATTGTCGCACCCTCATCCACATCAAACGAAAGGTCCTTTTCGTTGATCTAAACACAGAATCAACAGCAAAAAACATCACTTACCGACAAATTTCCCAGACTTTCCGGAATCGAAGACCTCCCGTTATCCGAGTCTGTAAAACTGGCTGGTTGAAACTTTAAAATCTCCAATGACGTTGAGGATATTGCCTCATCCAAGAGCTCTAATCCAGCCGTTTGAATCTCGCTGGATTGAGTTCGTAACGAGCAGAGAACTCGATATAAAATTGAATGTATAACATCAGCTGACTCCAAGTTTTTCCACAGTTTTTTGAAGGTGTTGAACGCTCCAACCAGACGGTTCTTATCATTGATATCTTCAGCAGATCGCAGGGTATCTAAATACATAAAAACGAAAACTTTTCGACACTTACCCAGCAAACTATAGACGATTTTCGCTCGGATTCTCGGGAAATTTTCGAAAATCCCCGCCAAAACTGCCGATGCTGCTCGATTTGAAACTCCAGAGAGCTGAAGATTCTCCAAACACTGCATTGCGAGAGCATCTACGTAATTATAGTGCGAATCGTTCAAATCATTTTTAAAATATTCGAAAATTGGGGCAAAAAGTTGCTCTACAACACTTTGAACTGCTTGTTCTGGACGTTTGACCGCTTCTTTCAGGGAATTCAGCAGATGCATCGCGTAAACAGGCAGTCTAGCTTCTTTGGCATATCGTAGGGTAGATTCTAACATCGTCAGAGCGGCCACAAATCCTCTAGCCGAGGCTTTCCGACCCAATTCGTTGAGCAGAATGGCCAAAGTCCGGGAAGTTTGGCCTTTGGTCAAAAACTTCTGAAAAAAGTCAAAATTTAGCTTCCAAAATGAGGTTTAAAGACTCAAAAGTCTTGAGACTTAAATAACACACCCTCAGAATGCCATTGAGACATTGATCCGCCAGAATCCGCAGACTTGCATCGTCCTTATCAAGAACATCAAAGAGCCCACTCAAGGCGCGGCTCGTATACGTTTTTGGCCAGTATTCCTCATCCACCAAGACTTTGCGCACCTCATGGCAGGCCTCGACCAACGGATCCTTGTGTCTAAACACCAATAAACACATCAATAACATAAACATACCTTTTCGGAGTGGGAATTCCCGTTCTTTGCGGTGGATTTCCTTCCAAAATGCCGATGGCACGTCGAAGCTTCTTGTCCAAAGCTGAATTTGCAGCCATTATTGTTTTGTTCAGACCATTCTAGCCATTTACAGAAGCTTGTTTCAGATTTCCGGCAAAAATAAAATAATTTAGGAGGAAGAGTTGACCACGGGTCAAGTGTTTCGTCAGTTTGGAAAATCTCGTATGTTAGAGGTAAAAAGGATATAAAAGGTTTTTTGACCAGTAGACAGAATATTTAGAGTCTTTACTCTATTGTTTCTTAGAAGATGACTGTTTTATTACAAGTTTTCTATCGCCATCTTCCATGTGGCTGAGTCCCACCACGAAAACAATTGGCGAGCGAAAAGTTGGTTTGAAATGAAAACCTGCGATTTTTTTTGCAAATTTTTTGAGAGGCGAAATTTAGAGGAAATCCGGAAAGTCGCCGGAGGGAAATCGGCGACATGCACTGTGAAAATGAAAGTTCACTTTGCACTGTGCAATTTCTTCCTTTTTGCACCGTGCAATAGACTTTTTTCGGCTGTCGCTCTGGCTTTTTTCGCACAGTGCAAACGCCAAAAATTAATCCGGCGACTTTCCGGAAGGACTACTTACCCATTTACATTTACCCATGATTTATGCAAATTTTAATTTTACTATCTTTTTTCGATTTTCGAAAATGCACAGTGCAAAATTTGAAAAAAAATTATTTCGTCATTTCCAATCTTTTTATCGGCTGCTTTTGTCGCGATGAAGCGTCGCAGCAACACTCCCATTGCTCTAGAGAATCGTGTTTCCAGGATGCGTCGAGCGGATCAACCCCGAGCGAACAAGGCGTGGCACGCGGTGCTGGACTTCTTCAAAAACAACATCCCAGAGCTCCACGTGACCGAGCAGACGTTGACCTCTCCCACCGTAAGTTCGTTTATGATCCGTTTTTTCGATTTTTAGGCTGATCTCCTCATTTTTTGCATTTTCAACAAAGTTATGGCCAATATTATTTTAGGGAGATGATGTCCGAAAAGTTTATACCACAATGCTGCTGTTCACGGGGATTTGCACTCCGGCCGACCTATTTCTAGACAATATGGATCAAATGGACGAGGAAGAGTCCGCCAGACATGGAGCAGCACTTCTCCGCGAAATGTAAGAGCATGAACTTGGTGGTCTACTACAATATAATTTAGGCAGATGTTTGTCGAGAAATTCAGCCTGGACAAGAAGCACTTCAGCATCACGGACTTGGCCAACCCAGAGCCAGTCAGATTCTTGGGATTTTTGAAGGACATGATCAAGTTTTTTAACGTTAGAGTTGAGCGGCAGGGAGATCTGACGGAATTGTTTCAGAAAAGAGTAAGTTCTTCAAAATTTGTTGTTCAATGTTTAGGATGAGATTATCAAGAGGCAAGCTGAAGCTCCAATTCTTTTGGAGGCACTTCGAGGAGAGGAAGCCCAATTATTGGCAAGTTTGGACAAGATTCGAAGGAAAAAGGTCGATGTAAGTCAAATGCTGAGAGAAGCGATGAAATTATGGTGTTATTAGGGTATCTATGGAAGAATGGAAGGTTATGGAAGGTGTTTTGGACTGTTTTACAAAATTTTGGATATTACTTTAGATAAATTTTTAGAAGAAGGTTTAAAAAAAGAGTAAAGCACTGGTTGGAAAGTGAATTTTTCTAAAGAATATGTAACTACAATGCTGTTTTGAGCTTTTAGAATTTATTTTAGGATGATTGCAGTATTTCCGGATATTACTTTAGGTATAAAAATTGAATTTTTGAGCGATATTGTTATCATGAGCGTTGTTAATGCTTAGAATACTTAAAATTTTGACGATTAGGTGCTTTTAAACCCTTTTTGAATTGGTTTAGGATAATTTTATATATTACTTTAGGTATAAAATATCAATTTTTAGTCGGCCTATCAAATCGAACAGATGAAAAAGCGCGAGATTGAGTTGAAAAAGGAGATGAACGAATTGGACGAGCGAATTCCCAAGGAAGAATACGAAGTGGCCGAGGAAAAAAAGAAAGTTGAAGCGCTGAAGGAGCGCCTGAGCCAGCAAAAAGAGGAAATTAATGAACTGCGCGGCAAAATGATCCAATCTCCGGATCGCCAACGCGCCGAAATGAAGCGACAGGAGGGGGAGTTGGCGAATTTGATGACTCGAATTCAAATGAGCGAGAATTCCATCGAAAGATTCGCGAAACATATCCATGAATTGGAACAGGTTGATCATCATTTCGACAATTTTTGCGAGACCCTCAACCATGTGAAACAGGAGTTTGAGACGCTGGAACAGGCCAGACGACAGTCCACTTCACTCCAAACCAAGCTGGAGAATGTGAGAGTGAAAAGAAAAAAGATTGAGGACGAAGCGAAGAAGCTGGAACAAAAATACGAAGCCGAGAAGAATAATGAAGCCATGAAGCAAGAAAGAATGAACAATGAGATTCAACAATACGAATCGCTGCTTGGCCAGATCAATGAGTAGGTCGAGGGGGCTTTTGCACAGTGCAGAGGCGATTTTTGGAAGTTTTGAGCGTTGTAGCGGAACTTTTTATGAATTTCTTTTTGTGTGAAGAATTGAGAGGTCTAATAGAGTTTATTCAACGGGAGGTTTTTCAATTTGGGGTTTACACAGTGCATAAGAAACAGTTTTTCGAAATTTGCACAGTGCGGTTAAACTTTTTTGAATTTTTGCACAGTGCAAACGGATTTTTTTGCATTTTTGCTACGAGTAATAAATTTAGAGGTCTACCACAGTTTTCTGATCGAGCCATATTGGAATTTAGGTTCTGCGCTGTGCATAACAAAGAATTTTTCGAATTTTGCACAGTGCAGAGGCGATTTTTGGAAGTTTTGAGCGTTGTAGCGGAACTTTTTATGAAATTCTTTTTGTGTGAAGAATTGAGAGGTCTAATGGAGTTTGTTCAACGAGAGATATTTCAATTTAGGGTTTGCACAGTGCATAAAAGACAGTTTTTCGAAATTCGCACAGTGCAGAGCAGATTTTTGGAAAGTTTAGGCATTGCAATGGGACTTTTCTTGAATTTCATTTTGTATGAAGAATTGAGAGGTCTAATGGAGTTTGTTGAACGAGAGATTGTTCAATTTAGGGTTTGCACAGTGCTTAAAAAAGATTTTTCGAATTTTGCACAGTGCAGAGGCGATTTTTGGAAGTTTTGAGCGTTGTAGCGGAACTTTTTATGAATTTTGTGTTATATGAAGTATTAAGAGGGTCAATAGTTTGTTTCTAAACAAGCCATATTTTAATTTAGGGTTTGCACAGTGCATAAAAAATAGTTTTTCGAAATTTGCACAGTGCAGAGACGATTTTTGGAAGTTTTGAGCGTTGTAGCGGAACTTTTTATGAATTTCTTTTTGTGTGAAGAATTGAGAGGTCTAATAAAGTTTATTCAACGAGCCATATTTTAATTTAGGGTTTGCCCAGTACATAAGAAACAGTTTTTCGAAATTTGCACAGTGCAGAGGAGATTTTTGGAAGTTTTTTGCGTTGTAGCGGAACTTTTTATGAATTTTGTGTTATATGAAGAATTAAGAGGGTCAATAGTGTGTTTCTGAACGAGCCATATTTTAATTTAGGGTTTGCACAGTGCTTAAAAAAGATTGTTTCGAAATTTGCACAGTGCCGGGGAGATTTTTGGAAGTTCTGAGCGTTCGATAAAAGGCGGAACTTTTATCGAATTTCTGTTTGTGTGAAGGATTGAGAGGTCTAATAGAGTTTATTCGACGAGAGGTATTTCAATTTAGAGTTTGCACAGTGCATAAAAAAGAGTTTTTCGAATTTCGCACAGTGCACTTCAAACTTTCTTCTTATTGCACGTTTCGCAAATTGGATTTTTGGATATTAAAATGTGGATTAGAAATGGATTTACTTGAGGTTTTGTCACACAAAATTTTCAGAAAAACTTTCTCTGGAACTATGCAAAATCTGAAAACTTTGTTTTTGCACAGTGCATTTTTATTTATTTTTTTTATTTTTTGCACCGTGCAGACGTTTTTTTACTTGATGGAAATAAATTTGTTTTTCAGACGAAAAGAAGAGCTGGCTGCCCGATTATCAAAAATCGAATCGGCGATTGTTACAGTAGAGGGCCAAATTGAAACCCTGAGGCAAGTTGTGAAGGATTATAATGTGGAAGGAGCCCTCAAAAAGTATGAAGAAGAGAAAAGTCAACTTGAAAACAAGGTAAATTTTATTCAAATTTTGTTTTTTTGAGATTTGAAAAAAAAAAATTTTTTAATTTTTTTTTTTTTTCAGATGGTCGAATTGCTCGATTTGAAACTCGCATTGATGAATGACATCCGAAAACTCCAAAAAATTGATGAAAACACAAAGGCGAAGCTGGCTGAAGCCCTAAAAATCCATCAAGAAAGGGTGAATGGACGCAAGAAAATGGTCGAGGAACGGCAGAAAATATCCGGATTCAAAATTACTCAAAAATGACTCAAATAATACAGTGTAAATATACTGATTTTCAATGAATTAATCTAACAATAAATATAAATTTTTTAAAAGAAGTTTTGGAAAAAATAATTTTTTTTGCACGGTGCAAAAAAAAAATTTTGCACGGTGCAGATTTTTGGAAGAGTTTTTTGCACTGTGCAGTCAAACAAAATTTTTTGCACAGTGCAATAAAAATAATTTCTTTTGCACTGTGCGGAAAAACTGTTTTTTTTTGCACGGTGCGAAAAAAAACAGAAAAGAAATTTTGCACGGTGCAGATTTTTGGAAGATTTTTTTGCACTGTGCAGTCAAACAAAATTTTTTGCACAGTGCAAAAAACAAAATTTTTGAAAAAGCTTTTTTTGCACAGTGCAAAAAACCAAGCAGATTTTTGGAAGATTTTTTGCATTGTGCGAAAAAAAATAATTTTTTTGGCACGATGCGAAAAAACCAGAAAAGAAATTTTGCACAGTGCAGATTTTTGGAAGATTTTTTGCACTGTGCCAGAGCGAAAAAACAAAATTTTTGAAAAACTTTTTTGCACAGTGCAGTCAAACAAAATTTTTTGCACAGTGCAAAAAACAAAATTTTTGAAAAACTTTTTTTGCACAGTGCGAAAAAATGAAAAAAATATTGCACGGTGCAGAATTTTTCGAAATTTTTTTGCACTGAGCAGTCGAAAAATCTTGCGCACTGTGCGAAAATCAAAATTTTCTTCATTTCTTTCTCAAAAAAACTTTCGTAAAATACGATTTATTAATGGCACAAACTTTGTAAAAATAAAACGTAAAAACGGTCTCTGGAATGGATAAAACAAAGAAAATTAGAGAGAAAGAGGAGGTTCGTTGCTGATACAGATATTATTAGGACAATGAATGGATAGGATATGCAAATTTGCAAAAGACGGTAAAATACTATGATATATAGAGTGAGCAGAATAGTAAAAATTTTTTTGGGAAGGTTTGTAATACAAAATTGTTAAAAAAAAATTAAAATTTCTCAGCGCAAAATTATTCTTTTCTATTTTTTTCGCACAGTGCAATCAAAAAAAATTATTTTGTCTTTGCACAGTGCAATCAAATAATTTTTTTCGCATTGCACAGTGCGGTGAAAAACGTTTTTATTTTTGCACTGTGCGATCGGAAAAAAGTTCGATTTCGCACCGTGCAGTCAGTAAAAAAAATGGAAATATTTTTTTTTGCACAGTGCGATCAAATTTTTTTTTGTTTTTTTGCACTGTGCGGTCAAATAAATTTCTTGTTTTTGCACTGTGCGTTGAAAGGAATTTTCGGGTTTGCACTGTGCAGTCAAAAAAGGTTCACTTTGTTGCACGGTGCGGTCAAAAAAATTTTTTTGTGACTGCACTGTGCGGCGGAAAAATTTTCTTTGTTTTTTGCACTGTGCAGTAAAAAAAATTTTTTCTGTCTTTGCACCGTGCAGTCGAAAAAATTTTTTTTGTCTTTGCACTGTGCGGCGGAAAAATTTTCTTTGTTTTTTGCACTGTGCACTCAAAAAAAAAAAATTTTTTTTGTCTTTGCACTGTGCAGTCAAAAAAGAATAATTTTTCTGACTGCACTGTGCGGAAAAAATCTTTTTTTGAATTTTGCACTGTGCAGTCAAAAAATTCAAAAAAATTCAAAAAAAGTTTTTGGCTTTCTTTTATAATATTTTCTACAAAAATTTTCCAGTATTACAACCCTCCTTGCAAATAAAAATCATTTTTTGGTCTCCTTATTCTACAGCAATCCCTTTACTGATGCCCATACATGTACGGGTTAGGTGCGTAATATCCTGGCGCCTGCATTGTTGGGTAATGTCCGTAGTATGTCGAGTAAATGTCATAAGTATTGTAGGCACCGCCGTAGGGCATCATTGATTTCTCGTAGTGCTGAGCATAGAGCGCGTCAGCTTTGGCTTTGTAAATCGACTCCTTGCTTTGTTTGATGGAACGGTACGCCAGAATCAGACTGACGGCGCCGAGAAGCAGGAAAACAACACCAATCCAGGTGGTCACGTAGCTCCAGCCGTACGCAAAAGTCGTCTTTTGCTTGAGGATCAGCTGCCAGCTGCGGTAATAGGGCTCCATTTCCAACATGTGACGCTCTTGGTATTGGACCCAATGGAAGAGGGCGATCGCGGCGACGAGAAGGAGGACTGAAAGTAGAGAAATTAGAAAAAATAGCTGTAAAATGCCATTTTGAGGGGGTTTGATCACTTTTGAGCGTTTTTGGATCATCTGGATCGCTTTTGAGGGATTTTGAACAGTTTTGTGAACTTTGGATAACTTTTGAAGTATTTTGATCATTTTTTGGGAAACTTTATTTATATGTCATAAAAAACTTCTTTGAGTCAGTTTTGAGGCTTTTTGATCATTTTTGAGGCATTTGGATCACTTTTGAGGTATTTTAATCACTTTTCGCATTTTCTGTCTCTTTTTAAAATTACAATAATTACTCATTTTCAAAATCAAAAAATCGATTTTTCTTTTTCACAGTGCAAAAAAATGCCCAAAAATTAGTGCACGGTGCAAGTCTTTTTTTGTTCGATTTGCACAGTGCCTCAAATGAAAAGCCAAATTCGCACTGTGCAACAATTTTTTCTATTTTTTGCACAGTGCAAAGCAAAAGGCAGGATAAAATCTTCGCACAGTGCAACGTTTTTTCATTTTGTTTTGCACTGTGCAATCAAAAAAATCTTCTTTTTGCACAGTGCGGTGAAGTTTCTTCCCATGTTTCTGCACCGTGCATTCGAAACCATGTCAATTTTCGCACGGTGCAAAGCAAGGAGAGGGATCAAATTTTTGCACTGTGCAATTAAAGAAGTCCGCCTTTGTCGCAGTGCGACAAACGTGGAGAGCCCAAATTTTTTGCACAGTGCAATATTTTTTTTGATTTTTTTGCACTGTGCAATCAAAAAATAATCTATGTTTTGCACAGTGCAATAATTCCTTGTATAGTTCTTTGCACTGTGCACTAAAAATTTTTTGTTTTTCGCACTGTGCAGTTAAAAATTTTCATCCGGCACTCACCAACAAAGAACATGACGAATCCAGTGAACAGCGTGAATCGCGCACTTCCCTTCCAGCATCCAACCACTCCAACCAAAATCCCAACGGCCGCTGTGACAAGCCCCGCGGCGTACAAGAAGACGGTGGCCCATAAGAAGTAGTAGTGCTGGTTTTGGACGGTGCTGAAACGCTCGCGCGCCGATTGGCTGGGCTTGAGTTCGGGGTTTTGGGCGCAGTTATAGCCCAGTTTGGAGAAGCTTCCGATGCCCGAGGGCACATCGTCGGGGAAGCACACGTGGAAGAGGCCAAAGTTGCGGGGGAAGTAGATGATTTGGTTCAGATCGGTGCCTTTCTTGACTTGATTCTGCAAGTCTCGGCGGAGAACCTGAAAGTTAAAATTTTAGGGATTTTTTGAAAAATTGATCACTTTTGATACTTTTTGATCGTTTTCGGGGTTTTCAATGACGCTTATTTTATTGGAAAACACCTAAATTAACCTCATTAAATAATTTTCAGTGGTCTAATAACATTAAAAAAGGGTTGGATCACTTTTGAGGTATTTAGATAACTTTTGATACTTTTTGAATTTCTTGGGGGGTTTTCATTGAAAAATTATTTTTCTTTAGGAAATTAAGGCCTCTGTATCATTTTCCACTGGTCTAATAACATTAAAAAAGGTTTGGATCACTTTTGAGGTATTTGGATAACTTTTGATACTTTTTGAATCTTTTTGCGGGTTTTCACTGAAAATGAGTGTTTCTTCAAAACTAAATCCTCTATACCATCTTCCGGTGGTATAATAACATTTAAAAAAAGGTTGGGTCACTTTTGATACTTTTTTTGGATCACTTTTGATACTTTTTCATCATTTTTTGGATTTTCGATAAAAATTATTTTTTCGGTGAAATCAAGGTCTGTATATCATTTTCGAGTGATCAATAACTTTAGAAAAGGGCTGGATCACTTTTGAGGTATTTGGATAACTTTTGATACTTTTTGATCATTTTTGTGATTTTTAGTAAAAATTATTTTTTCGCCGAAATCTAGGTGTTCATAGCATTTTCCAATGGCTTAATAACGTTAGAGGAGGTTTGGATCACTTTTGAGGTATTTGGATCACTTTTGATACTTTTTGATCACTTTTCATTTTTTCGAAAATTTATCAAATTGTTCCTCTAAACGCAATAAAAATTCAGATTTTTCCCCAGTTCGTATTTTACAATTTCTTTTTTTTTCAAACCTTTCGCACAGTGCAAAAAAATCTTCCAAAAACCTTTCCCCAAATTCCCCTAATAACTCATACTTGTGACCTGCTTATGAATCCCAAATACGCGTTCATAAATTCTCTCTCCTTTTGCGAGAAGAGAATTCCTCGCAGCGAACGCCCGAGAGATTTGAGACAATGATTAACGACCCGGCCTTGACCTTTATCGCTCACTGTTTTTGCTCCCGTCTTGGGCTGCAATTTGAAGCGGAGTCGTTGATTACCTCACATTCCTTTCGGTGATCCAATTTCCCGACCAAACGAAGCTTATTTTGGGTACAAGAAAAGTTGGGAAATTTTGAGGGAAATTACATTATTTTAGGCAAATTTTTGGGGAAAAACGATTATTTTTTTGGTAGAAAAGAATAGAAAAAGTCTCTACAGAGCTGATAATTTCTATAAAAACTAATTTTACCATCTTAATTTTGAGTTAAACTTTGCAAAATCCAAAAAAACCGAAAAAATCGCATAATTTTTGGATTTTCCTACAAGAATAATTGAAAATCAAGTAAAGATCAAATAAATAACGTTGTAAAATACGACGTGATCTTCTTAGTCCTCTATACGCATATTTGAAACTCCAAAAATGCACAAAACCTACTGAATATTCGGCCCAATTATCGGTAATTCCTCCAAACAGAACCAGGACAAAGCCTATCAACGTAAAGAAAGTGGAGCAGGATAAAACCATAGCTGAGGCCATTTCGAAGACCCTGAAAGGTGTTTGCCAATCCGCGAACCCACTGTGGAAACACCAAGCTGAAAATATATTACTTTAGGGATAAAAGTAAAATGTAATGTCAAGTGTAATATTTTAATGTAAACGCGGAGATTTCATAAAAATTCACGTCGCAGAGGATCACTATTGATATCAATGCTCATTTGAAATTACAAAAATACGAAACAAGCAAATTTTGATGACTGCACTGTGCGGAAAACAGTTTGGGCTGCTGCACCGTGCAAAATGAAAAATTATCTGAATTTTGCCCTTAGGCGAAAGAATCAAATTTTTTAAAAGTCTAATCAGAAAGGCGTCATTAAGTTCTGACACAACAAAAAGTAAAATACGACTAGCTTACATTAGCACCGTGCGGCGGCCTTTTCTTTTTTTTGCACAGTGCAAAATGAAAAAATCTGCATTTTCCGACTTTCTCAAAGAATATTGGAATATAAATATGTTATACAATCATATTTCAAGCTATTATAGTATTTACAATTCGCAGAATTCAAATTCCTCAGCTTCGCACAGTGCACTAAAAACTTTATTTCTTTGCACTGTGCAATGGGAAAAAATTTGAAATTTTCTTCAAAGACAAGTAGAAAAATTGTGATACTGCTACGAACTGATGTCAAAACATTTACTTTCAACTTCATAAATCCTAAAATACCAAATTTTTACCATGGTATTGAGCAATCGACCAGTTTTTCCAATTGCACTGTGCAAAAATTAAAAATCCTAAAAATATCGTGTGAAATCAGGAAAATGATACAAATTTGTCTGCATTGATGATGCAACTTGTAATCGAATCAAACCTCCATTCAATATACAAAGGAAGAAACAAAAATGCGAAAAATATCCGTACCGTTCTCATAAACAAAACACCAACCCGAAAAAAGGCGCCGTTAAAAGTCATCGGAAAACCTGACGAAAGCCGCGCGACCCACTGCGAATAAAAAATCTGAGAAAACAGGCGAATATTTACAAGCAACTTTTTGAAGCTGGAACCGTTAACGTTTCCACAGCGAACAGCACAGTTCGCTGGGGGAAAAGGCGAGGACATTGGATCAGGGAACCCGGAAACGACGTGAAACTGGGGTAATTACACGTAATGAGGGCTGTTCAAGTTGATAATGTAGCGAAAATGGGGAAAAAAGACTGCACAGTGCGAAAAACTAAAAAGCAAAAAATGCACGGTGCAAAAAGAAACATGGAAAATTATTGCACAGTGCGTATAGTATGTATATCAAAAATAGTAAATAATGCATATATAAGATCCTAAAGACTATTTCCTATACTTTAGACATCAAATTTTCCCCCGCACAGTGCAAATTTTTGAAACTTAAAAAATGCACTATGCAAGAAGAAAAATGGAAAATTATTGCACAGTGCACATAGTATGAATAGTAAAAATAGTAAATAATGCATATATAAGATCCTAAAGACCATTTCCTATACTTTAGACATCAAATTTTCCTCCGCACAGTGCAAATTTTCGAAACTTAAGAAATGCACGGTGCAAAAAGAAAAATGGTAAATTATTGCACAGTGCGTACAGTATGAATATCAAAAATAGTAAATAGTGCATTAATAAGACCCTAACAATCTTTTCATATACTTTAGACATCAAATTTTCCCCCGCACAGTGCAAATTTTCGAAACTTAAAAAATGCACTGTGCGACGAAAAAAATAAAAAATTACTGTATTTTCCGTAAAATCGGCATAATAAAACATGGTTAAAATACGACACAGCCAGATTGGAAAGATTTCTTTTATCACAATTCAACATTTCTTTACTGTACTGTGCAAAAAAAATACATTTTTTGTAATGCACTGTGCAGTGGAAAAGTCGACCAATTTTTGCACTGTGCGCCACACCAAAGAAAAAAATTTTTCTGTCTGAGGTTTTACTGCCTCTGGGAGAATTTTGAATCTTTTAAAAAAACTTTTTTGTCATTGCACAGTGCAAAATAAAGATTTTTGTTTTCCGCACAGTGCAAAAATTGAAAATTTCCGGATCCTTGATCCACTAATTTTCGGAACCGCCAAATCCCACAAAGAGTATTTAAATTCAATCCACCTTGGGGCGGAAGTAAAACGACTTGAAAAAATGACCAGTCCCACCTTCCACATGACCATCAAAACCATCTGCAGTTTGAGAAAAAGTATAATTCGAAACCTCATCAAACAAAAACTTGGTTCCCAAAACAAACACCCCGCTACAATGGGGGTGTTAAGAGCGGGTGGATGATGGGACTGACCACTTGCGAAAAAACAGCCAAGAGATATCGGAGGGGGATTTGAGCGGGGATATCCGCTGAAGTGCGCTACGTAAGCACAATCTGAGTGCTAGATTAATGAAAACGAGCGTGTTACAAGGTGGAAGCTATGTGCGAAAATGTTAAATTTAAAAAACTATGTGTGAAGATGATAAATTTAAAAATTGAAGGCCTTTTGGGGATATCTGGCAAAGATATGGACAAAAAGTTGGCAACTTTTTGGGATATCTGGCAAAAATATATGGGCAGAAAGTTTGGCATGAAAATTTGCATGGTTATTTCTACCGTAGATGGTAATGTTTCCACGAAAAATCAATTTTTTCCGAGCGAAATTGACAAAGATATAACCAAAAAGAGGTTTTGCTCTGACCGCTCTCCGCATTTCGCGCACTCTCTCTTTTAATCTTACAAGGGAAGTACCCCAAGTGCGACGCTCGGATTTTCTTTAAATTTTGCACACACGTCGGGTATGGACTAAATATCAATTCCTGAAAGTTTTAGCTCGCGCTTTGCGGGCCGAGATATCGAACGATTTTTGCCGCCGAGAGAGCACGCTAAACGTGGAGAGCGGTCAGAGGAAAAACCTCTTTTTGGCCATAACTTTGGCAGTTTCGAGCGGAAAAATTTGATTTTTTGTGGAAACATTGTCCTTTACGGTAGAAATAGGCATGAAAATTTTCGTGCCAAAATTCGGCAAAAAGTCCTAAATTTTGGCCGACTTTCGATCTAAAAATCTCGGTTCTTTCTGCAAAGCGCGAGCTAGGATTCTCGAATATATCTTAGAAAAAATTATTCTAAATTTGTGCCAAGTTTCATCAAAATCTGAGCGTCGCACTTGGAGTACTTCCCCTGTTAAAAAATTGTTGAATATCTCGGCTACGCCTGCAAAGAGCAAGCTGAAATTTTCAGTGATTGATATGTGGCATATATCTGATACATGTGCAAAATTTAATGAAAATCCGAGCATCGCACAGAGAGTAATTTCTTTGCAAATCCCCCAAAAAATCATATTTTTCAAAAGCTATCAGTCTGTCGGGTAAATAATGAGCATTTTTTCGTATTGTAAATCTCCTCGCTGAAGAGAAAAGCAATTTGATTTTGTCGCGATACAATTCATTATTTCGGCGGCGATGCGATTTTGATAGTGCTAATTATTTTCCCGGCAGGCTGATAATCCGACAAGAAATCATCAAAATCATGGGTTCAAATTGCAATACACCCTAGTTAAGTGCTTTACAGACGCTTTTCAGCTGCTGAATTTTGAAAAAAATCTCGATTTTTCCGCAAAAAACGTTCAAAAAAGTCGAAAACCGCGATCTTCCGTCGAAGCCGCAAAAATAATAAACTCAGCCCACCTTGCGAAAAAGGAAGGTCTTGGACAGGTGAGGACCGCTGCGATCGGCCTTCCCCTCCCCAAATAGGGCTCGCTTTTTTCGCGAGATGCACTCAAAATGCCGTCGCGTCTTTGGGGGCCTTTGTTTGGCCGGATCGTGACCTGTTCCATCTCCTGTTGAGATCGCGAAAAAAACGACAAAACAAAAAGGGGAATGAACTGGAATTAATTGGGGGAAATATGGCCTTTAGAAGAGATGAAAATGTAAAAAAAAATTTTTTTTATTTTTTTTTTTTTTTTTTATTTTTTTTTTCAATAAAAAACGGTCAAAATAAAACGCTTAGATTTTCATAAAAGTTGCTGCAAATTAAGATTAAAAGTTTTTATCAAAAAATGAACAAATTTTACTTCGCGTTTCGCAGAAACTATCAAATTTTTAGGTAAAAAAACATTTTTTTTGCGATTTTTAAATTTAAAATCTACCATGTTTTTCTCCTCACAGGGGAAGTACTCCAAGTGCGACGCTCAGATTTTGATGAAACTTGGCACAAATTTAGAACAATTTTTTCTAAAATATGTGCGAGAATCCTAGCTCGCGCTTTGCAGAAACAACCGAGATTTTTAGATCGAAAGTCGGCCAAAATTTAGGACTTTTTGCCGAATTTCGGCACGTAAAGTTTCATGCCTATTTCTACCGTAAAGGATAATGTTTCTACAAAAAATCAAATTTTACCGCACGAAACTGCCAAAGTTATGGCCAAAAAGCGTTTTTTCCCTCTGCCCGCTCTCCACGTTTAGCGTGCTCTCTTGGCGGGAAAAACCGTTCGATATCTCGGCGGCGCCCGCAAAGCGCGACCTAAAACTTTCAGGAATTGATGTTTAGTCCATACCCGACGTGTGTGCAAAATTTAAAGAAAATCTGAGCGTCGCACTTGGAGTACTTCCCTGTCAGTTCGTAAAGTGATTTTCCCGACACGCACTGTGCAAAAAATAATTTCATTTGCACTGTGTAATAGGTTTTTTCTAGACAGTGCATGTCGCCAAAATCACTCGATCGACTTTGCGAACAGAATAGTAGAAGATACTTACAAAAAAATCGTTTTTTAAATCGAAAATCCGCCGAGAAACGTTCAAAAAATTGCAAAAATTAATTGCACGGTGCAGTCAGAGAAATTACATATTCGCACTGTGCAATAACGTGAAGAACTTTTTCGACAAAAAAATTTTTTGTTGCGCTGTAATAAGTTGCTATACGGATTCACTACACTACTAACACTTCCAGAAAGTCGCCGGACTGAAATCGGCGACACTGTGCGAAAACAAAAGTTCAGTTTGCACTGTGCAATTTCTTACTTTTTGCACTGTGCAAAAG